GTTTAACACAGTCATCACCAGGTTTAACACAGTAATCACCAGGTTTAACACGGTAATCACCAGGTTTAACACAGTAATCACCAGGTTTAACATAGTAATCACCAGGTTTAACACAGTAATCACCAGGTTTAACATAGTAATCACCAGGTTTAACACAGTAATCACCAGGTTTAACATGGTAATCACCAGGTTTAACACGGTAATCACCAGGTTTAACATAGTAATCACCAGGTTTAACATGGTAATCACCAGGTTTAACATAGTAATCACCAGGTTTAACACGGTAATCACCAGGTTTAACACAGTAATCACCAGGTTTAACATAGTAATCACCAGGTTTAACATAGTAATCACCAGGTTTAACATGGTAATCACCAGGTTTAACATAGTAATCACCAGGTTTAACATGGTAATCACCAGGTTTAACATAGTAATCACCAGGTTTAACATGGTAATCACCAGGTTTAACACTGTAATCACCAGGCTTAACATAGTAATCACCAGGTTTAACACGGTAATCACCAGGTTTAACACGGTAATCACCAGGTTTAACACAGTAATCACCAGGTTTAACACGGTAATCACCAGGTTTAACACAGTAATCACCAGGTTTAACACGGTAATCACCAGGTTTAACACGGTAATCACCAGATTTAACACGGTAATCACCAGGTTTAACATGGTAATCACCAGGTTTAACACGGTAATCACCAGGTTTAACACGGTAATCACCAGGTTTAACATGGTAATCACCAGGTTTAACATGGTAATCACCAGGTTTAACACGGTAATCACCAGGTTTAACATGGTAATCACCAGGTTTAACACAGTAATCACCAGGTTTAACATGGTAATCACCAGGTTTAACATGGTAATCACCAGGTTTAACATGGTAATCACCAGGTTTAACACGGTAATCACCAGGTTTAACACGGTAATCACCAGGTTTAACACGGTAATCACCAGGTTTAACACGGTAATCACCAGGTTTAACACGGTAATCACCAGGTTTAACACGGTAATCACCAGGTTTAACACGGTAATCACCAGGTTTAACACGGTAATCACCAGGTTTAACACGGTAATCACCAGGTTTAACACGGTAATCACCAGGTTTCACATGGTAATCACCAGGTTTAACATGGTAATCACCAGGTTTAACACGGTAATCACTAGGTTTAACATGGTAATCACCAGGTTTAACATGGTAATCACCAGGTTTAACACGGTAATCACCAGGTTTAACACAGTAATCACCAGGTTTAACATAGTAATCACCAGGTTTAACACGGTAATCACCAGGTTTAACACAGTAATCACCAGGTTTAACATAGTAATCACCAGGTTTAACACGGTAATCACTAGGTTTAACATGGTAATCACCAGGTTTAACACAGTAATCACCAGGTTCAACACGGTAATCACCAGGTTTAACACGGTAATCACCAGGTTTAACACAGTAATCACCAGGTTTAACATGGTAATCACCAGGTTTAACATGGTAATCACCAAGTTTAACACAGTAATCACCAGGTTTAACACGGCAATCACCAGGTTTAACACTGTAATCACCAGGTTTAACACAGTAATCACCAGGTTTAACACGGTAATCACCAGGTTTAACACAGTAATCACCAGGTTTAACACGGTAATCACCAGGTTTAACACGGTAATCACCAGGTTTAACACTGTAATCACCAGGTTTAACACTGTAATCACCAGGTTTAACACTGTAATCACCAGGTTTAACACAGTAATCACCAGGTTTAACACGGTAATCACCAGGTTTAACACGGTAATCACCAGGTTTAACACTGTAATCACCAGGTTTAACATGGTAATCACCAGGTTTAACACAGTAATCACCAGGTTTAACACTGTAATCACCAGGTTTAACATGGTAATCACCAGGTTTAACACAGTAATCACCAGGTTTAACACAGTAATCACCAGGTTTAACACGGTAATCACCAGGTTTAACACTGTAATCACCAGGTTTAACACAGTAATCACCAGGTTTAACACGGTAATCACCAGGTTTAACACAGTAATCACCAGTTTTAACACGGTAATCACCAGGTTTAACACGGTAATCACCAGGTTTAACACTGTAATCACCAGGTTTAACACTGTAATCACCAGGTTTAACACAGTAATCACCAGGTTTAACACGGTAATCACCAGGTTTAACACAGTAATCACCAGGTTTAACACAGTAATCACCAGGTTTAACACGGTAATCACCAGGTTTAACATGGTAATCACCAGGTTTAACACTGTAATCACCAGGTTTAACACAGTAATCACCAGGTTTAACACAGTAATCACCAGGTTTAACACGGTAATCACCAGGTTTAACACGGTAATCACCAGGTTTAACACAGTAATCACCAGGTTTAACACAGTAATCACCAGGTTTAACACGGTAATCACCAGGTTTAACACAGTAATCACCAGGTTTAACATGGTAATCACCAGGTTTAACACGGTAATCACCAGGTTTAACACGGTAATCACCAGGTTTAACACAGTAATCACCAGGTTTAACATGGTAATCACCAGGTTTAACACGGTAATCACCAGGTTTAACACAGTAATCACCAGGTTTAACACGGTAATCACCAGGTTTAACACAGTAATCACCAGGTTCAACACTGTAATCACCAGGCTTAACACGGTAGGATTTCACCCGGTCTTCGCACCTGGATAAGCTCAGTGCCGGATTAAGCTAGTGCGGGGCCTGTAGCATATGTTGTAGAGGGACCCTAAATAAAAACACATAAACATTAAACACATTTTTACTTGCATAGTAAAGTAATAGTATCTTTTAATTTGTGATATAGCCAGATAATACAAATCGTTAACCTTAAACACCCAGTCGTTCTAAAAAGTTGAAGGCGGTATAGTACTATAGTAATATAGCAAGTGCAGAATCACTGAATATAAAAATTCTATTGCTTCGTGTGTGTGGATCGGGCTTCTATTGTTTATATTTATTTAAAGTTGCGCTTTTTGATGTGACGTCACATTTTTCACCCCCCCCCCTCGTCACAAATGTCTGACCCCCCCCCCCCCCAGGTGCGTGACGTCATTTATGGACGGCCCTGAGATAGGCTCACGGTGATCAACATCGCATTTTACTTCTCTATTTCAGAGCGAAGACGACGCAATTCTGCCAATATTGCCCGATGGAGCTGTTTGTTGCAATCGCCAGCGAAACGTCGTGCTCTAATTGTAGATGTCGTGGGTCTTGTCTCCAGCACACCACCGGAGGGTGTGCTGAAGTAGCAACTAATTGGAACGTTTTGCTTACGTGACAAACTTTACTAATTGCTAGGCTCACAGTGAGACTAGGCTCTAAGGAAAGCTGTCTCGGGTGTGGACCAATCAACATCAAGGACAGTGCACATTATCAGAGTTGTGTTGTTTGTTTGCATTATGACTGCAGGTATTGTGGTCTATGCAAACATGACTCTTTGTAAAAAAAAGTGTCAGTTTTGTTGCCAGATAGAAGGGTAAAAAACCAATTATCATATTTTTTAGTGGCAAATGAGGTTCCAATGGCGGTTTAACGACACATTTATATTTGGGCGATCGAACCCAAAGAGAAACCTTTATGATGGTAAGAACCGCTGACTTCACTCGTATCTGTCGTGTGGCGGAACAGTGGGGGAAGGAGGGAGATTGTCCGACTGTGTATTCATCGCCATCGCCTCCAGTGTACAACTGTGGTCATCCATAACAGACCGTACAACATATAACGACGCGATGCCCGATCCACACACACGAAGCAGACATCGCAGCGATGCACTCCGCTGCTCCTGACTCGGTTATCTGGCTTGAGCACCTGAATGTGAAATTGTCGTCGTTGCTCTGCATCAGCCATACGAACGAAGACTGCCTCCCATTGCTTGCCAGCACGTCTAACCGCAGTGAGCGAGTGCGGGAGGGACCAGCGGTTGCTGGGCACATATCCGTGATGGGCAGCGCAGGGCGGATTTCTCATCAGCTGCAGCGATTTGGGGGCAGATCGATGTAGCCAGGCCGGGTGGATCAAGCGGTGGCGAGAGCGGTTGGGGGTTGACTCGGCCCATCATCCCTCTGGGATCAATAAGTACCACTTTGTGGGGAAGTCAACAATGATTGACCTCAATTGATAGATTCGTCCCACCATGGGAATGTGGAATTTACACCACTGGCTCAGGGCTGTAAAACAGATAAGCACTGCCTCGTTTGAGCAGATCGCTTTAATGGACAGAATCGATTACACTGTGATGGCAGCAATTGATTGATGTACAGTAGAGTTGTATACAAGTCGTGTAGTAATGTCACATTTTTTGTTCGTATTCTCCGATTGTGTGCATGTGCTTTTTGGCTGCTTTTTAATGCAAGCGACGAGTTTCTTAATTTTGTTAATCAGGTAAAGACTTCAGCTGTTCGCGGAAGATTCTTGTATTTTAGTGAATGTGTTGTATCCCTTGCTCGGTACTTGTTTTTTTTAACGTTTGATTTTAGTTCGTCTGTGTGGGAAGGCAATTTACAAAGTTGGATTTATCTTCTTGGTTCTTTCGGTAAAGTCACGTAGAAGGGAAATAATAAAATAATACAAATAAAACATAATAAAATAATTCTCACGACGTTTCCGCCACAACGCAAGCAGCCGTCCTCAGGTGAAGAACAGGTCTGTCGGAAAGACAGCGCCTGTGATAATTATTTTATTATGTTTTACTTTTATTATTTTATTATTTCCCTTCTACGTGACTTTACCGAAAGAACCAAGAAGATGAATCCCTGCAGTCACGAAAGCTTTAAATCGAAAGTTGGATTTGTTCTCCACATTCACAGGGGGTCTAAGTTAGCGTTTTCAAAGTGTGAAAATTTCCCAAAGCTCGTTACAACGATCCACATGGATTGATTGCTTCGAGTCGTTTAATAAAAAAAAACTCTTCAAAATCGTTTACACAAACCAAACCGAGAAATAAACATGCACAATTAGAAACGAGCGTTCGATGCATTTATTGTTTTTTAAAGCGCTTATTTTTCTATGTTTTACCAATACAATCAAAAGATCAATTATAATTGCTCCCATTTCTTCAAATGCAATTTCTCCAGTTAACATTGTTCAAATTAAGCAATAAATTGTGTGGGTTTTAGAAAGATTGCATGCAGGTTTTTAGAAACGATTATAGGCTCCCTGCTGATCCCATGAGCGAGGTACACGGTGCATCACTGCACATTACAACCAGAGGCCCATTCCCGCCCGAGCAAAGACTCCGGCGTTAAAATAAAACCTCCCCAAATTTCCCATTTACTATACGCAACTATTACGAAGGGTCGCAGCGTGCATAAGAATTTATCAAATATTATTATGCTTCAGAAAAATATGCGGCGATTATTGTGAAGATCAGGGTGGCGATGAAGCCGTTTCCCCTGATGAGGCCGGGTGGTGAATCACCAGGGCTCCGCTTGCTTCTCGCTCACAAACCGCCCGTGGGGCTCGCCGGCTCCCGGAGGCAACAGCGCCAGGAAGAGCGGCGTCTCCGCCCCCTCCTCGGGGCTCTTTGGGGCTTTTGGTCCAGCCATGTCTGTGCGCACCCAGCCTGGGCGGACACAGATAGTTACAGACATTAGGCTGTGTACAGATGCGCGAAGCACTCAAACGTTACGAGAAGCTCGGTGTACACGTGCAGCCTTAGGCAGCAGTAGCAGCAGCATGTCCGTATAAAGCGCGCCATCGTTACAATAAATAATGGGAGCAATTAATACTTGGCAAAGCTGTTTAACCCTGGTGGAGCGCTGTTTTTTTTTTGCATTGGCTGCGCCGAGACGGAGAGCGTTGCACGAGGCTTCAAAGGCTTCGCCAACACGCGAATGGCTCCTAATAACTTTCCACGCCCAACATGAACACACGGATAAGTGGTACTGTAGAGAAGTGCATGTGCACATGTACTCGTACCCATGGAGTTATATCGAAGTAGTGATGAATTAGAAAGTGAGGCTTATGATGCACGATTGATTTTTGGGTTCGGGCACATTTCTGTTTCGAGATCCTCCATCACTTGACAACCAAATTAGATTTTCACGTGGTGTACACACATTTAATTCCCCAATTACTGGTGCTTCAGCTCATTGACCGTTAAGATGACTGTTAAGATAAACTATAATGTCCACAACCGAACTTCGCCATGAGATGCGACATTGCGCTTAAAACTGAATCATCTTCAGGACAAGTTCCAGGAATTCAGAATAAAATCCAGAAAGTCACCTGACTCGGCTTCTTAAATAGGTGTCATGACCTCACAAAACACCCAATAAGATTTAAACTAGATATAAACCATATTTATATCTAATTTAAAATTAATCTGAGCTAACGATTAACAGTATCCACGTTATTAATTAACACTCAATATGAATCCTATTCTGTTGTACATGTCATTGCCCCCAAAGAAGTGTACTCAGGCTTCAGTTGTTCACGCTATGGGTTCCACAATCCTAGACCTTTAGTCACGACTTTCAGATGACTTCTGCTCAGATGTTACCCATCTTCCACACACAGAGTGTTTGGGAGATACACTATGCCATATAGGCAGCAACGTGCGGAATGCCGTTTGCTGCGTGAGGTCGGGTCAATATGAGTATTTTATTATCACAGTCAGGGGTCGTGGTTATGGACTACATAAGCCATCAAAATCAGCAGTTCAGACGAGGTCACTTCTTTCAACATCTGTCATCCTCATTGCAGGAGAAGCCAAGGTCAGTGTGTGGTAGTCTAGCACAGTCGGGCCTGTCAGATGGGGCCCGATAGCTATGCCCTGCATCCTAGCGTCTCTTTGTGTATCTCTGCATTTGTCCCCATCTCAGCGGATCTGTTTCAGTAATTGCGTCTGGTATGTCTGTAACTATATCGTTTGTGCGCATCTCTCAATATTTGCCTTTGTGCATTGCCCGCGCTGATTCTATCACTGTCGCTCTATCTCTCACGTGTCCCTGTGCATCCCGATGTTTATTCTTAGTGAGCTTCTGTCTCTCTCTACTCCAAGAAAATATTTTTTTTCTTCTTCCTCAAGGTGCATCCAGACCATCTGTGAATTCAAATGCTATCAGCAATGTAAGTCACAAACTTGTATAACGATAGCAAGCAGCCTTGTATAAAAGTGCAAAAGTTGTAATCAGATATAAAAAGGAGTATAATTACATAATTTATCTGCACAGGGTGTGAAGAAAGAGGCAACGTGCTTCGTGCGGAAGGTGAGCACGGAAAACATTTGCATGCAAAGAGATGCAAGCGGCAAGAGTGAGTTGATCGTAAAACAACGACCTCCGTTGACTAAGCACCTGATTGGGATGGCATCTCAAGACACCGTGCAAAGCGAGGAAGGACTCAGCTGGGTGTGAAAAACTTGGCAAGCCAATAATAAGAACGGGCAGGATTAATGCGAGGGACTTAAGACGAGTGCTGATTACAGAAGCACCTGCGCAAGAGGCAGAGAGAGTCACAGAGCTGGATCGTCAGTAAGGCAGACAGCTTTTGATTGGATTCTGCCAAGAAGTGTGACTCTTGACTTTGACGCATCACCCCGCACGTGGAAGGAGTACTCCAGTCTGGGCGAGACTGGTGGATTGTAGTTAGAGGAGGCACTGCTTCCTAAACAGATTATTTTCTTGAGATACGACCCCAAGCTGCTGTTATATGTTTGTGTCTCTTCCTCTTTGGCTGTACGTCTCCGTATGTATCGCACAACTGTTTATTTATGTCCGTGTCTGCAAGTCTCTCTGCCGCTTTCTCTTTATCTCCCACATTCCCGTCTCTGGCAACACTTTCAATGTTGCTGTCTTTCAATAGCTCCGTCTCCCTCCGAGTGTCTATCTTGACTTCCCGTCTCTCTCTGTCCTCTCACAGCCTCAATAACCAAATTGCAGTACTTCTAAACCTTGAGAAAATAAATAGAAAATAATAATGACCGTAAGGATGCATTTCCGAATTGTGTTCAATGTAATGCCTCGGTTTTCATGTGCTTGACTGTGCAGGGGAGCACTTTGGCGCAAACTGTTTAGGCAAGTTGCGCATCTGAACCGAGACACTCACTATAGACGAATTCACTTCCACTGGACACTTGCTCTGCCGACTCCCTCGCTTTATCCTAATCGCACATAAATACGCACTTGTTTTTAAGGGCTTATTTTTTTTTCTTGAATTGTTTTGGGGTTGAATGTATCGGTGTGAGCCTGAAGGTGTGTTTTGTACAGTGCCTTGTGATTGGTGCTTTAAAATCAGAACTAAGATGCAAGTTCATGGTTACATTTGCAATGAATTAGTCTCTACAATGTCGTGAACAAGATCATGCCTCAATGTAGCAAATCAGAGCATATCCTTACTTTCTAACCGTATTTTACACATACCTGGACAGCAAGCATTCAGCAAGATGTTGTCATTCGGTCGATTACGACTTAATTCTCTTGCATGGATGAGTGACATCACAGTAACCCCGATTTTGGACACTCCGTAGGCCGAATTCGCCCATCCGTTGTCTTGGTGCCGTCCTTGCTTTAAGACAGATGACAATCACTCGGTGGTAAGTAAAAAGTGCTATAATGTGGTTAACAAGCAGATTTGTGTTTGCACAAACACGCAAAATGTATGGTATATTCTCAAACCAAGAAGACTAATTCCTGGCAACAAATGCACAGTGTGCATAATTAAGCGTCATGCTCCCTCGTTATGAAAGGGCAATGATTACGGCACAGACACAGTTCATCCACTCAGCGGAACACATCACGGGCAGAGACAACGTCCGCTCAATCCTCGCAGTGGCTTTTGGCTAGCCATCGAACAAAGAAGGTCACCGCTTCGCATGCTTTGAGATGCGCTTCTGCGGACGTCTGGAACGCTCTTCCTTCGGATATTAGGTAGCCACTGGAGCTATGCACTTTTAAATCTAGATTGCCAACTAATTTATTTAAAATTTATGTTTGTGTTTAGTTTGTTGTCCTTCTTCCGCACCTCCGGTTAGCACGGTTGGATACGTACGGTGCGAAAGAAGTTTAACATACATACATACGTTTAACGTAAATCCTGGATCACTCGCACTCTTGCTTTCGCAACAGAGGTAAGCCCTACGTGTTTTTGCAGTCTGATGGGCAAATAGATATTGTGCTTACTCCATCAAACTTCCAGAGACTTAGATTATTTGGAGATGCTACATAAGCGGTGGTGCAAAAGCACAATACAAAACTCACATTCGTCAAAAATACTGTGGCCTTAAAAGAAAACATTTCATATATATTTTTATTGAAGGCTTAAATAAGTAACTTGGGAAGTCGCAATGAAACATGAATTATCCATCAATGTACTCTATTAATACTGTATTTTAGAACACTGCAATGTCTCGTTACTAAGTATGACTGACACAGGCTATAGCACTTACTGCCCTGTTTTACATCGTGTTACATTTACAAAACACAGTGAATGTGGACTTGTGATCTTTTCACATTCATCCCACTGTATTTACATACCCATGCGAAAACCCAAATTCACTTCCTCAAGAAGCTATCAGCAGCCATTTATAGCAACCCAATCCGCTGCCTATTGGGGCATCAGAGCCAATCACAGCGATCTGATCCGCTGCATATCGGGGTTTTGGCATCAGAGCCAATCACAGTGATCTTGTCCGCTGCCTATCGGGGTTTCGGCATCAGAGCCAATCACAGCGATCTGATCCGCTGCATATCGGGGTTTTGGCATCAGAGTCAATCACAGTGATCTGATCCGCTGCCTATCGGGGTTTCGGCATCAGAGTCAATCACAGTGATCTTGTCCGCTGCCTATCGGGGTTTTGGCATCAGAACCAATCACAGTGATCTGATCTGCTGCCTATCGGAGCATCAGCAGCCAATCACAGTGATCTTGCAAGGATGGTTCTGCACTGTGATGGTAAGCCCAAGAGATGAAACATTCTCATCAGAGGCAAATCTGTGACAAAGCCTAGTAAAATGTTTAATAACAAGACTGTTTACAATGGGTAATATAAAAACTAAGATGAATTAATAATAATTTATGATCCTTATCAAAAAGCAACATATCAACTTATCGACGTTGCGTGCGATAGCTACGTGACGCTACGTCCGGTAGGGACCAGAAATGATGGCCTAAGCAAGGCTGCACTGCTGCAGATTTGTGCTTGCCGGTGTGTGCAGCCGATGCAGCTGTGCAGCTGCTGAACGTCGACGAGTCTCAACACCTGAGGTCGTCTCAGGCCAGCATTTCCCGCTTCGCCTGTGCCTACAACACACGTGAGGGGCCAGGCCTCAATCTCCCTCAAGCTCTTGTCGTGTGGACATGCACAGCGCCTGAGCGCGCTGGCCTATCTGACAGGTCTCTGAGGCATAATCAATTAGATCTAGATTAAATACTACAAGGTTAGTCAGGCAGGCCATCAGTGCACTGACATGTATATGGGAGTGAACTATATATAGAGATTGCACCTTTCATTCAAAGAATCAAAATATTTATTTGGATTGGAGGAATCCGATGCGCTATAAAGCTACTTTTTACAGATGTCCAGTAGTTTCACAGATGTCCAAAAGGAGTGTGGCCGTAAGATAGCTGCATCTAATTAGTTGTAATATTTGCTGGGAATCCTAATTATTAGAATGTAAAATACAAGACAAAATATAACATGTTCAAAATGTATGTCGTCAAAATGCAGAATTATCATCGCCACAAAACTTTATATCGATGAGGGAAAGAAGTCAACTTACCTTTGCGTCTTCGACGAAGTGATTCATCAGCTCGGTGAGTTCCTCTTCGGTGATCGTTTCACTGCGAAGCTGGGCCTGGAGCTCAGCGCTGCAGGCAGCCAGCGCGCGTTTACTCTGCAAACTGGACACGTTCACCACACGTCCTCCAGGGCGCACCAGCTTCAGGAGAACCTTCGACACCGCCAGCGTCCCAAAATAGTTGGTTTGCATCGTTACCTCCGCCTGTGTTCCAAACGGTGTCGTGTCAGCCACTAGTACAAGGAACAAAACACATGTAATTTAGCGATACACCGCACGAACAATAACAAAAATTACCAAAAATCTCAAACAAGACACTCTGGAATAAAGTCATGAATAGTGAAGCTACTGCTGTTCTGTTCATGGCAACAGCAAACTAAGTGTGTCAATTTTGGAGGTTCTCCATTTATAATCTCAATTCCAATTGAACAACAAAAGTACTAGGATCACGTTGCTTCCAGGATTGTCTTGAATAATGAGATTTTATTTAGACAGAGAAATCTCAATAAGTTTAAGGCCATCAGGAGGGTCATGATGCATGGAAGTTTTGCCATGAAATTGTAAAGCAATGCTCAATGTTTCGCACTCTTATAACCAACGCCAACATTCTGATAATAAGCAGCGATGGCGAGATGTTAACTCCCTTGCCTGGCATACAAGAGGTCGTGGGTTCGATCCCGACCCCGACGCCTGTATATTTGGAGTTTGCACGTTCTCCCTGCGGTCGCGTGAACTTTTCTCCGGGTCCTACGGTTTTTCCCTAAACATTTAGAATCAACACGAGTTCAGAGTATTTGGCTGCTATAAATTTCCACATAAGCCACTTCGTTGAGCTGTCATTTTTAACCAAGTCTCTCTTGAAAAAAAGAGCTATACCATAAACCCTCGCTATGCGCAAGTTTTGCATACTCGCGAGTTACTAAATGCATTACCATTCCCCCCCCCCATTTTTCCCCTTTGAACAAGGTTTCTGCATTTGCGAGCATTTTCAAGAACGTAACCCTCGCAAATAGAGGGTTGACTGTATAGCGCAGTGGGCCTTACCTGGTAAAAGAGAAACGTTTAAAAAAATGTAATAGTTTTAATTTAACCCAACTCTACTGGATATTGCAACAATGGCATGGATAGAATGGGTCTTGAAAAGTCGAGAGCGTCATTGGATGCCGAACGAATTTTTGCTATCCTGCGGGGAAGTGAATGCAACAGACGACTCTTGACCATTCGGTTGGCTGTTTGACGTTTGCAACATAGCGGAACACATTGTCAAGAGTTCAATAACAATGCTTTACTTCCTAGTTTGTTCGGAAAAAATGAACCAAAAAAAATATATTTTTGTTGACGAGTGGTAATTTCATAACAACACATTCAAGTATTGGGATCCACATTGTATCATTTATGTAGCAGTCTTGGCTTTTGCTTCACTGCGATACCATCAATGGACTTTCCAAAGAGCCTATTCACACAGCATGGGCCTAATGAGTGAACTAGCTCCTGTACCTATCCAATTCTCTTAATACCATTCACGCCACACGTCATCCGAATAACGAATAAACATTTCCCACACAGATTGGTTATTGCAGCGAGCGCAATAACCATTAAATACGTGCCGTCTGCTTCACAGTCAACGTTAAAGATCCCCTGACGTCATTCGAAACGAGTATTCCGTGCTGGCGTCTTGGGTCCCAATTTGGCAAATGACTCAATTGGGATTACACATGGCAGTAATTGCCCCCTACTGGTAGACTAATGCCCGCTTGCAGATCAGGTGTGCCGAGTCACTTCATGCTGTACTGGGACAGCTGCCACTTTCTCACGTGTGCAGCAGACGAGATGCAAGTCACCGTTTACTGCGTTGTAAAGCACTGAACGGCGCTCTATCAAAAACAAGTCACTCTCATAAATCATCATCATTGCCACATATTGCAATGCCTGGAAAATTGACATCAGTCTATCCATATACACTTCATATGTTATGAATAAATACCGACAAAGCTCCTAATCTGACTGCTATAAAAAAAAAAACCCTACCACAACAGCGTTTACAATGCCAATTCCCAGACCTATTGTAATTTTTTAGTAAGACTGACAACACACACTTTTGAAAAAAGTGCTTTTATTGAAAAATACTAAATTACCATGAGGCTGCCTGCGTGGCTTCGAGACGCGCGTTGAGGTGCGCACGCCTGCGGATGTCGGTGCCTGGCAGAGCCAGCGCATAGTGGGCCACGCGCGCTCGGGGAAGCGTGCCTCCCGGCTCGAGGAAACGTGTGCACACAAACGTGTGTGCACGTTTGCGTGTCGGCGTGTTTCCACACGAGCGCTTCTGGACCGCCCAATCCTCCAAACAAAGTGGAGGCTCGCTTAATCGACTGGGCCTGTCTGCCATCTTTTAGTTGTCCTTGAAGAAGATGGATGAAAGCAGTCTCTTAAAATTACGAGCCACGTTCACTCATCGGTCTCGACGTGACATCCTGCCTGCTCTGATGAATGAAAACTCTCCTCTGCTTTCAAGCCCTTGACAGAATGACTCTAAAATAGTAAATTCTGTCGATTTGCCATTCAAACATGGAAAATAAGTAGCTTCGGGATAATCATGTTCTGTTAAAACAGCCAACTTTTTTTAATTACACAACAAAAAGATTGATATTTCAAGGCATATCCAAGTAATTAAGCAATGCCCTCAACCACACAATAGAGATGCTGCATACATGTTTAATTAAAAACATAATGGGCTGGTGTAAGCAATATTCCCTTCAGATAAATATGAAAACATCATTTGCAGTTATTTGGGACTCGTTAACAGCTGGTCGGAATATCATCGAACAGGGAACATTGCAGGCTATAAAAGACCGATCATGCAGAGACCCTAGACTTTGGACATCACCCTGGACTCAAATCTGTTTTGTTCAATCATGATACAGTCAAATCTGAAAAATGTAATCTGGGTCGACTGCTTGTTTGTTAAACATCCTCTGCCAAGGGTTGAGACGATCCTCTTGGCTGCTTCTACTGAGGCTCTATTATCACAAAATATGTTTTTTTCCCTGGGTCTTTCTGCAAAGGGACTCAAGAGGTAACCAGATGCACAGCTCTGAAGCACACCTTATTTTAAAATGCTGGGATCAGGTGACTCCTCTCTGGAAAAAAATGCGCTGGATCCCGACATTTGAGATGCCAGTTATCGATCCCATTATAATCGCATGAAGTGCTCCGAGAATTGGCCTCTACTCAAAGTGTATTTCTATCATCGCCCAGTGAGGCAAATCATCTTCATGATCAGTACCCATGATCAATCCACTGCTGGATGACGGCCTCCCCCAAGAGTGAGGCAAACTCATTCTGGCGATCGCCAACTTCTCCACGAGTACCCAGAGACTTCCAAAAGCTGCTCTGTCTGCACACCTAACCATTCAATAGCTACCCTTAAGCCTTAGGCTTAAATCCAGGAAGCCGTTATGGATACGCGTCTCTGAAAATAAAGACAAAAGCACTCGATGGTCTGAATGTTGGGCGGCTAAGAACGTGGCAAACAAAACCATCATTGAGGACCCGAACATGGAAGTACCGATATTCTCTCAAGACAACTGTGGACCACACTGGCGCAGCATGGGAGATGCGCGTTGTCGTACACGTTGTTCCACAAATGGAATATCAAAGAATTGTCAAACTGCGACTGTGGAAAAGCCCAAACCATAAAACACATCACCGACAAATGCGCCATCCACGCACACCCTGGCGGTATTGCTGCGATCCACACAGCGTCTCCTGCTGCTTTAGATTAGTTGAAGCATTCAACTTTGACAAACTGTTTCTTCCCCCCCCCCCTCATGCCATACGAAAGAAGAAGAACCTGTGGTTCAGTCCCCAAATATAAATCAGTTTATGGCATTCTCGAGACTTTTTATTGCATACATCAGCTCGCCCGAGACAAATAGCATTGTAGCTGGTTTTGATGAAAAAGATGGGAAGTTTTGTTGGAATTGTTCCTACTACTAGCCCATTAGGAAAGTGTGTTTGTGGATTGGTTGTCATTTCTCCATGTGCCATAGTAGTTCTACAACCGCTGGTTCACTCATCCGGCCACTACTTTGTCTCGGCTGTGCTTTGGGATACGTTTAGAGTGAAGTACAGCATAAAAAGATAAGGATGATAATCAATCAAATGTATAAAATGTTCCTCTAAAACTTCTCGATTTTAGATTTTGTGTAAAAATATATATATAAATTATATGCTGTATTATTCTGCATGTTATGTTAAATGTGCAATCTTATTTAAATAATTTCAAATATCACTCATCACATTGCCAAAAACGTTACTTTTTATATCACAACAAAGGCATTAAATCATGAACTACAATTTGGAACTTAACCCGAATAAGAAAGGAAAAGATACCAGGCAGCTTTACTGCTTCGGAGAGTCGTGCTCATGTCAAGTCCTGCAGAGAGATTCTGGCTGTGAAGCTGGGAATCCACCCGTGATGAGATCTGAAGTGAACTGCAGTAGGTTGTCTCAACTGATCACCATCGGCTATATTGCGGTTTTGTTTAACTTGGCCCCACGCTACGGTTTAGAGAATTGCGAGACGATAGGAGATGCGGTTTTTTTAAACCACTGTTCAGAGCCAGACCTTTGGAAGTGGCTCGTTTTTCGAGATACAAGCAGGACAAAAACGGTGATACAATCCAAAAAAGGTGGTCAATAATACATTTAAATGTAATTGCATTTGGTAAAAACAATGGAATATTTATTTAGACTGGAGGAATCCGATGAGCCATGAAGCTCTTTTTCACAGATGTCCAGTAGGGACAGGGTGCAAAGTAGAGAAAAGGTAAGCAAGTCACGCAAAAAATATATAAATAGAAATAAAGTGTACGGGTGCAAATTGCATACGTACGTAAAATCCTACCGATTTTTCAACATAAATGCATGACAGAGAGGCCATGAGAAAGAGTCAAGCAAACTAGCCACACCGATCTGGACAGAATTGAAGTGATATACACTTTCAGCAGCAAGACTGAAATCAATGGCGCTGATATAACAATTATATAATCCTCAAATCATTAACAAAACACAGCATACATTTATGGAAACACCACACCCCAATGACAATATGAATGATCTTGGTCATGTTTTTCTCGAGTAAACTGACACTTTTGTATACTGCTCACCTTTGAACGCGATGCCGGCATTGTTAATCAAAACGTCGATGCCTCCGTACTTCTCGCGCACAAAGCCCTGCGAAGCTGTCGATGCTCTTCTTGTCAGTGATGTCCAGCTGATGGAACACTGCCTCTTGGTCCCCGTGAGTCAAGGTGGACAAGGCTTGGACGGCGCGCTGGCCATTTTCTTCGTTACGCGCCGTCAATAATATGTCTCCGGTCCACTTGCCGCAGAGCCCTTTCGCAACGGCCAAGCCAATGCCCTTGTTGGCGCCTGTAACGACCGCTACTTTCTTTAACATTTTTCTGTCAAAAGAGATTTACATTTCACATTTCATTATTGGCATTTTTTTTGGTTATAATTATTATTGAGAAATTTTTTTTTAACCATACCCACAAACGTAACAAAATATTAATTTATGGAAAAACACCATTGGCACTTTATCAGAACTGAATGCAACTAGAAATACACTTAACATGATCGTATCTTATCGTTGATGTATAATGCATGCGCAATGTTTATTACGAAGGTCATTGGGGTGCATTGGCAGTGCTAAGCATCACCGGGCTACGGGAAGTTTTTCTCGCCACCACTGTCTGGATGTGCTTGTTCAGTCTGTTCATGATAGGTCACAGATACAAGCACAGGCAGAGCCAGTGGGGGGGGGGGGGGGGTGGCACGTGCCACCCCAATGATCCGATCCAAATCCCTAATTTCGATCGGATCATTGGGGTTTATTCGTAATAAATTGGCATTTTGCGACCCCCACTGCCACTGTGTAGCATAGTATTGTGCCAGGGACTCTATGAGATGATAGGACAATAGTCTGAGTCCATAATTGGCAATAAGTAACGGCAAAGTAGTTATAAGCGACTCACAGAATTGTGCGCAGTTGTGTATACAGTACACGACTTCCCTGAAGGCATTCACCTTCAGCGAACGCGATGCCGATCACACACGGTTCGAATTCGACCCTCGATCGATGGCTGCGCCATCGCCGCACACGCGTCAAATAAAAAGCAAGGGACAAGTCCATACTTACTAACAACTCCTATCATTTTTCATTGCTGGAGGGGTTGCCACCCCCAACTGAAAATCCTGACTCTGCCATTGGTTACAAGTATCAAACATAATTCTGAATAAACATGCTTATATCGAATGGACTGCCTTAAGGCAGCTGAATATAGATGGTTTTTTTAATGACCAGGACACAAATTGCCTAGTTGAAGTTGGGCCCAGTCAGGGTCATAAGCCTTATATAATACAATCCTTGTTTTAAGTTTGGTTAATGGCTGTTACTTAGTTTTATAGATTTTCCAATCAGTGGCATTTAAAAAAAAAAATGTGTGGCTTGAAATCATAATTCCACCACGTTGGGCAAAATGAGCATGTTGCTACAGTGAGTGCAGCCTCTGCTCAAGTTCAGCACATTGTGGGTGACCGATCACTAAGGGGGAATGGCTCTTTGCAATCGCCCTCCTCACCTGCTTCTACCTGCCCACCTCTTTGCTCCATCTCCCCACGTATGATCTCCCCGTCTGCCAGGCCAATTCCCCTCATTCACATCGTGTCAGCGTGTCTCATCTCTCTTGCCTCTATTTCATTTTACACCATGTCTTAACAACAATCCTCTCACCTCCTCTCACCTCACCTCCCTCATGGATTTTCCTGTCTGTCGTGTCTCGTAAGTATCTCTGCTCACTGCCAGTCGGCACCCCATCCCCATTAGAGTGCCCAATTGCCAGTGCGGGTCTCCCCGTCAGATCACACCTCCACCTGCCAGAGCCTTCTGACCACATTAGATGCCGGCACTGGCCATTCACCTCATTGGGTATATTTAGCTGAAAGCAAACCTCTCCTGAGTGCATACCCAGAGTAGAGGAAGCTCGGCTGAGTGATGCAATGGGACCGGACTGTCCCATGGAAGACTCATGAGAGGTGATGATGGTGATGATTAGAGGGGGGCATGTGGGTGACTCACAAGTGATCTGGATCCGCTCTTCAAAAGCTGGAGTTCTCCACACCCTGGCCCAACACAACATAGGACAAACTTAGATGGGTTTGACGCAGCAATACAATATGAGCAGATGTTCACTTCACAGTCTCAATTCAAAGTTTTTCTGTGTGTAAATGAGCATTAGAGCAGCATTCCACATTCATATGGTGGGGACATGTTCATAATAAACTTTTCTGGGTTAGATCGCGTTATTTATAATGTGTCGTAACCATCCACCACCCGACATGGCCAATCAGCAAAAAAAGTGTCACGTTGACAAAAGACAAATAGTTCACTACTTTAGCCCACCGGTGTGTTGTAGAGTGAAACCACAAGATTTACAATGTTTGAGTACGACGTTTCGCTAGTAATTGCATCCAGCATCATCGGGCAATTCGCCAAATGCTGGATGCAATTGCTGATTGGCCGTGTCGGGTGGTGGAGGGTTACGACACATTTATAAAAACGCGATCTAACCCAAAACGTTTATTATGAATAATATTGGTCGCGAAAGCCTACGTGTTAAACAGGGGACATGTTGATTCACAAGATAACCACAATTAACTTCCCACAAAGTGTTATTCATTTTATAGATCCTAGAGGAATAATGGGCTGTGTCGAACTGACAACCATCCAAATGAGTCGAAATCTGCTCAGAGCTACCCATATGCAGCGTGCCCCATGTTGTCCTCTTCCTCTCCGTGATCTGAACACATGTAATTTTTTTCATAATTGATTTCTGGGTGAGGCCAAGCAATGATATGGGTAATCTAAGTCGTAAGACCTTCCAAACAAATTCAATCGTCACACGTACATGTGCTAAACGTTCCAATTATTGTTTAAGCTCACCGTGTCGTTCATAGCAAATCTCACAACCAAATTTTGCGATTAGATTCGCGAAGTCCGACACGGCGCCAATCGACGCCGTTTTGGCTTCACAGTAATTCCTGCATTACGTCCGTACGAAATAGGAACCGTTTAATTTCAATGACTGCAACATCAAAGGAATCATGGCTTATTTAAAACCAGAAAAGCCAAAACAACTGCGTCTGCCAACAAGATGTATTACCGTCACATGGATGCCATCTATCTGCAGCCTGAAGTTGTCGGCTCTTAATCTCGCACTGATTCACTCTGGAATTCCCTTCCATGGTCTCTTTTGCGAAGCTCTTCGGGAACAAAAACGTTGCTCAATTCGAGAAACGCGTTAACTTCTCACCTGTTGCAACACCTAAAGCGATGTTTGTTGATGGCAGTTGAACGCTTTGAACCTCTCACTTTTGAATGTTTTTGTATCCTTACAAAAGCCCAAGTGTTAAATGTTATGTTAATGATTAACCACTTACACAACCGTTGCTTAACCGACTGGCTCCGTCGAGTCGCATACACGCTCCCAGTGTGACCCCTTATCCAGGCCTTCACAAACAGCGCCATACGACACACCCTGGCAGTACATGTGCAGTACTAATGCAGTACTGTAACTATACATATGCAGTACGCTGTTTCAGTGTTACAATAATGCATATGCACTGTGTAACAGTGCACTGTGTAAAAGTGCATAGGCGGTAGAGTAACACGGAAACTCAGAGTACTGCATGTACGGTATTGTGCAACCACTGTTACAGAACACATTTATTATGGTCTTAGGACACATCAGGAACTATTGTACTTCTAATTTTACACACAAACTGTGACAAAAAAACACATAGGATGAATAATTGTACAATTATCCCAATGGGATTGTGAATATCATACTTCACACCACGCCGGTCGGTGAAGGTTGGCGAAGGCAAGAAAGATTAGATTTTAAAATAGAGTAAAAAAAAAAGTAAAGATTTTTTTTTATTTTAGCAGGTAAGGTCCACTGGGCAATGTAGCTCTTTTTCAGAGGCGACCTGGCCACAAATGATAGCTCAACGCAGTGGCTTATCACATGGAAATTGATAGCAGCCAAATACTCTGAACGCGTGTTGATTATAAATGCGGAAAGAAAAACCGGAAGACCCGGAGAAAAATCCACGCGACCACGGGCAGAGAGAGACAAGCAAACTCCAGATAGCAAGCCGGCGTCAAGGTCGGGATCGAACCCACGACCTCCTGTATACCAGGCGAGGTAGTTAACATCTCCTAGCCACCGTGATGATGATGAGAGACACGCAAACTCCAAATATACAGCAGGCGTCAGGGTCGGAATCGAACCACGACCTCCTGTATACCAGCGAGGTAGTTAACATCTCCTAGCCACCGTGATGATGATGAGAGACACGCAAACTCAAAATATACATGCGTCAGAGTTGGGATCTAACCTACGACCTCCTGTAGAGCAGGCGAGGTAGTTAACATCTCCTAGCCACGTGATTATTATGAGAGACACCGCAAACTCAAAATATACATGTGTCAGGGTTGGGATCTAACCTACGACATCCTGTAGACCAGGCGAGGTAGTTAACATCTCCTAGCCAACGTGATGATGATGAGAAACGAGTAAAATTCAAAATATACAGCAGGCGTCAGGGTCGGGAGTGAACTTACGACCTCCTGTAGACCAGGCGAGGTAGTTAACATCTCCTAGCCACCTTGATGATGATGAACCTACGTCCTCCTGTAGACCAGGCGAGGTAGTTAACATCTCCTAGCCACCGTGATGATGAGAGACACCGCAAACTCAAAATAAACATGTGTTAGGGTTGGGATCGAACCTACGACCTCCTGTATACCAAGCGAGGTAGTCAACATCTCCTAGCCACTGTGGCGTCCGAACAGTCGAAGTTGCCCCATTGTAGGGGCAGCACGAGCTGGAAGACTCCAAATGTTCGATCCCAACCCTGACACATATTTTGAGTTTGTGTTGTCTCTCTCTCTCATCATCATCACGGTGACTAGGAGATGTTAACTACTTCGCCTGGAATACAGGAGGTCGAGGGTTCGATCCCAACCCTGACACATGTTTATTTTGAGTTTGTGGTGTCTCTCTCTCATCATCATCACGGTGACTAGGAGATGTTAACTACCTCGCTTGGTATACAGGAGGTCGTGGGTTCGATCCCAACCCTGACACATGTATATATTGAGTTTGTGGTGTCTCTCTCATCATCATCACGGTGGCTTTGAGACGTTAACTACCTCGCTGTGGATTTCACACCTGATGATTGCTTGTGTTGCAGTCGAAACTGCAGTCGTGAGAATTTTTATTGTATATATTCGTATTATTTTATTATTTCCCTTCTACGTGACTTTACCGAAAGAACCAATAATATGAATCCCTGCTGCAGTCACGAAAGCTTTAAATGAAATAGTTTTAGTTGAGTGCGATAAGTTTACAGGTCACCTCGTGGTCGTACAACAAAAGGCAAAGCTCCCCCGTGTAGCCTCAACAGACGGCTGGGGCAAGAGGCGTTAGCGAGCACCACCTAGGGAGGCTACCGGGGCAAGGCACAGAAGGGGGTGGACTGCACGCCCGACCACCTTTGTCTCCCCCAGAGACCAGGTACTCATTTGAGGCTGAGTCGACCTAGGCAAGGTCCCGGGACCGGGTTCAGATGTGATAACGACGTCGCTGGAAAGATTAGTTGACGAAAGAGTTAAAGATTGTTAATGGTGATGATACCGGTGAGTTGTGAAGATGACGATATTAATGCTGATTGTGTTCATGACGATATAGATGTTATGTAAGGGTGGAGTTTATGATGTGATTATGGTGATGTGAATAGTGATGTGATTGTGATGTCAATGGTGATGTTATGATGCTGATTATGTGAATGGTGATGTGATTATGATGTGATTATGATGATGTGAATGGTGGTAGTGATGTGTGATGATGATGTGAATGGTGATGATAGTGATGTGATTATGATGTTGTGATGATGTGAATGGTGATGATGATATGGTGATGATGATGTGAATGGTGATGTGAATGGTGATGATGTGAATGGTGGTGATGTCGTGATTATGATGATGTTGTATTGATGATGTGAATGGTGATGATGATGTTGTGATGATGATGTGAATGGCGATGATGATGTTGTTGTGATAATGATGTGGTGATGGTGATGATGATATTATGATGATGATGTTGTGATGATGTGAATGGTGATGAGCGTGCGCCGCCTCACCGCAATCCTGAAACTCGGAAGAGGGGAGGGTCTCGGCAGCCAATCAGAGCGCGCGACTTGACGTCACCCCGCGAAGTCGAGACAATGACGTCATGGCGCGTTGATAAAGTGACGTCATGGCGCGTTGATAAAGTGACGTCAAAACATGTCGAGACAGTGACGTTAAAAACGTTGAGACAGTGGCGTTGTAGCGTAGCGAGATAGTTGCGTCATAGACTGTCGAATTTATCGTGACGTCATCGACGACAAGCTAGTGACGCCTTAGCGTAGCTATACAGTGGCGTCATAACGTGTCGAGTTTATCGTGACCTCATCCCGCGTGTCGAGGCGAGCGTGACGTCATCCGTTGAGTGCAGATGCGGCGACCGGTGACATCACCTCCACAATGGTCGTGTTAAAACAATTCAGCAAGATGATTCAACTGCTTCCCATATCTCTCCCTCCACGCAGCAAATATAATCATATACGCATTCATTTATTTTTAATAAAATAAAAAATATATAAAAGGCGACGTTTCTGGCAATTGCCCTTCACAGTACGTTGTCTGAAACGTCGCCTTTTAAGTTATTTTTGTTGGTTTTTTGACGAACGTGTTTGAGTTTGATTTTTTTAAATGTCATTTTGGGTCATTACTCAAACACACCGTGCCAACCCAGGCGGTTTAACCGTATTATTGTACTGGGACATTGAGTTTTCAGGTCCATACGGCGCACAGCCGTTTCAATACGGGCAATATTTACTGTCTATTTGTGTTTTTCCCTTGTGATGGGACTTTGCAGGATGAACGTTGAGATTTATAAGGGCACTGGGTGACCAATACGATCTGAATTGGTCTGTAAAAATGTTGGCACTGATGGTGTTTATGCATAAATGACTGGAGCGCAGCCGTGCAATTGGTGGTTTGCGTTGGAGGTGGTATCGTCGGTAGATCGGTCGGTCTGGTCACTGAACCTGTGGCTCCCGTGACCTGCAGGGCGACCCGAGCTCCACCATCAACACCCACGCTCACTGCTCGCCCTCCTCCTCCTCCCCCCACCACGTGCCGCCCTCTTCACCCATGTGCCGCACAGGGACAGCTGCCTTATACAAATAACTGCGGCTTGGGGGTCCCCTAGGTGTACAAAAAAAACTAAAAAATGCAGCTGTAGGTCATTGGAATGATTGAATACTAAACGACTAACTTTTTATTTTACCAGGTTAGGCCGACGGAGCTGTACAGCTCTTTTTCAGAAGCGACCTGGCCACAAATGATAGCAGCCCAACGAAGTGGCGTTATTGTCATCACGTGGAAATGTATAGCAGCCAAATACTCTCAACGCACGCTTCTAAAGTTTCTAAATGTGGTGGCAAAAACTGGAGGACTCGGAGATTTCCTGTAAGGCTTTGGGTTTCTCAGTACAGCATCCTGAAAATGCAAATCCGTACACAGTAAATCCTAAGAGCTGAGTTTTATTTTGCTTGCTCAAGCATCATAGGTGCTCGCTAACCGCACTTGCCCCGACATCGTGTCAAGAGCTATACGGGGGATCTTTGTCTTTGTGTGGAGCACAGTGGCGGGACACGCCCTCCATTCATTCCCCCCGGCAAACAATCGCACATCCCTCCGCACATCATCTTCATCATCATCATCTATCCACTTCATCTCTCTCACTGCCATCGTCAACCATGATCCTGTGGTGCGTCTGCTGCTTGCTGGACGCGATGGCGAGAGTTCTGGGAGTGCCCGGTAAGGCGCACGCATTCGCCCACAAGCAGAACGAGAGAGACATGTGTGCGTGCATCTCTCTCTCTGTCTCTCTGACTCTCATCTATACCGAACACAGAATATCGTGATCGTCGGCGTGGGGCGTCGTGGGGACAATGAGCCCCACAATAAATAATTGGACCCCCCCCCCCCCACTTCGCATAGCGAAGGGACAGGTATTGGGAGAGAATGCGTATTGCATTGTCTGGTTACTGGTTTATTGAGTGTGGTACATACGGACACGTGTTTGCTGGCATTTAAACCCCTACGCTGGGGATGACGGATGCGGCTGTGTGGGCCACTCTGCCTGCACGCTGAGTGGGCTATCGTGTGGAGCTGGTACTCTTGTTGAATCTGTGTAAGACGAATAGCCCAGCAATATTCCACGTCCCTTTAATGAGGATGTTAACGGAATTGCTCATATTCTAGCTGAGACGGTCGGCTTCGATTGTACAAATAGAAGTTGTTTCCTGCCCAAATGATTATGTATAATCAATGAGGTGGTGCTCATCTCCGATTAGCACGGCTGGCCAAGCACGGTGCAAAGGAAGTTCTCCAGTTTACGACCCTGAGCCGGTGATGTGGAAAATTATTTATTCCTATTGCCGTGGCGAGTTTATCCGTAGGACAACCAAAGTTTGACTCCCCCCCCCCCAATAAGTGGCACGGTACGGTACTTATTTTCATGACCTCCACATAGAGGGATAATTGGATAAGTTTCAAACCCCAACCAGAATTTGAACTCGCATCCTTCCGACTGACGAGTCGCTCGCTCTACCGCCGAGCTACCCAGCCGGTTTGACCAGAGTACGTACGTACAGGGGACATTTGGAATGACATCGCCACAATCTACCACACACTTGAGACTCGCACATGCACTCTTGCACTCTGCTGCGTTACACTCCTGTTCACTATGGCACGTCATGATTTAGCCTATGTTTGCGGAATAGATGTAGATACGATATGTAAGCGCCTAATTGTATTCTTGTGTGTGCCAGCAATATGTTAAAGAACAAGATGCCAATTTCGAGGTCTTCTGGCCACGGCAAGAGGATTTCAGGAAATAATTCGTGTAATTTTGATATTGCTCCTCCGTTGAAGGAACGCAGACGACAGTGGTTTATTATAATGGTCCATAGTTTTGCTTGCATGGCAGCAATCTCTTTGTCTCTCTGTCTGTGGGTTTGCTATATCGTCCATAGTTTGTGTTGCATGGCCACAATGACACTACTCTGGCTTGTCTCTGATTTTCCATTCATGAAGGGGATGTGCGATTGATGATTACACCACCGTCTTCGAGGAGGAATGTCACAGCGAGGAGGTGCGATTGATGTTTGGGTCCTCGAATGAGATGTTGATTCTGTGAACCAGCATTCTTCGGGATCTGGGTGCGATACTGGGGTGGTGACAGCACCCCGATCCTAGAAGGTGGGGAGGGGGGGGGTCTGCTAATTCGTGCTGCATGCAGCCGAGACTGGCGGTAGACTTCTCGGCGTCACATTTCACCCAGCTCCGTGTCGTGACAGGAGGTCTCTGTCTTGTGTAGCAGCTGTGCGCTAAGCATCGGTGGGAAGAAACAAAATCATAATTCTGGGCAGAATGCCCGTCTGTCAGCGCCGTCAGATTTGAGTGCCATCCCCATTGGGGGCAGCATTTTAAAGGGGGTACTTGTTCGTCAATAGCCGTGCAGAATTCCTCGGAGGAGAGATTTTATTTTGCGTGCACAGTTTGACAGCACCTAGTTATCCAGAGTCGCTCCATTCTGCTTAACTGTTCTTTTTTAACTTCTTGTGGCACAATAGAAATTGACACCCCCATCCACCCAATTATTTATTTTGTAGTAAAAGTGTAACCGGGTTTGTTTATATTGCTATAGGTTTCAACAACACGTGTGTGTATGGGCAGTCTATCGATTCCGGTCAGTGGGTGGGTGGTGGGGATCTTAAGTCGCCTTTTGTACCCCAGCCACGTGGCTAATGGAGGCCTTATGCCGACCTGCTCAGTGTGATTTACGCATTGTTGCATTTTACAGACATTCAAAATCAATGTCATTATCGATCTGGAGCTCCTCACCTCTTCAGCTCGAACGTGCAACATTTATCGAACGAGTCACACGCGCCTGGTGTTTGGGGCTGTTTTGCACGCGTACGTGGTCTTGTCCAGCGGTGCACGTGGTTATGTCCAGCGGTGCACTTGTCGGCTCGCTGAAGGAGGGATGAGCGTGATGTGGTGCGACTCATGACCGTAGTCAAAGAGGAGGCAGCAGCAGGCTCCTGAGATGTATGTTGCAAGGCCGTGTGCAACATTGGGGGGGACCAAATCTTCCAGGGGGTCTAGCCCCCCCCCCTCCAGAATAAAAATGTAAATTTGAAAACAAATTTCCTGCCATTTCCTGCCTAAAATATTAAAAAAATTCACTAACACATGGAATGAACTTTTTTTTTGACAATAATATCAAATAGTGTATTGTATTACATTGCTCTGTTTTTTTACCTTTTCTTGTTTCATTGTAATGCCAGAGATTAGGGCTTTATAAAGTACAACCATAATCATATAGACATAAATCTATGCATTGTTATATGAAGACAAGTCCAGATATTGTGGCCAAGGTTTAGCAAATTTTTGTTTTTATTTACATAGCATAGAATTTTCAATAAAAATTTTATATCAATATATTGGGTGTGGGACATTTTCAACATATTTGAATATTGGGGGGGGGGGGGGATGTGTGTCCCCCCCCCCAATATATATTATAATTACGGCCTTGGTATGTTGAACTTCTTTCGCATCATATGTAGCCAACCGTGCTCATCATAGGTGCGAATGAAGGACAACAAACTAAACACAAAAATCTATTCTAAAGAAAAGCGTTCATCAGATCCCACCAGGGTGGAATCAGTACAGATCTACGTACAGCCCACACACATTAACAGAGATCCCCCATGGAGGCTTTCATGGACTGTTGGGGCAAGTGCTGTTTATTGAGCACCTGCGAGCGAAGCGTGGCACGGCGGCACAAGCCGGCGGCGGGGATGGTGGTTGCACCGTCACCGAGGAGTGCAGGACTGGTAAGAGCGCCCGCTCGGGGTGTTTGGTGGCTGGGCTCCCGTCAGGAGTTTAGTTGGTCAGCTCCGGCCAAGGGGGGTGGGTGGGAATTGGTTGTGATGTCTCCCTTCGTGAATCGCACCTCAGGCCAGCGACTTGATGATGGCTTCAGTACGAGGGAGGCGACGTCCCCCGAGTGTCCAACGACCCCCCCGTGTGTGCCCCGCTAATGGTTGGGATGTGAGCAGACTGCTGGGTGGGGTAGAGGGAGCATTTATATTTTAAAAATTTATCATTTAAGGTACTTTGCTGCCGATATTGGTCGCCGCACACTGTAATGCTAATGGGGGGGGGGGGCTGTTTGACCATACTTCACCACTCTGGTCAATGTATTTAACATATTAAATGTTTACTGAAAATGCAGGCACATTCTCGTTGCAAGTGTGCATGTTTTTTTGTGATATACACCCAGAATAAAAAAAATACAGTTTGATACTGAAAAACTGTGCCACACCAATGCAATAGCATATCTTCTCTCTTTTCTATAAGAAATTTGAACAACCTGCTATACGGCTCTGTTTGTGAATTGTATACTCTATAATAGTTGTTACTGCGGGGTGAAATATTGTGTTACAAAGAAATCAATAAAAAAAAAATGCACGGCAAATAATATTTCCTGTGCAGAGTTTGCTATTTCTCAGACAAAATCAAGTGCCTATGTTTTTGTATTTCAGATGTTGAGGGTTGCATAACGAGTCGGTGTCTTTATGCTCGGACAATCTACGGGGTCTCCCCCATGATGATGGTCGTGAGCCAGTTGTTGACATTCTACATTGCCATGGCAAGACCCATGAGATTATCTCCATATATATAAAAGGCAAAGTTGTGATTATTTGTGTCTGCTCAAAATGTGTAGCGTACTTCCCGACGTGCAACAAACTTGAAATTTGCCATGTGGGTACTTTCCAGACTGTACACCATGCTAAAATAAAAAAAATACAGTTATTATTTTTTTGTGGGGTGGGGGGGACCTCAATCATGCATTGATTTTTTGCACGGCAAGTGAGCTGTGACGTCAAATCTGTCACGTGACCCGCGCACGTGGAAGCGAAATGCATTGTAGTGTAGTGGTTAGCGCGCTGCGCTACGAACCCGTCGACCCGAGTTCGATTCCAGCTCACGGCCACCACCGGTGACGATTATTTGAACCGTTCCTGGGCCTCCCCTAGGTCGACTCAGCCTCAAACGAGTAACTGGTGTGGTGTGTGACCATCGCCACTGGGGAGACAAAGGCGGCCGGGCGTCGTGAATCCAAGCTAGTACCGTAGATTATATGGTAAAGTCCCACAAAGTGATATTCACTTTATCGTATCTATATTCAACTTATTTCGCACAATACGTAGCCAACTGTGTTAATTCGAGGTGCGGGGGAAGGACAACAAACTTAAGGGGCCGTCCATAAATGACGTCACGCGATTTTGGCCGATTTTGTACCCCCCCCTCCCCCCCTCGTCACACGGTGTCACAAATATGACGTCACAAAGCTCTGCCCCCCCCCCAACCATATTTCCACTTTTAAAATAAAACATGCTTCAAATCGCTTTCAACTATTGTCATTGTAGTGCGTATTTAATGTGGCGCTGCACTCTGATGTTGTAGGAGAGAACATTTATTAAAAAGGAGGCGTTGGAAAGCTGAAATTTTGCATAACATTCACTTGAAAATATTCAACGTCTAACTAAAACTGCAGATGTTCAGAATATTCTCTTACAATTATAAAATATTAAAAGTAATTATAACTATTAAAAAATTCTTGAAACTTTGTAGTAGAACGAAGCAAAATGGAGAGTACAATTATAACAATCACATATTCATTCCACAGAATGAAAAGCCCTGAATCATTAAAATTAAAATGTTTAATAACAATCATAATTTTTTTAAAGAAAATGTATGTTTCTCCATTCTCCCATGGAGAAGCAGAATGCTCCTTAATGGAATATATAAAAGGTGACCTTAGTAAACGTAAATAATAAAATAGTTAATAATGAAAACTTATTTGAAAAAATTTGTGTTGTTATAACAATTATATTGTTTATATTTATTTATCGTCACACATCGTCACAAATGTCTGACCCCCCCCCCCCCGCTAAGTGTGTGACGTCATTTATGGACGGCCCCTAACACAACAAAAAGGGGTGATGAAGGGTGATCATCTGAATTGCCCCCCAGCTGGAACATGTATCACCTGGTTGAATGGCCACCGTAATGTTCCACGTGGGCATCGTGATGAGGTTGTGTGTGGTATTGGTTTTTGGATGGAGTGCCATGTTTCATACGGAGTGCCCTTGCCAAGAAGACCTGGTAACCCAGCAGCATTCATTATCACCAACATCACATAGCGGGGAGGTGAGCACCACCTCAACGATTACTTGAGCAGGAAATCACTTTGGCTTTTTTTTTGTTGTGACTTTGTTTTTTGTTCTCGCAGCCATTTCATCCTCAATCCCAGCCACAATCGCAAGCGTACGGTAAAACACCGCACGGCTAAAATCTCGGTGGCCGAGAGAAGAGCTCAAACAGAATGCAGGCCTGGCCGTTGCAATCCCACTGTGTTCACTGGCTTCAAAAGAATTTTACGCGCGTGCACACGATACTCGACGCGGTGTTTACTGGCATCATGGAACATGCGGAAATTGTGATCTTCGTGTTTCATGACATTAACGCTTTCTTATAAACTGCCTCGGTGATCTTGTTGTTTACCATAAGGATCGCTGCTACTGTGATTGTATATTTGCTGTATTCATTAAAATAACAAAGAAAAATCTTAAATGAAGGGTACAATATTTTCGATTTAAAGCTTTCGTGACTGCATGGATTCATATTCTTGGTTCTTTCGGTAAAGTCACGCAGAAGGGAAATAATAAAATAATAAAATAAAACATAATAAGATAAAATTCTCACGACGTTTCGGCCACAATGCAAGCAGCCTTCCTCAGGTGAAGAACGAAAAATATTTGTTTGAAAAAAAAAACCCGTAACTTTTACTTGAATAAGAACCGTTAAAATGTCTCTCTAACACAAATATACTTTGTCAGTTGCTGACGGTTCTCCTCTGGAAGACCGGATGAATGGACTTGAAGTCACAACGCCAGCGTGGATAATAAACCAATCGTCTGCCACTGTGAGTAATGCTCACCTCCAGCCCGTGTCAGCTGGTATTTACTAATCAAGGCATCTGTGTGCATTAAGTGATTTCGCCGTGTGTTTGTATGCTCGCTGCCCCTAACCAACGACAATCAAGGGGGCACGCCGTGCCCGATCTCATAGAGACCCGGAAGCCAGTGCAGAGCTGAGCCTGGGTGGTGCTGGTGATGGGCAGTTCGCCGCCGCCACCACCGTGCACAGAACAGGGTGCTGTAGGCAGCTGCTATGGGGCGACATCCGCAGATCGGCAGTGCAGGCAGTACAGAGCTGTGTTTCCACTGCTCATAAGGTTTATGCTTCCTCTTCGCAAACCCACATTGACCGGCATTGGTGAAGTATAGAATAGTATGGCAGTGGGGATGCCTTCATCCAGCAGTGTATTTACAAAGATTACCTGTACGTGTACATCCGCTGCTGCCTGTACGGTATCTATGCAAGGGCTCTACTTGGCAAGAACTGGGACGTTTGTGCCAAGCTGCCTCGCAATGGCCGATTCGGTGACTCACTCGTAAACTCATGCACTGAGGCACGGCTACACGCCAGCGGACGAAGTAAGCGTCATTTGAGCTGCGTTGTAAGAGAGGCTGCAAACAGATCATGTTAACGTTCGTGTTAACCCTCGAGTCTGAATGAACCCTTGGGCTAATTTCACGAAAGGCTGTTGAGAGGCATTTGGGAGGTTCCTGCGAAGAGTGAGCGTGTACATATGGAGAGGAATGAGGATCTTGCGAAGGGGTTAATGTAAAATGACTGGCTGGAGCAGAGATGAGAGTGAGGAAACAGAGAGTGGTCCATTAAGGAGATTAAACCGTCAGCAGCTGCAATAAAAGGATCGAGATTTGAGAGCGAAAGCGATTGGGGATGTAGAGGAAGGACATAAATAAGTAGTCGCTGCACAACACTCTTCATGTTTTCCAGGTGCATCCTGAAAATGCAAACATCGTGTTGAGGATTGCAGGAAAAAGATTGATTCTCCAAATCAAGAGGAACCGGTGAGTGCTGCGGTTCCTGCCCTGAACCATCGTAAGATGGCATGGCTAATGCGGGGGAGTATACCTTCACTGATGCGTGCAGTATTCCCCAGTGTGTCATGCGAGTCATGGTCGGCAAAGTCATACCCGATGCACATCAAGGGGCACTGTACTTATGTACGTGTACGATTCTATTCCATTTGAAAATGATACGTTAAGAATGCTTCTCGAGGCTAAGTGGAAGGGGAGGGTATGAGGAGGTGGGAGGCCGGGTAACGATGCCTGTGGAGCAGAGGTCGCAACTGGGTACCCGATACCCGTACCCTACCCGATACCCGGCTACGGCCGGGTACAGGTACGGGTACCCGTTTGCGACCCTGGTGCGGCCGGGTACGGGTACAGGTAGACCGTGAGTCACTGGTGAGTAACCGTTTGTCACTCATTTCCCAACGTCTTGTCTCTTCTCACAATTCAAGTTCCTAGAATCAACCCACCCGCGCCTGCAACATGGCTTCATCCCAGAGGTCGCAATCAGGTACCCGATACTCGTACCTGGCCGGGTACGGGTAGGGTACGGGTACGGCTGGGAACAGGTACGGGTACCCGTTTGCAACCCTGGTGCGGCCGGGTACGGGTACGGGTAAGGAATCAAAACCCGTTTGCAACCTCTGCTGTGGAGCTGAGCCCAGACCTTTGTGACTCTTTTGAGGGTGGCGACTCCAGCCCGGAATGGAGTCGTTCCTGGGTGGCTCCCAGGCCAGCAGAGCATGGCTCCCAGTGTCCATGGAATATTAGGAATTTGGGACCTTGTCTAAGAACTTGCATTGGAGAGTACGACTCAATGGAGCTGAGCACACATTGCGTCTGTGAGCACCTTTTTGGGGTGGATCTGTTGAAAGGTTCTCAATGTTGCGAGTGTGAAGATGCAGCGTATGTGATGTTCGCACACACTCCTCATGACGGCCCGAGCTGCGTACGACGCCTTGGTGTGCGGCGCGCACGTCACCGTGGCGAGCGAGACGCGTAAGGTAACGTCGCGTTTGGTTTTGACTTTCAGGAAACTTTTGCCGCCTACGTTTACAGTAACGCACCACCTTGCCAATGGCTCGCTCATCACAGAGACGCCCTCGTTGACACTGGTGAGTCTCTCCTGTCCACCGAGCGGATTTACATCTTTATCGGTGTCTGGGCCCCGAGAACTCCTGGACCGCTCCAACAATGTCATTAAGTCGAAATGACAAAATATATGACCCAACGATTTGACTTGTCAGGCCGGACCATGATTAACTGCTCTACCATTTATAAATGCCCATCATGTCACATGTCCTTGTTTTAAATAAATTGTAGAACAGATTGGAAGGTGCTGTTAGGAAAGGGTCTGTGGGTGGTATGGACTGGCGAGCGGTGAGGGTCAGGTGAATGGTCAATCCTGCATCCCAAGATGGCTGTACACACCTGCCCTGCTGGGCGGTGTAATTTACCTCCTCGTTGTGCAGAAGCGTCCAGTGAGTGTGAAATTCGGCTTCCATTTGTCTGCCAAGGTGTTGCGACCTGGACACTTAAATCGTTGGGAGTGTTTGCAGTATAATGGGCACTTTACTTTGAGCCCCCCCCCACCCACCCACACTTATCGCGGGCATTACCATGGCACTCTTTAAAGTCCACGAGCGCTCGCTTACCTGGCTGATGATGGCGATGATGTTGGTGGTGGTGCTTCCAATGATTTGTTTGATGGAGCCGCCCTCCTTTTACACCACAGCACTTTACACGTGATAAGCGAATCGAGTCACATCCCATCTCTACCATTTGAATGGTGCCCCCCCCAGTGGCCAATTCTCTCTTTGCGGCACAAGGTAACTTCAAGGTAATTTCAACACAAGGTAACTTCAACACCTGGCCTGCAATACAACATTGGTCTGCCGGTAGAGGAGCGGGGGGGGGGGAGTTGGACAACGGTTTCTATGCGTAACCCAGTGGAATCATTTTTAAAACTTGTCGATTTCGGCCCGTGGAGGCGGCGCGTGACGGCCTGCTCGTTTGAAATCACATCACGGGATCTTCAACGTCCGCTGCGCAGCAGATGGCGCATATTCCATGGTTGATGCACCCCGCAGTAATAACCAGATGCAAGGCGTTTCCAGTGGTGACTGTTGCGTGAAGGATAATTGAGTGCAATGAGAGCCGTGAAATGCATAATTTTCACGGCGACATTGCTCACCACGAGGATCAGTCTGTGCTGCCTCGGTGGAGTGTGGGTAACGGACAGGTCCCTTGATTGTGCTTTTACAGAATCACTGCCTTTACCACGGACGCGTGGCGGGTGAGCGCGACTCCCTGGTGGTGCTCAGTACATGCGAGGGGCTTAGGTAAGATCGTCACGAATAGCCAGCTGCACGCACGAGACAGACAAAGATCCCCCCTATAGCCTTAACAGACTTTTGGGGCAAGTGCTGTTACCGAGCCCCTACGAAGGCCAGCACGGTACACAAGGGGGTGGGTGGCTACCACCACACCCGACTGCCTTTGTTTCCGCACTAGCGATGTTTATACATCACCCCAGGTACTCATTTGAGGCTGAGTCGATGTAGGGGAGGCGGATGACCGGTTCAAATAATCGTCACTGGTGTGTTGGCCTTGAGTGGGAATCGAACTCAGCTCGCCGGGTTTGTTAGCACGGTGCGTTAACCACTGCGCCACCGCTCCCCATGCAGTGCACACGCATGCACACAGACACACGAGCACAAAGTGGTCGTGACGTCCACTGTGACTGCTGTGCAGCATTCACCGCGGCCTTGATGGGCTCCATGTGTCCATCACGCTTCGGTTGTACGAATAGTGAGCGATTGATTTAACCCGCACGTTGAATGCCATTGTCTAGAATCGACGGAATCAATTGCCCCCATGCGTCATTACATCCCGAGCGTGGGTGAGAGGGCAGCGATGGACTCCCTTGCAGGGGAGGGGGGAGGGCGTGTCGCTGACTCGCAGGCACCGTCACGGTGGAGTGCAGAGTGAACACATTTCACACCACTCTCAAATAATCATCGTCGGCAGCAGTAGCCGTGATCTGCCCACTGCTGGATGAAGGTCAAGCTGTCGCCATTGCTCGCAGGTCTGCGATGCCAAACGAAGTGCATTATATTATTTATAATGTCACTGCATACAACTAGTTGGTTGTGGTAGCTGCGACCAGACGATTGGATATTCGCATATAGAGTGTTCTAGTGACTGCGTATTGGAGATGGGGGGGGGGGGCAGTGTTCGGCGGCGAACGCCACGCCAGCTCTCTGCAGGGTGTTTTTAAACTCGAGCGACGCTCGTGTTCCGAGGGGAAACGGCAGTAAGCGCTGGCTGCAGGGCCAATCGGATTCATCCCGCCACAACCCGTTTCTACGTTTCCACATTTTTGTTTGTGGATATGAGTTGTGGATAAGAACATCAGCACCCGATATTCGCACCTCCGATTCGCACGGTAGGCGACGTAGGGTACGAAAGAAGTTCAACCTCCATAAATCAGCAGCAGCAGCAGCAATGAGGATCTGCATGAATATTTGTTTTTGCTTCATGGCTGATGTTTCTGCCAGAAACGGTGCCATTTCTTCCACCCACAAACAAGAGAACCGTGGCTGCTTCAGTTTCTAAATCGGACACCACCTCAGGTCAATTCCACGTGGAGAAAATAAAATGTATCAGAAGAAAATGTGAACACTGAGGACTATGCCTCTTAACGACATATATACGTATGATCGATGACATATAACCATCTGTGCAGGGGAGACGAAGGTGGCTGGGTATAGTGCTGGTCCCACAACCCCCCTGGTGCGCCGTGCTAACCTGAACAGGTCATCGCGAGCGGCACCTGTCTCGAGATGAAGCCGATTTTGTCGCAGATCTCCGTACGAACTCCTCGCCCTCTCCGCGTGCAGGGGCTCCATCGTCGTCGGTGCAGATCACTTCCTCATCGAGCCGCTGGGAAGACGCGGAGAGTGCGGGCGGCATGCTGATGAAGACAAAGTGGACGGGAATTCTGAGGAACACGATACCGACGAGGGGATGGTGAATGCCGCGGGCACCATCGGCGGGGCGGTCAGAGGGCCTTGCTTTCGTCGCCGTCGCGGCTACCACTATCACTGCTGCCCTCGTCACGCTGTGTCACGGGCCAGGGATCGCCAGTCCAGGCACGGAGGAGGCCTCGAGGTGGCATACGGCCACACGAACCTCACCCAGGCCGGCGCTGTCGCTCGGTCAGGCCGGGCTCGGACGCGGGCGCCGCACATCCGCGTGAGTGGCCACGGTCGCAGAACGTCAGGCCTGTTAAACAGGGTCCTGCCACGTGAACACACGAGATAAAACACGCGACGTATGTTCGATGGTCAATGTCAATAGAATAACAATTGTGGAAGTCTCGATTATTGCCCCTATTGCTCCTCCATCCTCCTTGAAAGATGACACCCTTACTCGAGCCAAGTGGGGAGGTTTGAGATGGTGAGATGGTCGGCACGTGGGCAGGGAAGACAGGCACCAGCTGGGCCACGTTCAGAGTGCCGGAGACCGGGAGATGAGGCTCAGGGGAGGAGGAGGAGAGGTGTTGGTGAAGGCTGTGGCGTCAGGAAGCAAAACGAGTAGGCAGCATTTTGCCATCCTCACAGCTGTAAAACACTACTCCTAGATTACAAAATCAAACAATGCAACATTTTTTCTCCAATATTTAAAGTAAAAACTTGCGTTTTAAAATAATTATAAATGAGCTGATTTAACCTTGCCTGCCTGTTACGATATCCAATTGCTACAACACAGCTTTTGTAACATAATGAGCTTGATCCGCCAGCCCGAGTGCTGTTTCCTCAAAACCGCACAATCCAGGCTCCCTTTGTCTCCTGTCCATATATATTTAATTATTTATCCAGGAGAGCCACGTTAAGTCAGGAAGGTCCTGCTACATTTGGGTTTTTTTTTAAAGGTGTTTTCAGCTAATTAATGAGCGTTCATACAAGTGATAGGAAACCACAGTATCTGCAGAGGGGGAAACACATTATCCTATCCAGACGTAATGGGTGGGAATCCACATTTTGTTGTTCTGCCTTCTGGCGAGCCAGGGTATGGCCTCCCCTCTACGCCCACAGGAAGGGAGTTTAGCAACATTTGTGTGATCCACAAACCTTTCCCCGCACCTCCGATTTGCACCGTTGGCTATGTACGGTGCGAAAGAAGTTCAACATGCGGTGTACACACAACGCTCGCCATCTCCACAGCGCTGACTTACAGGCAACCATGTGCAGCGTAGCGCCCCCCGCCGCTCGGCTAATGCCTCGTGTCATCTCGAATGCCGCCTGGGTGAAGCCGTGAACGGTGCCGGGCACTGTGTTTCAGCTCAAGCGCAGCAGCGCGTGGAGGGCTGCTAAACACGTGGAGCTCGTGCTCGTCGCCGACCATGCCGAGGTGCGTCGGGAACGCGTGCGCTCTCGCGTTTGGGGTGTCGTGGTGGCGAGACGTTAACTACCTCGCCTGGTATGCAGGAGGTCGCGGAGTTCGATCCCGACCCCTGACGCCTGTTGTATATTTGAAGTTTGCGTGTTCTATCTCGCCGTGGCCACGTATTTTTTCCTGCACATTTAGAAACGTGTGTTTAGAGTATTCGGCTGCTATAAATGTCCACGTGATAAGCCACTTCATTGACCTGTCATGTGTGGCCAGGTCGCTTCTGAAAAAAGACCTATATAGCTCAGTTGGCTTTACCTGGTAAAAAAATAAAAAATGTTAGTTTAGTTTAAATAGTTTGGCCATCACCATTACCGCGGGAAAGGGAGTAGAGTCAAGGATGCAATGCACGGTAAAAGAGAAAGGAGCAGAGAAGGAATGGGAAATGAAAAGGAAAATGATGGAAAAGCAACGGATAAATAGGCGCAAAGAGGTCAGGAAGGATGAGGATCGGGAGGAAGAGGAGCCCAACAGAGATGAAGAGGAGGTACGGCTCAAGGCGAGCAGCAGGAAGTACGTAGGAGTGCTGGGCCGGAGGGGGAGAAGGAATGACCGGGCCAAGATGTCACCATTACCACACGTTGTTTTCAGCTTGCGCATTTCTAATTCCTCGTCATGGCCATCTCTTAGACACACTTAAGCGGTTGTGCTTTCGCTACGTTGTCCCCACCTGAAGAAGGACGCTTGTGTTGCGCCCGAAACGTCATGATTTAATTTAGTTTCATTTATTTTATTACATTTTTTACCTACGTGACTTTACCGAAAAAACCAAAGAGTATGAATCCTTGCAGTCACGAAAGCTTCAAATCTAGAATTAAATGATGATGAGAGGCTAGCTAAGAGAGGCAGAAGAGCGAAGGAAGGAGCAGATGTGAGCTGCACAGAGGAGGAGCAGCAGCGTCTTTATACACATGAGGCGGGGAGAGGGGGTGGCTGCATAGAAGTCACGGGATTTACGGGAGGCTTGAGCTGATAGATGTCCACGTTAATCGACGTGTTCATGTTGTGTGAATCTCGGCAAAAGTGTGAAGTCATGCGTGCCGTTGCGGACGTACGTATACGTTTGTGGAAGTGTGATGTGTGGAGCACAGTTCAGCATTGTGTTACCTCTCCCAAAGATGGTGAAATGCCTGGAAGTCAACCTCGCGGTGCACTTTAAACACCATTTATTAAACCTGTCACAGTTTATGAAAATGGGACACGACTACTGGAGGACGGCGCTGCGTATGATGGAGATCGCCAACCACGTGGACAAGGTACAACGGCCATCTCTGCTGCATGAAATAATAAAACATAAAATAACTGGGCTGTTCACTACGTGCGGCGATGAGAGGACGTCTTCCCGTGCCCACGAGGCCTGTCTGGGGAATTCGAGAGCATCTTGCACGTGGTGCGGTAATGCAATCGGAGTGGGACTTGAACGCACGGAAACATTTCGCCCCCATAGTGCAGCTCGCCGCGTTCCATTTCGCTGTTGTTGTTGTTCTAAAGCTCCGACAGAGAGGGACATCGTGGGCCGTATCTGAGGGTAAATTTGGTGACTTTGCTCCGCTCGCTGCGCCCGTGTCTGCGCCAGTTTTACAGGGCGCTTGGTGTGCGCGTGCCACTGGTCGGCGTGGAGATCTGGTCATCCGGGGATGAGACCCCCGTGCCCCATGACCCCTACCAGGCCCTCGCCCACTTCCTGTCCTGGCGAAGAAAACATCTCCTACCCAGGAAGGAGCACGACAACGCCCAGCTCGTGACGTGCGTCCACAACGCAGGAGGATGCCACATCCCCAAAAAATGTGCAACGTTGGCTCAAAGTTGGCGTGCGGTTGGAACCGTCGGCCCAACGTTGGCACAACGTGACACGTTTACTGGGTTGTGTAGCTGCGTATCTAGCAGAGTTGTTGAACGGCAACCAGTGAACCGGTACTTGTTTTCAGAAACTGTTACCGGTTCCAAAAGTCAGGAACTGACAATCGTGTCAAGTGGGCATGCCAGAACCGCCCACGCTGATTGGCATACACGGACGTGCAAACTGCACGGCAGCCCAAGTCACCGTGGTGTCCATTTGCCCTCGTTCCTCGGTTAAGGTGTATTTGACCATTTATTCGGTGGCTAAATACCAATGTCGAGGGCTGTTAGCCAGGACAAGAGTGCTTCAGGAGGGAGAGTTCGTATAGCTTTGCTATTCCTCTGTTCAATGAGCGCAGACTGCAGTGGGTTACTATTTTGCCCATAGTTTGGGTTGTATGGCCAACGTAAAGTGGAATGTTTGTCGCTTTAGGCACTTCCATGTATGCGGCAATCCAGCAACCGGGTTTTTAAAATGTGGTCACCGGAAATGCAAATAAATAAACAAACACCCGCGTAACAACGCCGGCGTGAAGCTCGCGTCTCGTGTGCCGAGTGTGCTGAGAGAAACTCGAGTAATAACGGCGCCTTCTCTCCTGTCTCCAGGGGCGCCAGGTTCACCGGCGTGACGGTGGGCATGGCACCGCTTATGGGGATGTGTTCGCGCGAGCAGTCTGGAGGCGTGAACATGGCAAGTCATCAGTATCATCATCATCATCATCGCGCCGATAACGGCGACACGAGCGTGTTCATACAGCGACGCCATTCCCGCCGACTGCATCGCGCAAAGCTGCATGTTGCATGACACGCGGAGGCGTGCCTAGACGTCAAGATGTTTTCAGGCGATTTTAATAACGAGTTTTATACGTGGGGGAGGAGCGAACCGCAGAACGTCCGGAGAAAACCCAGGCATGCGAGAGGGATCAACTTTTGATTCCACGTAGATGGAACAGATGGATATTAGTCCACACACTTGCTGTACCGCCTTCTCTTGGCAAGGCAGGGTATGGCACCTTGACGGCCACAGGGAGTTGAGCAACATTTGTGTCATCCACCAACCTTAATAGGTGATGGCAGCGCAGCAAATGGGTTTCTGGCGATCTGTCCCTATGACAGAATGTTGAGCATTATCCCCTTGCAGGCATGGGTTTCCATGTACATAACACGTGTTAGAAGGAAATGGGCCAAATGTCCCACTGAGACATGGTAAAGGTTTTCGAGATATAAACAGATAACTTTGGTTATGAAGTTTTATGCATAGGGGAGGGCATGCTCAGGTCCAGGCAAAATGAGGGATTCATGCAGAAAATGTAATAAATGCATGCACTAGTTGTGCCTCCCGCACCTCCGATTAGCGCGGTTGGCTATGTACGGTGTGAAAGAAGTTCAACATACATACATGTGCTTGATACGCTATCAGTGTCCAGCGTGGAAAGCTTTATTTGATCAATTCGTTGCGTGTGGCGATTGGTGCATCCATCTCTGCATAGGACCACACGGAGAGCGTACTCGGTGTGGCCTCCACCGTGGCGCACGAGATGGGCCACAACTTCGGACTGAACCACGACGGGGATGCCCGTCGGTGCCCGTGCCAGCACTCGGCACAGCAGGGCGGCTGCATCATGGCGCCTGCTACTGGGTTCGTAACGCTCCTCTGGCAGGCGAGGCTGCGTTGGCTGGATCATGTCGCCCTTATGCACAGCCACCACATTGCCAAGTATCTTTCCGTCTGGCCGGATAGAGGGGGATAAAGGGACACGGCATGGGCAAGAGAAGAGATGGAGCTGATGTGGTACAGGAGGATGTGGAGCTGAGTAGACTTGCCTAAGACTGATACTCCCAGCGGTGTCAAGATTGGCCTCTTTGGAGGACGTTCGTGAAGGACGCTACTGGGCAGTTAGAGGTAGTCACCCTCCACAACAATGGAAGGCAGAGGAGAGATGCTCAAAACAACGAGCCGGGTGGCTAAAACGCAGAAAGTTGGCACAGTGGAGAGCAGAGGTGGTGCATCTGCTAGCCATCACAGTCAACCATTGGCATCTGGGTCTGTCTCGTGACCTGCCAGTAACAGGCCCTTCTGACAATCCACATTGCCTCAAAGTGCACCTAGCCTGGCACAAGAGCCGTGGGGATGCCATCGACAATTTGTGGCGAACACCAGTGACGATTATCTGAAGCGGTCCTGGGCCCCCCCGAGGTCGACTCAGCCTAAATGTTTAAAAACATCGCCACTGGGGAGACAGACGGTCAGGCATGATCCTGGCCACCCACCCCCTCATGTGCCGTGCCAGCCTTCATAGGTGCTCGCTAACAGCACTTGCCCCAACAGTCTGATTAAGGCTATATGGGGGATATTTGTCTTTGTCCCTTGTAGGCACCCGTACCCCCACGTGTTCAGCTCGTGCAGCGTGCGTGCGCTGCGAGCCTCGCTGCTCGAGGGGGGCGCCCCCTGCGTGTTCAACGCCCCCGACGTCACGGCGCTGTACGGCGGCGGCCGCTGTGGCAACGGCTACGTGGAGGACGGGGAGAGCTGCGACTGCGGGGAGCCACAGGTGTCAATGTCATCCTCATCATCATCGTCGTGGAAACAACGCATCTCTCTCGTGATAAATTATCCAGAAGAGCCACGCCTAGTCGTAGGACACTTTTTCAGGGGGGGTCCCTGCATTGGGTTTTTATTTATAGATTTTTTTCAGCCGATTTATTATACACGTGGGAGGAAACTCATGTGTACGAGGGGACAACACATTCAGTTGGAAAAGATAGATTAGTCCACACTTGCCTGCAGCACATTATTCTAGCGAGCCAGGGCATGGCACCTCCCCGACTGCCCAAGGAAAAGGAATTGGGAAATGTTTGTGCGATCCAACAACCCTCGCTGCTGCCTCCACAGCACTGCTGGATCCAACGTCCCATGCAGCGCCGTAGCCACCACCAGCACGGTCACCGCTGCCCGGCTAGAGGTGCGTGTCGTTGTGTGCTCTAGGAGTGCGACAATCCGTGCTGCAACGCGACGTCATGCGCACTGGCGCTGGGAGCAGACTGCGCGCACGGGGAGTGCTGTGACAGGTGCAGGGTAAGTTGCTAATGACAGCGTTTTTCGCCTATGTGGTCGTTCCTGCTCTGATGTCTGTTTTGTTGTTTTTGCTCTAATTAATATTTTCTTTGTTGTAGTTAGTTTTGTATTTTTGTTGTTGCTTTTATCAGTTTGGTGCCCCCAGGCCACTCTTGTGAATGAGATGTCACCCAGTCACACAAAATAAACCTTTAAACTTTTGAGCAGGTCCCGTGAAAAAAAAGCTTACACGCTTAATATTCATTTCCCGCGTCTTCTCCACTCTACCTGCCCTCTGCACACACGCACCATCCGCCTCCCCCCCCCCCTCCAGCTCCTGGGGCCAGGGCACCTCTGCCGCGAGGGAGCGGGGGAGTGCGACCTCCCGGAGTTCTGCACGGGGACGGCGGCGCAGTGCCCCCAGAACGCCCACGCGCACGACGGGCAGCCCTGCCGGGGGGGCGGCCACTGCTTCACGGGCACGTGCGTCACGCTCGGCGCGCAGTGCCTGCGGCTGTGGGGGCCAGGTGACTCCACGCTGCGACGCCACAACACAATGTCACGTGATGCCACAATATGATGTCACGCTGCGATGTCGCACAGCAATGTCACGTGATGCCACAATATGATGTGACAACACAATGTCACGTGATGCCACAATATGATGTCACGCTGCGATGTCGCACCACGATGCCACGCCGCGTTGTCACAATGACGCCACACCGCAATGCCACGCGCGCATGGCCGCATGGCCACGCAGCTGCGAGCGGATCCTCCATGCTAACGAAGCCGCGCGGCTGCAGACCGTGGCCACGCGCTGTCCTCGATCAAAGACGAAACGCCACGAGGACAAACGTTAACATTCTTACATTTGCTTTAACCTGTGCCGCCCATTTGCTTCGGTTGAACTTAAATGGGTGCACCACAGTCAGTCGATGGGCAAGTCGCATGTGATGGGGTAAAATGTGGGTACTGACATTCGATGAGTGTGTTCGTGTTAGAGGGGTTGTCTGGAGTCTTCTCTGGTGGAGGCCATTTGGCCGGCAGTGGCGTTGGGTGGGAAATTGCAGGGCTGCGCCTTTATTTATTACACTACTGTTTGTCTCAGGCGCAGATGATGCCTTATTTTATGTAAAGTATGTAAGCAATGCTATGTCGCACTCTTGTCTAAGAATCCTATTGCGTATGCAACCAGGAGACCGGAAATTCATTCCTCAGTGTTAAATGAGTACCTGGTGCCGTGTGTGTGCACGTCAGCACTGGGGAGACAAAGGCGACCGGGCGTGGTGCTGGCCACCCGCCCAGTCGTGTGCATTGCCAGCCTTTTAATAGGTTACTCGCTAACAGCATTTTACCCGACAGTCTGTGAAGGCTATTTATTGGGAGGGATCTTTGTCTCTGTGGTTATAGGTGCTTACGCTGCCCCGCGCGAGTGCTTCGTGGAGGTGAATGGAGCAGGAGACAAGTACGGAAACTGTGGCAAGGACACGTCCGGGGAGTACGTGACCTGCACGGAGGAGTAAGTGCTGCCTGACAAATCCCCCCTGCGGTTCCAGTTGAATCATTTCCTCAATCTCCATTCAACAGACTCTGGCCCCAATTCAGAGCGATCTCATGCTCACGTGAGCACTGAGGTGCTGTGCACATCTCCTGTCTACAACCCCGAGAAAATGGTGGAAATTCCACATTCCTATGGCAGGAGGCGAATCTATCCATGGGAAAACCATGGCCTGTTGACTTCCAGATAAAGTGGCGCTTATTTTATTGTCCCCGAAGGGCTGATGGGCTGAATCAAGGCAGCGAGAATTTGAATTCGCGGCCTTCTCATTGCGAGCCGCCCGCCCTCCTGCCGCTGAGCCGTACGGCTAGACTTCTGGATTGGCTATAAAGAAGACTCTCCGTTTGTTTTTTAGGCTGCACTTGCAGCCAATTTATAGCAACCACTCCCATATATTTTCGAAAATATCCTCTTGCAAGTGAGCATGTTTCCATGGCGGTAAATCTGAGAAAATATGTTTTCGCATGCATGCTTTGTTGTCACTTTAATTTACTTTATAATTTTTCCCACGTATTTTGTGCCTCGTTTCTCTATCCACATTTTTTGTCCCCCCCCCCCCCCCCTGTTTGTTACCTCCCCCAGATCTCCCTTGCAATACGGATTTTGGGTCTAATCGGTGTTGTTGGTGGCAAGTCACGGTGGAAACCGTTTCCACCGTGACGGTTGTGCCAGGGTGGCATTTGCCGGGTTGGTGCGGGAGTCCTACGCGCTCCTCCCCATCGTTGGGGTGACGTGGGCAAGGCCCGTGCGCCACCTCGGATGGCAGCCAAAAGTAAGACAGAGGGGAGGCGCCCGGCGGTTCCATTAAGGAGTCGTGATGTCATCGATAAATTCGCCCCCGTTGGCGTCGGTGGATCAGGGCTGAACTGAGTGCCACTTGATGTGGAGGAGTGGCGTTGCTTCCTTAAATGGACACCACAAGTGAGTTCGTGAAATACTGTTCGAAACTATTCTGTGGTTATTGCCTCCAGATTTTGTCCATGCACAGAGACCTTTTTGTCTCAATGTAAACCTTGCTGGCCACCTGTATTCATAAGAATATTATACTGGTAGGAACGAAGTGGACCAGACACCAATAGATTATACTGGTAGGAACGAAGTGGACCAGACCACCAATAGATTAATGTGTTCGTCCGTCCGTCCGTCCGACTGTCCATCCGTCCATCCGTGTATCAACATTGCCCCCTACTGCAAACACTTGGCATGACCCTGTCCGACAAGATGGCCGCCCGCTCCCCCTGCGATTTGTGAATTAAACAAGATGGCCGTCGCTTCCGGCGCATCACGGCAAAACTTAAAACTTCGCTTCAAAATTACTTTACTGAAACGCAGCACGTTTTTTTAACACAGAGACAAGAAACATTTATTAACACAGAGACGAGATACATTTAATCGCCTTATTTGTGCACGAAAAGCACGGCGCGAGGCCTAGTGCGGCAGGCTTCGCGAGGCCTAGTGCGGCAGGCTTATTAACACAGAAATGAAACGCAGCACGTTTTTAAAAAAAATTACTTTACTGAAACGCAGCACGTTTTTTAACACAGAGACAAGAAACATTTATTAACACAGAGACGAGATACATTTAATCGCCTTATTTGTGCACGAAAAGCACGGCGCGAGGCCTAGTGCGGCAGGCTTCGCGAGGCCTAGTGTGGCAGGCTTATTAACACAGAGATGAAACGCAGCACGTTTATTTTAAAAAAAATTACTTTACTGAAACGCAGCACGTTTTTTAACACAGAGACAAGAAACATTTATTAACACAGAGACAAGATACATTTAATCGCCTTATTTGTGCACAAAAAGCACGGCGCGAGGCCTAGTGCGGCAGGCTTCGCGAGGCCTAGTGCGGCAGGCTTCGCGAGGCCTAGTGCAGAAGGTGGTGGTGGGGGGTGGTGGGGGTGGTGGGTGGTGGTGGTGGGGGGTGGTGGTAGGGGGTGGTGAGGGCTGGTGGGAGGGGTGGTGTTGAGGGTGGTGTTGGGGGGTCTTTAAATCTCACAGCGTTTCTTGTCAAAACAAACACTTTTAATTAACGTTACACTAGAATACAGTAATTTTTTCTTTAACTCCTCTATACCCGGTCGATATCCCTGTACCGGTACTAAGTATTATTCCTACCAGCCGACCCCGCAGGGTCCTGTTATCGTCCGTCCGTTTGTCCGTCCGTCCGTCCGTGTATCAACATCGCCCCCTACTGCAAACACTTGGCATGACCCTACAAACAGGACCCTGCGGGGTGGGCTGGTAGGAATAATACTAATACCGGTACAGGGATATCGACCGGGTATAGAGGAGTTAAAAAGAAAATGATTTGTGCATGGGGGGTGAGCGATGACGTCCACACCCCCGCTCCCCACTGACTCGCGCGCACACAGAGCAATGACGTCAACACCCCCCTCCCCACTGACTCGCGAGCCCACAGAGCAATGACGTCCACACCCCCCTCCCCACTGACTCGCGCGCACACAGAGCAATGACGTCAACACCCCCCTCCCCACTGACTCGCGCGCCCACAGAGCGATGACGTCCACACCCCCCTCCCCACTGACTCGCGCGCACACAGAGCAATGACGTCCACACCCCCCTCCCCACTGACTCGCGCGCCCACAGAGCGATGACGTCCACACCCCCCTCCCCACTGACTCGCGCGCACACAGAGCAATGACGTCCACACCCCCCTCCCCACTGACTCGCGCGCCCACAGAGCAATGACGTCAACACCCCCCTCCCCACTGACTCGCGCGCCCACAGAGCGATGACGTCCACACCCCCCTCCCCACTGACTCGAGCGCCCACAGAGCAAGGATTGCAACAGGCGATGTCATTGGCTGCGCCGGATGCGACGGCCATCTTGTTTAGTTCATTTAGTTCACGGATCGCAGGGGGAGCGGGCGGCCATCTTGTCAGACAGACGGACGGCCTCGCGAAGCCTGTCTCAGTAGGCCTCGCGAAGCCTCCTGCAGTAGGCCTCGCGAAGCCTGTCGCAGTAGGCCTCGCGAAGCCTTCCCTGCAGTAGGCCTCGCGAAGCCTTCCCTGCAGTAGGCCTCGCGAAGCCTTCTCTGCAGTAGGCCTCGCGATGCCTTCTCTGCAGTAGGCCTCGCGAAGCCTTTTCCGCACTAGGCCTCGCGAAGCCTGCCGCACTAGGCCTCGCGCCGTGCTTTTCGTGCACAAATAAGGCGATTAAATGTATCTTGTCTCTGTGTTAATAAATGTATCTTGTCTCTGTGTTAAAAAAACGTGCTGCGTTTCAGTAAAGTAAATTTGAAGCGAAGTTTATTATTACACTTGTTAAGCCAGGAAAGCCCCACTGAGTCAAAAGGTTTTTGTAGGGTCCTGCCAAGTGTTTGCAGTAGGGGGCGATGTTGCTACACCAAATCGGACGATACGAAGGGAGAGATTGAGGCTTAGTTCTAGGCTTTAGGCCTAGCTGTAGGCTTTAGGGCGCTGTGAGTTAATTTTTAATTTAAATGTTTTAATGATTTATGTAAAAGCTTTAAATTTAAATGTTTCTATTTAAAAACATGAGGGAATGTAACATTGTTAAACATAACTCCCTTTCACACACGCGGGGGTACGATACGAAGGGAGAGTTTCAGGCCTAGTTCTAGGCTTTAGGCCTAGCTGTAGGCTTTAGGGCGCTGTGAGTTTTTTTTATTTAATTTCAAAGTTTTAATTAAAAGCTATCTCAGGGAATAAGGGAATGTTACACGTGTCATGCCAAGTGTTTGCAGTAGGGGGCGATGTTGCTACCAGGATCGCGTCACTGAGTCTAAAGGTTTTTGTAGGGTCATGCCAAGTGTTTGCAGTAGGGGGCGATGTTGATACACGGACGGACGGACGGACACATTAATCTATTGGTGGTCTGGTCCACTTCGTTCCTACCAGTAAAACCTTTAGACTCAGTGACGCTATCCTGGTAGCAACATCGCCCTCTATTGCAAACACTTGGCATGACCCTACAAAAACCTTTAGACTCAGTGACGCTATCCTGGCTAAACAAGTGTAGCATTCCCTTATAATTCCCTCAGATAGCTTTTAATTAAAACATTTAAATTAATGAGGCTTTCCTGGCTAAACACGTGTAACATTCCCTTATAATTCCCTGAGATAGCTTTTAATTAAAACTTTGAAATTAAATAAAAAAAACTCACAGCGCCCTAAAGCCTACAGCTAGGCCTAAAGCCTAGAACTAGGCCTGAAACTCTCCCTTCGTATCGTACCCCCGCGTGTGTGAAAGGGAGTTATGTTTAACAATGTTACATTCCCTCATGTTTTTAAATAGAAACATTTAAATTTAAAGCTTTTACATAAATCATTAAAACATTTAAATTAAAAATTAACTCACAGCGCCCTAAAGCCTACAGCTAGGCCTAAAGCCTAGAAATAGGCCTCAAAGTCTCCCTTTGTATCGTCCGATTAGGTGTAGCAACATCGTCCCCTATTGCAAACACTTGGCAGGACCCTACAAAAACCTTTTGACTCAGTGGGGCTTTCCTGGCTTAACAAGTGTCATAATATATTATGTTTATATTCTTTGGTTATTCGTTCCTACCAGCCCACCCCGCAGGGTCCTGTTTGCGTGTGGCTTATATAGTTTGTCGTCAAACTAGAAGCCATATCTAAGAGGGCCCTTGTCTATAAACATCTGGCAGCTCACCAGCATTGGTTCAAGTGAGGCTGACTGCTGATGAGACAATGAATGTCAAAACTGGTCCAGAGTTTGCTTGTGTTGAACCAATGCTACTGAAATTATGCACTTCAAGAAGACCACGTGTCTGATGGGATGTGTGGAGGACTCGGGCATATGTGATGGAGGCATTGTGTCTGCTTACTTATTGTTTATACTGGTAGGAACGAAGTGGACCAGACCACCAATAGATTAATGTGTCCGTCCGTCCGTCCGTGGGAGGGGTGGTGTTGAGGGTGGTGTTGGAAATGAAAGACTACGAGTCTTTAAATCTCACAGCGTTTCTTGTCAAAACAAACACTTTTAATTAACGTTACACTAGAATACAGTAATTTTTTCTTTAACTCCTCTATACCCGGTCGATATCTCTGTACCGGTACTAAGTATTATTCCTACCAGCCCACCCCGCAGGGTCCTGTTTTAAGTCTTTGTTTAACACCCGACCATTTTTGTCTGTCCTCCATAACCACTGTGTGCTTGCCATCTTGCTCCGGCTGGCGCACCCTAAGTCGGTCCACGGCCCCGCGTGCCGCGTGCCTCGCCGTGTCTGCGTGCACCTCTGGAACAGGCACGCCCTGTGCGGCAAGTTGCAGTGCGAGGGGGGGGCAGAGGCCCCAGTGGTGGGAGGAGGGGCCGTGACCATTCGGACCACGGTGCCCACGCGGGGCGGCCGGCGCGTGCTCTGCAAGGGCGTTCACGTCTACTCGGACATCCCGGACCCGGGCCTCGCGCTCGCCGGAACGACGTGCGGACCGAGGAAGGTATTTTGCCAACGCCTCCTGAGATTCCTCTGTGCCTTCTTTTAATTGCCCACCGCAGCTGCGTAAGAAGCAACCGGGCGGCGGCAATGGTGGCTACCAGAGGTGTGGACTCGAGTCATGTGACTTGGACTCGAGTCATGAATTTGATGACTTCAGACTCGACTTGGACTTGCATAACAATGACTTTGTCCCACCTCTGGTGGCTACGCTGCGCGTGGCCTTTAATGCAGCAACTGTGGAGGCAGCGGCGAGGGTTGATGGATCACCACGCCAATGTTGTGAACCTCCCTTCCCGTGGTCGTCGAGCAGGTTGCATACCCTGGCTCGCCAGAAGGCAGTATAGCAAGTGGACTCAAGTTTCAAGTTTCATTTATTTGCTATAGCCCTGTGAGTCTTAAGTCGAGTGCAACCGCAACAAAAAATATGAACGGAGAACATCTTAAAGCGACGAAACATCCTGGATAAACCAGAAAATCTTCCAAAAAAAACGAACGCTGTGTGCAAATATCCCAGTGTGATGCAAGTCAAACAATAACAACCATAATACAATTTAGATTACCCATATGTTTTCGAAATCACCAAGATAACGCTATAAAAACAATGTAACAACAGTAATCATAGGAACTGTGATTTAAATTTAACAATAAACGATATATAACATGTACGACCAAACTTTGCAGCGGATAGTGTTGTGCCCTCGCAGAAGGCGTGGGTTTTCTCCAGGTGCTAGGTTTCCTCCCACTTGTGTTAACACCCAATAATTGGCTGAAAACATCTTCAAATAAAACACACAATGCGGCAGGACCCTCCTGGAAGGTCCACCCTGGGCTCAGGGCTGCGATGAAGTGGGGCTCCGAGTCAGCGGCCGACTGGCCAGCGTCACGGAGTCCCCACCTCCCAAGACGGTCGCCGTGGAACTGAGCAGAAGGTGGCAGCCCGTGGACTCCTCGCACTCAGTCAGCGATGAAACCAATGCCTTGTCTTTCATTTGCTCACAGTCTGCTTAGGATTGCATACACATCTCGAGAGCTCTCGAAATAATTATACAGCTGCGTTCCTAAACAGTTTTCTTCTTTTACCAGATCTGCCACAATCGGGAGTGTGTTAACGTTTCTACCCTGGGATTTGAAGCATGCTCATCAAAATGTAACGCTCATGGGGTAAGTGTTCATTGTGCACAATCTCGCACCGCTCAAAACACCACGCGGGCGGCAGGGTGTGGTGGCAGCGCAGGGGTGACGCTCGCACCTCAAAGCAAGAAGGGCCTGGGCTTGATTCCCGACTCTTTCTGTGTGGAGTTTGTATGTTCTCTCCCTGTGTTCTGCGTGGGTTTCCCCCTGGTTCGCTGGTTTCCTCCCTTAAATAAAATAACATACGAATGTAACTGGCGTTGGCCAAACATCCCAATGCTGAAAAACTGCCTGCAAATTACTCAATTTCGGATTACCAACAGCAACATCGCTCTCAACTGGGATAACTTGGTAGGACCCTCCTGAAAAAAAAGTCTTGAGACCCAGTGAGGGGTTCCTGGGTAAACAAACGAAAAAAGAATAAATGTGGAAATGTATGCACGAGTCCAGTATCTGAACATTTCCAGTATTTAATGATGCAACATTTGAACCTCATGGTGGGACCCCGGGGTCCCATAAGTCCCCGACTCTCGCATAAACATTATATTATAATGTAATAAACAAAAACTTTCCTCTTTTTCACTAATGGATTTGACGGATGGTGGCAAGTGTTGTCTTGTTAAACTATGTCTTTAAAACTGGAAATTACTTACCTGCAGTACCTCTATTTAAAGACACTATACAAAAAAATGTTTACACCCCTCTGTCAATCATCGTGTTTCTCAGTGTGGATTTGTGAACACACTTTGTAAACAGTACATCAAATAGTACGCGTTTTCAATGGGCTGTTTATATTGTAACAAGCGTTTATACCAATGTTACTCTCCAGAGTAGTGGGTCGCCGCTCCTCTTATGCACATTGATACGAGCGGTATGTGGGGACTATGGCTTATCCGCAGCCCTCAGACATGCTGACATTGTGGGTCATGTTCAGCAAGGGAGAGGAGGCTTTGGACTAACTAGCCGTGCTGCTTGGAGTAAGGCCACTGCACCAGAGCGGCGGAAGATGGTAGTGCAGGAAGTACGCCATCAGGAGGAGGCTGCAAGGTGGGCCAAGGCAGTCTCTCTTGCCAAACAGGGACAGTGGACTCGATGGGACAGTGTGGAGAAGAGGAAGATCAGCTGGAAGGATGTGTGGGCCATGGAAGCGAGGCGGTTGAGCTTTTCCATCAGAGCAACATATGACGTCCTTCCAACACCAGTTAATCTTCACCAATGGTATGGTGAAGATCCGGACTGTGCCCTCTGTTCCATGCCAGCCAACCTCAGGCACATTCTCACAGGGTGTAAAACAAGCCTCACCCAAGGACGCTACACTTGGCGTCACAACCAAGTCCTTAAAAACCTTGCATCCGCCCTGGAGGACAAGCGAACTGCCACCAACTCCCTACCACCCCCAGCAGCATCACACCCCTTACGGACGACCTTTGTCCGCGAAGGGGCTAAACCACCAAAGAGCGGCTCTACACCAATAGAGCGAGACCAGCTGCGCTTGGCCCGCGACTGGAAAATGCTAGCTGACATTGGCCGGCAACTTGTGTTTCCTCCGGAGATCGCAACCACCACCCTAAGACCTGACATGGTGCTCTGGTCCCGTTCGCTTAAGAAGGTCTTCATCATTGAGCTCACAGTACCCTGGGAGGACTCAGTAGATGAGGCTTATGAGCGAAAACATCTGCGCTATGCCGATCTAGCTGCTGAAGCACGGCATCATGGCTGGAACACAGAAGTCCGACCAGTGGAGGTGGGCTGCAGAGGTTTTGTGGCAACATCTACAACCAGACTGCTTAGAGACCTGGGAATTAAGGGCCAGAGCCAGCGTTCGGCAATCAGAGCTGTATCGGAGGCGGCAGAAGGCAGCAGTCAGTGGCTCTGGATGAAGAGGAAAGACCCCAGCTGGGCCCCAAAGTGAGAGGGCCAGGAGGTATGCAGTCAACAATGCTTGACTCAGGGATGAGGACGCCCCTGCCATGCATAGTCCCATGGGATGTTGGCTATCAACAACAAGGCAACTCCTATGACTAATTGGGAATGGGACGCAAGCGTAGGATTGATCACCCTGTCGCTGGCCGCCTTTGGGGAGGGTGTATAGTATGAAAGGCCGAAACACCCTAGGACCCAAAGGTTCACTACTGACGATGCGCTCCCCAAATTTCACCAGGCTCACTGTTCATGAACTCTTGGAAGTGCTTGCACAAAGGATAATAACATCTCATCCTGTGTTCTTTGGAATCTGAATCCGCATAAAAAACCTATGCGCAGATGCATACCGACAAGAGAAGTATTATCAAACAGGAGGATTTAAAGGTGCAATGCATCTCATCTGTTAAATATCTGCAGGTAATAGGATTGTCATCGATTGATCCTGTGGCTGCAGACATTGGTAGGTCACAAATAATAATGAAGATAAGAGAGCAGTATCACTGTATTATGCACACCGTTGTGACAAATAAATGACTTAAGTCGTGTAGGCAGTTTGAGCAGCTTTGGATAAGACTAATGATCCTGCCCATACCCGAGCATGGAGTGCATTCACTTGTTCAGCTCTTCTGCGCATTCGTTCTCGCTGCTGTGCTTGGACGACAACAGAATGATCCGCGCCAGGTGGGTCGAGGCGTTTATGTGCGGGGTGGGACGGAGTCGCCAAAAGTAAATGAATTACGATTTTGACTTCCGTTTATTTGGGACCCCGGGGTCCTGCCATAAAGGTTCATATCTCGAGCAGTTTTGTGTATGAAGCCAGATTTAAAGAGTTAATTGGAAAGTAAATGTCCATACCGCGTGTGTAAATGTCTTCGGAAAGGGGCTCTTGTTAACCTCTCCCCGTCGCGCCTGCAGGTTTGCAACAGTAAAGGGAACTGCCACTGTGACCCTGGCTGGGATCCGCCGCTCTGCGATCAGCCGGGCAATGGGGGCAGCGTCGACAGTGGGCCCGTTCCGCCAGCCACCGGTCAGTGGCAGGGCAGCAGCATTTCCTCCCATGCCGCGATCCCCCATCACCTAGTTGCCCATCCTTCTTCTTGGTTCTTTCGGTAAAGTCACGTAGAATGGAAATAATACAATATAAAAATAAAACTTAATAAAATAATTCTCACGACGTTTCGGCCACAACGCAAGCAGCCGTCCTCAGGTGAAGAACAGGTCTGTCGATAAGACAGCGTCTGTTCTTCACCTGAGGACGGCTTCACCTGAGGATGGCTGCTTGCGTTGTGGCCGAAACGTCGTGAGAATTATTTTATTATGTTTTATTTTTATTATTTTATTATTTCCATTCTACGTGACTTTACCGAAAGAACCAAGAAGATGAATCCCTGTAGTCACGAAAGCTTTAAATCTAAATTGCCCATCTTTGTTGGCGATGATCTCTCTATATTGAACTTCTTTTGCACCCGACGTAGCCAACCATGCTAATCGGATGCAATATGGTTCAAGAGCTAAATAACAAACTGCTAGAGTGTTAGGGTTTTGTAATAACCAGGATTGAGAAAATGTATGTTAGAATTGCAAGTCTGTAGATGACCACAAAAATACTTTAAAAAGTCACCTTCCCTGTATTTGTCTCTCCAAAATACAAGTATTTTCTTTACACATCTCATCAGCCACACGGCCTTCCGGGAGTGCATAATTTCAGCAGCATTAGTTCAGCACAAGTATTCTTGGGACCAATTTTGACATTTAGTGGGTCATCAACAGCCACGCTTGCTTGAACCAATTCCAGATATTTATAGACAATGACCACCCTCTCTGTTCAATATGGGGCCCCCAGTATTTACCAATGAAGCGGCATTACCTTGCCATTGCAACGTCTGCTCTCAGGTCGCGTGGCTCTAGCGGTGAGGGAAGCGAGACAGAGATGTGTGGTGCAACGGGGGGGCGCGTGTGCGTTGTTTCACAGGCGCCGGCGTGGTGGCCGGTGTGGTGGTGGCGAGCCTGTTGGTGCTGGGGATTGCGCTCACGGCGCTGGCCCTCAAATGTCTCCGTCGCCCGGACTGGTCGGTCACCACGGTCCTCGGCTCCTTCCGGTAAGTGCCGACGCTGCGGCGTCAACATTAGTGCCGTTCTATTCTTGCGAAGGCAATACAGTTGGGGAGCTAAATAACAATGTCGAGATCTTATGGCCTTGAGGGCTTCAAGAGTTTGTTTAGTATTGCTATTCTGTTGAATGAGCACAGACTAGTGTTTTTCTTACATGGTCCATTGATTGAGTTGTATGGCCACAATGGCGCAACTGTGGCTTGTCTTCAATTTTACATTCATCAAGTGTGCATCGACCTTGTTGATGGTTACACCAGTGGCTGAGGAGGAATGTCAAAGGCAAGAGGTGCGAAGTGACGATACACACAGTGAGCTGGGAATATGAATGCTTATGACGAACAATTTGATTGATTTTATTTGTTATCGTGGGTTAAACATTCAACCATCAGCTGTTTTACAAGAATGACCCACAGAGGAGCTTGAAGAATAGGAAGTCACATCAGCGTATGTATCATGACATTACACACACCGAGTAGCAAGTTAAAACACCGCGAAATGTCAACGACAGCTAGGATACTGTAGCCATGGTGACTTGAATTCCCCAACATCACGATGGGCAGAAGTGAGCCCCCCCGCCCTGTCTGCCTGGACAGAGTGAGGCGGCGAATTGGGTGCACAGCGGAGTCTTTAAAGAGTCACATTCCTCCAAAAATATACCAGGCATCATTTCGGGCAATGGTCCCTTTATAGCAAACAGCAGGAAGGCGATTGCCTGAAATATGACTTAAATATTTCTAGAGCTTCCTTTTTAAGGCTACAAGTATTATTGAGGAATGCAGTGAATTATTGTTATTTTTCTTGTACTTCACTGCCAATGCCAAATGACTAAATAATTAGGTCTGTATACGGCAGATACACAAGAAAAGCAGCATTTCCAAGGTTCGTGAGGGGATGAGTGTCAGGTCAAGCGTTTCATTTGCAAGCAAGTGTTGTGTGTACATGTGGGATTGTGTGTGCAAGTGAGCATACACAGTACCCACATGAGTGGGTCGTGGTTAGCGCAATACACTACGAACCCGCCAACCAGGGGTTCACGGCCAACATGAAGTGCCAAATATATAAACTGAACTTTGGCCTCCTAGGTTGACTCGGCCGTAAATGGGTACCTTGCGGTACATTCACATCACCAGCGGGGAGACAAAGGTAGCCGGGCGTAGTGGTGCTAGCCTTCTGTTGGCTTTCAGAGGTGCTCGTTAACAGCACTCACCCTGCCTGTGTGATGCACCATGTGTCACTGTGGTCTGGGTTGGAATGACTGAGGCTGCTTCTTCCTTTCCAAGGCATGGATGGCTGTGAGTGAAGGTATCCCTTTCACATCTCCTGCGCAGCACTCCTCTCACACACAGAAGTGCGAGGAGGCTTCTGTGCCACCACCGTGTGTGAGGTGGGAGGGTAGGGGAGGATCGTACAGTGGGCGCAGCCGTTGAGAGGTTGCGGTGCAGCCCAAGGGGTGTGTGGTCACTGCTCCATTGCTTTGTGTGACCCTTGGAAAAACGACTTGTCTCAATCAACTCTCACTTGGCTTAGAACAAACATGGCTTAAAACATGTTACTCGAATCGCACCCACCCTCCCTCCCAGGCCTACTGCTATAGTTTTTTCCAACACTCACCATTAGGTCCTCCCCTTGGTGAACAACCCTTGGGCAACATCCTCACGTGGGAGTTGCTGTTTTCTTGTACCTGTGGATACAGGCGTCGGTTTCTCCCAGACTCACAGGGTATACGCCTTCACACGTCAGCCTTGAGTCGCACATCACCTCTTCGCTCTCAACGCACGATTCAGCTCTTGCTTGAACACACCGCTGTCCGTCTTCATTTGATGTTGCTTGTGGATCACTTGTATCCTGAAAAACCATTGTCTTGGGAGCAGCAGCTGAATCAACCGAGGACTCAGTATTTTTGTCGCAAAGTTTGTGCAGCTCTTGAGACAGACTGCGTACGCGAGAGGACATTTGGCAGCTGACGAGAAGAACGATGTTGCCACCAACTCGTAGCACCCTGGAAGAAAAGGTTAATAATGTAGAAGTGACGGAATATCGAGACCACGATAATCTAAATGTTGAGAATTTATCGACCGATTAAATTATTTATAGCATGCAAAAGTACTCAAAGAGTTATTATCATTGTCAGAAGTTATAATCAAGCCACTGAGGGATGAAGGTCTCCCCCACGCCTCCTTTAGTCTCAGGACTCTTTCTAGGTTTCCTGTAGGAAGTCGGTGAGTCCCACTCTCAGTGTGCGCACGTGCAAGGAGGAGAGAATGTACACTGTCCATTCACAGTAGGATAGCAGTCTGCTTGTGGTGCTGCCTCGTGCTGGCATCTTGCTGTCGCTGCAGGTGAGTGTCAAGCTGGACCTCCCCAGATTCCCAAAACCCTTCGCATAATTATTTGGTGGAGGCGTTTGTCACTACACCAGGCCTCGGTATGCGAAGGTTCCGTTGGCCTGAACTTCACAGTACAGTTAAAGAGTTTTGTGTTGGAAAAGTGCGAATAAAAACAATACCACAAATTCTTTCAGACTTTAACCAAGCAGTGTTTCAAAAACTAAGATCTGGCACAGAGTAATAATTGACAGTAAAAGTTAGCGTGTAAAAAACGATGAAGAAAATATTTGAAGCAAATTATTTTGCCAAAATAATTCCCAGAGAAAATAGCTCAACCGGTAATTTTCATTAATGGCTTGTCTGTAGCGGCTGTGTTCCATACATCTACAAAGTCATTGTTATGTGGGTGTACCAAAAGGGCTGTTGTGATTTCCATCACATCATCTCCCTCCTAAAATCTCGTGCAGTAGCGCGGCTCTCCATTGATGGCCTTGAGCTAGCGATGGGAATGCCGCATGGCTGGCATGGCAGCCAGTTTCTTTGAAGGACAACCACCAGAGGTCGCAACCAGGTACCCGATACCCGTACCCTACCCGATACCCGGCTACCCGTACCCGGCCGGGTACGGGTACCCGTTTGCGACCCTGGTGCGGCTGGGTACGGGTAGGCCGTGAGTCACTGGTGAGTAACCGTTTGTCACTCATTTCCCAACGTCTTGTCTCTTCTCACAATTCAAGTTCCTAGAATCAACCCACCCGCGCCTGCAACATGGCTTCATCCCAGAGGTCGCAATCAGGTACCCGATACTCGTACCCTACCCGTACCCGGCCGGGTACGGGTACCCATTTGCGACCCTGTTGCGGCCGGGTACGGGTAAGGAATCAAAACCTGTTTGCGACCTCTGACAACCACTCGGGACTGCCACGAGGTGGCACTTAGGAGCAAGCCCTGACTGGAGTTTGAACTTGGAAGTCTCTGGCTCTGCTGCTGCACCGTGGCCCCTTGGGCACGCGTGCCTCGACAGGTTTCGTCAATGGACCCATCAGCGACGACGATAACATCGGGTGTAGGAAAGGTGCATGATTGTTTCAATTTGGAATTGGCTATGATATGATTCATATTCTTAGGTTTTTTTTCGGTAAAGTCGCGTAGGTAAAAAACGTCGTGATTTTTTACTTTTATTAATTTAAAATTTTTACCTATGTGACTTTACCGAAAAAACCTAAGAATGTGAATCCTTGCAGTCACGAAAGCTTCAAATCTAGAATATTATATGATTTTTAAAAACTACAGAAAGGTAGCATTCTCACGCCAGGCAATACGACATTGACTAAAAATAATTACAAAACATGCTTACCTCATCATTTCTTGTAATATTTTTGGCATTAGAGTCTTCATCTCTTCATCACTGCTATACTTCTGTCCAAAAGGAATGTCACAGATGATGACATCAATAGCATTGCAGGGGATCGGCAGGGCTAAAAGACATCAACGTTCACATACACAACATTCCATAGTCATGTCTCAGCCATAATGGGATCAAACGTTTATTACAAAGAGACATTCAAAAGTAACACAATCAAAAGTTACTCTAGGCTGCAAAGGGAAAATATACAAACATGCACAGATTGCCATATTCCACCTGTGACAGAGGCTTGAAGCAACCCAACCCTATGATCCAGTTCTGCAAAGTGAATGTTCTCTTTGGCTTGCGCGAGTTGCTGTGCGTCCACATCTGTTCCAAGGCAGCGCACGGTCTGGAAAAACATTTTTGTTGCGTAAATCTGCGCTCTTGCCTGGTGCGACCACAATGATCCAACAATTATATTTACGTACATTGTGTTACGGACTGTGGACTGAACATAAATCATATAAGTCCTCCTTTGTTCATGCTTTAAGACAAATGTGCGTGTGAATTTGTGTTTATTGTTAATTGAGCTATTGATCTCCACTGGCCACGAATTTTATCACCCCGACGGAGCCAGGAGAGCCCTTCTGTCATCAGTAGACCTCGCAGAAAATTTCATTGACATATTAAAAAAAATATCGGACCCATGAGATCACAGCCAGTGAATCGTCCACTGCGTCATGGATATCAGAGCTTCCTCAAGGTTGACTCCGATGGCTGCACGGCCAAATCTGCAAACCTGGCTCCATGCCATTTCTCTAGTTTATTTACATCATAAATGGCGATAATAAATAAAACGGACTTGCTTTTGATCGAGCACTATCACACTGGTGAGTGTCTGAGCGCTTTACACGCAATAAGTAACTTGCATCACATCCCAGCTCAGGCATCCTCAAAGGAGACCCCCCCCCCCACACCCAGTAGCAGCTGCCTCTGTGCGGAACAAGTTGACTCGGCACTTGGCCTGCAAGCGGACAAAAGTTTACCAATAAGGGGCGCTGCTTGCTGCTCTGAGTTATCCCAATTGAGTAATCAATTGACACCGGTATCGGTGCCCAAGCAGTGAGGTTCACTCAGCTTGTAAATCCCATGGATCGTTTAGTTTGCATGGTAGCCTCAATGATGGCCAAGGCGTTTTTGGATGTTTGGCGAATTCCTTATGGAAGAAAAATACAGGCGGCCTATAAAACACCCCACTCACCTTCCATGCTATAGCAGCCTCCAATAGCAGTGTCCCCATGCCACACATGGGGTCCATGACAACTGTATGTGGCTGACAAAAACACACACAACACACATTCGTGACTCCTGTGCATCGCACTTTAGCCATGCATTCGCTTTGAGCATGAAGCAGTTACTAGCTGTAAGATGCCTTGATGGTTTGAACCTCCATTAAGAAAATGGTTGTTACTGATGACATCAATATACCAAACGTACAAAGTTGTTTGTGTAATTAATTCCGATGTAATGCGTAGGTTTTGCACAGACACGATCTGGTCCATTTTATGTTGTAAGGCCCTCCCACCACCCGACACAGCCATACAAATACAATTCTCAATTCTTAAATTCTGTCCTCAAGATGCTTGGCAGTTTCAAGTGAAATGCCGTCATCTGATATATTGCCTGAAACTGACTGAAACATACGGAGCTGTTTGGCCTCGGCGTAGCCTGAAACGCCCCGCCCTGTCCCCTCTAGCGGTGTCGCAGTAGTTAATAGCTCGGTGGGCTTCACCTGGTAAGATAAAAAATTGTTTAGTTTAATTTGCATATATTTTTAAAGTAATCTGTTTACCTTCCCTACACTTTGCACACCGATCGTGTAATAATCTTCTGACCCGCTCCTTACTGTACATCTGTGAAAAAGAGCTTTATAACTGATCGGATCCCTCCAGTGTAATTCTGATTCTGACAGCCCACGTACCACGAGCTTAACAATGGGACATTCACGTCCCTGGCTTGCACAGTACCTGGATTCCCGCGAGGCTGGCCATAGCATACGCCACGGTGGAACGCAAACCGGAGCGAATGCAGTACCCTCTTTTTGACAACGGAATCCTGGGAAGAAAATAACAACTTTCATTGATTTTGTTCATATGCAATACAATTAAACATTTTGCAAACATTATGCTCTGCACTTTAACATTTAAGTTGAAAACAAATTTCTTTAGAACTGTGCTCTTTGTGTTTAGTTGTTGTCCTTCCCCCACACCTCCGATTCGCACGGTTGGCCACGTACGGTGCAAAAGAAGTTCCACATATGTACATAATAAAAATAAAATATTTTTACATCATTGACAGCTTGAATAAAAGCGAGAGATAAATAATGTTTGTTTTGTTAGTGAAACATCGAGTCAATATCTTGCAATTCTTGGGAATAGTTTTTTTCTCAAATGTATGTTATCTGTAGACTGTCAACAATTTGCATACAAAGGTCGTAAGTCGTCTTGTCCTGGTATTCTAATTCGTGATTCACAGATAACAGAAAGAAACAATTGGTAAATATCCAGGAAGATTGGAGGATTAGCTGGATCCCATGGATAACTGGAGTCAGGATAAGACAGCCACACACAAAACTTTTATTTTTGATTACGTAATTGATATTGTGAAATAAACAGTTTATGTACAATTGGCTTAGATAAGGTGTGAGCTGCTGCTGACTCACCGTGTAACAGGAAACGCCACAACGCAATACAAATCATTCAAATGCACGAACACCTGCAAAATAACACAGTCAAGTACAGGGCAACCGACCTTGAATACGAGGGACAGTGTAATTTATCAACTATCATGCCTTATGAATGGAGTTGGCCAAACATCCAAATAGAGAACCCCCACAGAGCTTGGCAAATTGTTGGCGCTAACTTTGGCTGCCTTCCCGCTTGCCTGTGGTTTCCTGTGCCTCCGAATCGTTTTCTCTCCGCATGACAGTGAATGTAAACTGTGCGTGTTACAATGGTAAAATTATTAATATACGGTGGAATAGGATAAGTAATCATTTAATTTCCATATGTATCCAAAAGGAGTTGAACATTTATTTTGGCCAGCGCGATTTTGGTCGATTAGGGCACAATCACATGCTTCAGATCGCATTCAATCATCTGATCGTGAACCAGTGTGATCCGCAATTCTGCAGATCTCACTGGGATCCGACAACTCCAGGTGCTCACCAATGCCTCCGGCAAAATCACAGGTGTAGCCGCTAAGTCACAGGTTGTAGCCACTACCCATGTACAGCGCCACGCTTGTTATAGAACAACGCCACGTAGTGTCACGTGCGGCCACGCGGAGGCGCTGCAGTACTTATAGACTGCTAGAGTTGACACGTGTTGTTGTGCAGCTTGGATGGAATGTCTATTAAAAGTGGATGTTCAGGCCACCGAGCGTTCATGCGGATTTGCGTGCTGCGTACAGAAGCACCTACACGCGCGAAAGATGTCGGTCATTTACGCATTTACGGATGGCGAAACAGACATTGACGACGAGCCATTGCACTGAAATGATCCGCAGAATGCTGCCGATTGGAAGAGATGATTATTCTGAATGATGAAATGAAAATAGGCTTTGCCATTTCCGGCAATAATACAGGACGTGTTAAGATGGTCAAACACCAAATAGACACCTATTGCAAGGCATCAAGTCTGCATTAACCACTTGCTTGTATTTCGATTTAAAGCTTTCCTGACTGCAGGGATTCATATTCTTGGTTCTTTCGGTAAAGTCACGTAGAAGGGGAATAATAAAAGAATATTATTTTATTATTTTCCTTCTACATGACTTCACTTGCTTGTAGTCAAAAATGCAAACGCACGTTGACAAGACAACCTCCTTTATGGCCTTGTCTCACAAAAAAAAGAAAAAAATATGAGAAAAGAAGAAGAAAATAAGAAAAAAGAAATAAACAGAGACCTGTTTTAACACCCGTATTATTGCTGGAAAGGGTAATGGCCTATTCTTTTTCCATCATTTGGACACAGACAAAAAATGGTTCCAAAGATATGATTATTCTGCAGCCCAGCAGAGTTCCATCATCCAGCTGGAAACATCGCAGGAGAACTTCTGATTGGCCGCCGGGATGCACAGGGCCCGTTCCAGGAGTTCTGATGTGCGTTCCAGACACTTTAATTTGTATAACCGTTGGTATGATCGCAAGCGGATATTTACATGAGCACCAGTTAAGTCTATCATTCACAAATAGATCAGTCATCCACTTTGTTATTCACGCTGGGAAGGTGGTGACGATGCATTCATTTTCATGTGCATGTGAAACCAACTTATTCCATAAGTCAAGTTTTTTAAAACTTTAGAAATTAATTACCTTCACAATTACTCCCCAGATGTGATGTGGAATCTTTCACTGTGAGGTTGCCTAAATTGTAGAACTACCCGCAAGACATTTTTGTCGTAAATTTAAATTCCACAGTGCACACAGTCAGCATCCACGATGCTATTTGCCATATGTCCACATGCCGCCTCTCTGCGATGCCAAACCAGAGTTTGATCATAGTGGTATTTTAAGTCTGAAACCAAGAAAAGGGAGTTCAGTGTTTAATATAATGGAGTTTACCAGTGGAATAACAGATCCGTTGGTCGTGTACATCTTTCGTGTACACACGAGTATTTTACTTACAACTGACATTTCCCGTGACTTGAAAGTGTTTTATAGCACCGTACCGAATCCCAGTTAGTCATGTGCTTCTTAAATGCAGCATGCAATGTGTGCATAGTTGTGGATGACATTAAAATAGGAATGCGTTTGTCGTAAATGCTTGTCAACGAGTGTTGAACCTACTTCGAGCTGTGGATGGCGTAGGTCCGTGTTCCACCCATAGGCGTTTGCCAGTGCCTTCCCTACTGCCTTACCCAGGTCCTGAGTGCATAAAAAAAAAGACAACACACACAGTGAACCACAGCCAGGGCACAATGTGTCACCCACCTCGGTGCACACTAGGACATGTGGCCGTGGCAGCCCTAAAGCAGTGGTGGAAATGTCACATTCCTATGCCAGGAGACAGTCTCACCCCACAGAACAAACCGGTGTTGACGTCTCACAAGATGGGGCTCGTTTTATGGACTCTCGAGAGGATGATTGTGCCGAGTTAACTCTCAACCAGGAATTACGCTTTAGATCTTCCCATTGTGAGATGAGGGTGTCACAACAGTGTTCCACAGCTGGATAAACAAAAGTTTGTCTCTTTGCAATGAAACGAACTATTTTCAAACATCAGTTTTAGATTAAATCCATCAGGGTGGTGCTTTGCCAAAGAGTTATAATCAGAAACATTCGCAGTGTTCCCGCAAGTGAACTGGAGTCATCATCAATGCAGCTTAGAAACGCTGACCAGACTATTTGGTATCCAACCTCTGTGAAACGTTCATCATCATCACATCATCAAAAGGTCTGCATTCCGTGCAACGCTTGAATATAAAGTTAGTACATTTAGCAGTCTAGAGGTAATCAATATAGCCTTGTAGTAGCTGGACTTCTGTACATAGACTACGATGCAAAATTACGTTCAGCTTCATAAGTGGTTCAATTGTGTAAAACACTACACCATCAATGCACCCTAACTGCTCCATCTTCTGTTGCAGAATCGCCAGCAGCCCGGCCAATGCATTGGTGAAGATGTGCGGGGCTAAACGCAGCCCAGATGGCCGGGAAGGGAATTAAAAGTGCTCCTCATTGAACAAGGACATTTGTGCGATTCCCTGATGAGAAACACGAAGCTTCCCACTCTCAGTGTGAGCCGAGGCCAATCGGATACCTGTCTAAGGTGCCAACTGTTAAACCGTGAATTTCCATGAAATAACTTTAAATCTGGTCCTTCAGGTGGAGCTTTTACATTTGCATATGCCAGCGGGAATAAACTCCTATTCACGATTTTAAAGAGGGGGGCCCCTGACCTAACACAGATTCCCTTTGTGCTTGTGGTGGAAAGTGTCTGCCAGCTGTAGGGGGTTGGACCCCGCTTGCACTGATGAACCTTCGAGTGGCCTTTTCATTTAGTTCAAATCCGGGTCGTTTTGCTTCGATGCAATCGCCGCCACTTACGAGTCCCAGCACGAAGTGCGCCCCCCCCCCCACTGCCCCCCCCCCCACTGCTCCTGGCAGCTGCCTCCGCAGCCCAGGCCAGGCGCTGCGGCCGTCACTCTGCCCTGGGGGCTGCCACGCCGTCAAGTACAGGTTTCAAGTCGATTTTGTGTCACCAGGTTGGGACATCAACATCAAGAGACCAGGCCGAGTGTCATGAGACCTGGGGAATCAGTCTACCAGTTAGGGGGCCAATGATGGATGTGCATAATTATGAAGTGCCTTGTTTCCATTACATTTAGCGAGGAGGCAATACTGATGACAATGTGATTACTGATTACAAAGTGATTGAAATCTTTAAGATGGCAATCTTGATACTGCAGCAATACCTGCCCTAATGTGCCCACACATTGTGTCTCCATCTCACCAACACGTGATTCTTTGTCTGTCCGGCTTCATTTTAACATCCATTTACTTGATAATGTGTATTGTCATTAACCAAATTGCTGCCCACTTGAAACACAAGCATGTAGAATTCTAATTTGATGATGTGATATTTGAGTGCCTTTAACATCTTTGACTCATATTTTGTGGTTTCAACTGGGGACCAAAGAGATCATCAGGGCTCAATAGATGGCACAGGGCGCACCGGTGAGCGTTAGCAGGGATGGGGAACGTTAGAGGAAGCCTTTGACTGTCCGCAGCCGCCCCAGGTGAACAAAGGTAACAAGGGAGAGAAGCTATGCACTCAAATGATTTGGGTTCATGTGTACACCAAGTTTGTATGTATGTTGAACTTCTTTCGCACCGTACATAACCAACAGTGCTAATCTGTTTGAGTCAAACTTCATGATTGTTATTTATGTATCTTGTGCAATATATTGTGTACGTGACTTTTTGCGACAGAAGCCAAATAAAACCACAAATAAGTGTGACCTGCATGGTGCATTAACTCGACCGTATTTCACAATGCGATATTGTTGGCATTAAAATGACAAACAAAACACAAACGCATAAAGACATTAAAGCAGATACGCATACATCTTTCATGGTATTCACATGGAAAATATCTGTGGTAGGTAGAGTGTAATAAGGATCACACGGATCTTTCAATAACACTGGCCTGGACTGTTGCAGCTGTTTTAGACTAATTTCAGGGTGCTGATTCCAAATCTGAACTCAGATTTGCTCCATCACATCTCATTTTTTGTTATCGGATTACCTCATTTTCATTGATTTTACCCGAAATTAACTCTGTCACTTATGATTGCAAGTTGTTGCGAGTCAGTGACTGCTTTAGTGTTAAAATATGGTGCTGTAATTTTAGGATAGTGTGTTTATAATATCATTTTATGTAGATATCCACATTTATTTAATATTTTTCTTCTGCAGTTTTTATTGACAATGCAATATTTGATATCTCAAAAACCTGACGTGATAGACAAAAACTGATGCCAGATTTGGAATCAGCACCCCAAAATTACATTAAAACCGTTGGAATACCTTATGCCAGAAAAAGTGTGTTGACCAGTGTAATCACATCTCACATCTAATTTACAGAAACGAAAATCGAATTGATTGGGCTGGGCTTGTACTGTGCCAGAGCTGTCGAGCTGTCCCCAATCCTCGTGTTCTCTCAATGCAAGAGCGGTCATCTGAATGGCATGTCCCGTGACATCACAACCAGGCCAGTTGGTGGCTGCTGTATTGGAAGCAACCCCAGAAGAGGGCGAACATCACTGGCCAGTGAAATGGAGCCAGTAGGCCCCCTGGTCACTGTCTCACTCGTTCACTAAACCACATGTAACCCACACGCGACTTCTTGTTGTCAACAACCACCACTGCATCCTCACGGCCATCGTCAATGTGTGCCTTTGGCATGGCAGCGTCCCAGTCAAGATCATGTTACTCGAAGGGCATCCAAACCTCCCTCCCAGGCCTGCTGCGATAGTATATCTCAGCACTCACCATTAGGTCCTCCCCTTCGTGAGCAATCGCTGGGCACCCACAGAACCCATCTCAAAAACAGACCTCCTCCACCGTGCACACTGCATCACATCCTCCTCTTCCCAAGCACTGCCTCCATGTGACTCAGTGCTATCGATCCACACACTAACCCCCCGTTTTCACTTCCACCTACAATCCAGCGCCAAACACTTCCTTTAATAATAATGATTTGTTTTTGATAGAGCGCCCTCTACACGTCTGAGAACACCCCCCGTGGCAGGTGACTCGGCACCTGGCCTGCAAGGGGGCATTAGTCTGCTCCTGGATATGAACCTTATGGCGGGACCCCGAGGTCCCATAAGCCCCCGGTTCTCGCATAAACTGCGTTGCGACATCATTTTATGTCTGTTGAAGGCGAACGATACGGCAATCCATTCCTCTCTACGAGCTCTGCACGATGCGCTAATCAAAGTTTCGCTTGTTCAGCTCTTCTGCGCATTCGTCCTCGCTGCTGCGCTTGGACGACACGACAACAGAATGATCCGCGCCAAGTGGGTCGCGACGTTTATGTGCGCGGTGGGACGGAGTCGCCAAAATAAATTTATTATTTACAATTTTGCCTTCCGTTAATTCGGGACCCCGGGGTCCCGCCATAAGGTTCATATGATTCACTCTCTAACTATCCGACCTTTTCGGTAACAGAGATATTACTTACTCAAGCCCCAAACGGCTGACTTTCCACCCTCTTCTTTTCCAATGTGGTTGAAGAATTCGATCAATTCCCAACCCGCTCGGTGCATCTCCGCACCTCATGCTCACGATCTCTTACGTTCCGCGCGTTTCTACCACTCTCAACTCTCTCACGCATCCGCCACATCGCCCCTGTAAGTAACGCTTGCGAGAATACCGTGAGAGAGGCACCCCGAACCCACGTTGCAACTTTTGTGAAGCTCGACTCTACGTTTCGGGATTCAGCAATGCCGTACATCTCTAACAGCATCCCCATGGGAGAGGCATTCTGACAGCAATGCAACGGGTGCATTCCACAGCGATTGTGCCCCAGTTCAAGATGCACATGTTGTGATGGAGTTCTGGCCTCCCTCCCTTCCTCCCAACTGCGGAATGCTGTGATTTTGCGTGCGGTTTCTCAGCAATTGGTTTTTGCATCTTACAATTTCTGAACACAGGGCCACACCCCCTAAAATCTCAAGCGGCCAGCAGCAAACAGCACTGTTAACATTTACAAGGTTGTGATAAAGCTTGGTAAAAAGAGACTATGGGAGGGAAGAAGTAGAATTAGAAGTATTGTGACCCGTAGTGTGACGGAGTGGGTGAGTCAGTGAGTGTTGTATTGTCCCACAGCGTGGTGGTTGAACGCTGTGTCGATGAGATGAAACAGCGAGTCTGGCAGACCGAGTTCCTGAGCCTGTGCGGAGTTCACAGAAACAGTAAGTAGAATAGTAGCAAGACAAGAATGATAAGGAGGCGACTGACCACTTTTGAGTGAAGTTCATGGGAAAAGTAACCATGGTAGTAGCGATTTAAAAGTGATAAAGATGCAACTGACCATCGATGAGCGAGTGACTGGAGTGATTCAGTGAGTGTTGGATCACCAATCACCCTGACTGCTGCTTTACTCCGAATTATACCAGTACAGGTTGGAACTAGGTGCTCCACACCCCAGATCTGTGGTGAGATTAAGCAGTCTCAGTTATGTCCTAGTTGCACTACAGCTCTAGGCACCCAGGCCCACACTAGATTGCAAACTGCACGATGGCCCAAACTTCCTGTAAAAAATATTTTGCCAAAATGGATTTATGATGGCTCAAAGCACTGTAAAAAATAATCAGCGTATCACGCTGCGCTCTCATCAGTGTATATAAATGTAATGAATTGCAGATTATCATGTGGAAAACCCTTTTAACATTTTTGGTCACTTTTAAAGCAAATTTCCACTGATACATACTGTGTCCCACAACACAAGAAGCTGTCACAGTATATGAATCGCACGTTTTAATGTTTTAACATTAATATGAACTCGTTTTAAACCGATGGACCTACCTGAGAGTTGTAATGTTGACTGTTGTTCCCACTACATCGGAAAGACACTCGGAAGCTTTCAACATCGGTTGGCGCGCAGATGCGATGGTGCATCATCTCAGAGGTCCCAGGCTGCGCCTCAAACGCAGATTCACCTCCTATTTCCGCAGGCCTCCGTGCGTCACACCTGTCTGTCTCTCGCTCAGCGTTCTCCAAATCGATCTCCTTAGCCACACGATCGGGCACAGGCTCCATCCTTGTCGGTACAACTTGCGGATCGAGCATTGGTGATGTCCTTTCCTTCTTGCAGCAAGAAGCCGTTTCACCTTGAGCACGCCTCTTTCTGTGGGATACGCGCTCACCGTGAGGGCCTCGTTGCACAGCCTGCAGGCCCTTCCACAGCGTCACAGCGTCGCCCCACGACGCGAGGTCCGACGTCACTCGCTTGGAGATCATCCTCAACCCAGCGCCTGCAAATAAAGAACGGGGTTCAACGTACGTACAGGAAACGCACACATTTTTTTTACCGGAGAACTAAAATCACTTGATTACGAAAACCGCCTTATTTAAATTTCAAACACAGCTCAAGAGGCTTTATTGGCAGTGGTGCATTCGCAAAGACTTAATGAGCCTCCCAATATTAATTGGTCCGAATGAGTTATCACGTAAGTACAAATAGAGATGTGAATTGAAGGAATGGGAAGCTCAGTCAATGGTGGTAGAAGACACTTGGATTTCTATGCACTCTGCCAAGTGCTTGTAATTGCCAACACACTTTATAATAACCTCACTTGCAATTGCGTTTGACTAGTGTATCTTTCGCAGTTTTCAACTCACCCTATGTCTGTTTTATGTTTTTTTACTTATACCGTACTGTGATCAGTGCAAAAATTATGTTCCCAAGTAGACTTATGCTGCAGGGATGTTTTTAATTAACATTGATTTATATTTGTGCAATATTATTTTGGATTTTTCAGTCGAGTTATTTTTTGCTTTGATTTTCAATAGCTTCATTGCTGTACTTTCTTTATAATTAGTTTTTTTCTCGTCATTTTGTTGATGCAGGTCACTCTTGCATGTGCACGCAAAACAACGTATGCTTTGATTTGTTACTGTGGCAATTGCCACTTAACGTGAAACGTTACAACAGAGAACATGCACACATTAATGGACGAGAGGACAATTTGCAATCCATGAAAAACAGTGGAAGGGAAGAAAACTTAATAAAAATATGAAAGTGTATTCATTACCTTTGTTCCGTGGCAAAGTGACCGATGGGATTTTCTTTACGAGCACAAAGAGACGCTCCACAGACTTCAGCTCCAATAATTTTTCATCTCCCTTCGCCATGAAAAACACTTTACCAGTCTGAAGTTTCTACCTAAACAAGATAGAAATGTAATTTGAAACAAAACAGAAATAAGTCAAACGCAGCCTTGCTTGACTGGCAGAATAACAAAGTTGGGAAATAACTGAGGTTATTTCTGCCACAATTGAACATGAAATGACAGATAGTGACCGATTACAATATATTTCTAGAATCACAACACAAGCATCATATCACGAGTGCGATAATCAATTATTCTAATTGGTCAGTATATGTTGTAAGTCTAATGTCCTGGTTTCATAACCTGATCTTGCTTGACAGTTTCAAGCGAAACATCGTGTCTACTTGCACATTTTGGTTGTGATAATTATTCTTTAACTTACCCGTGAGATACAAAAAAATGGCCTGCTGGTACACATGATAATTTATTTTGGCAACGTCGACTGGGGGAGGGTTAAATGACAAATATTTGGCCAGATAAATCTGGTGCCAAACCCAAAATATCTATTATCATCATATTGGCTGCGATAATCTGCATGTAAGTATTCGACAAACAACCTTGTGGCCTAACAGTTTGCTGGAAGCTATCCGCCTGCATTACTTATGCCCTAACACTGACCTAATCCTGCCCACTCTTAATCATTCTGCAGCATGACCAGTGGTGGAATGGGCAACTTTCTGTATGGAATCAGCCAAAGATGAATTATGAAATGCGGAAGGGCTCTCATGTTACTTGGAAAGGGCCGTCATTCTGCCAAAAAGTGGTACAATTGTAATGAGCGACTTCTGCGATGTCGTGTAGAGGGTACTCTTCTTTATTCCACGTACGGGCACAACACAGGCCAACGTTATCAGCTTCCTCTCCAAATACACACTTAGATATTAACGTTCTGCAGACTACACACACGGGTTGATCACACGGCGGTTCCGCCCGTCCGCTCCCGGTCTCGCCGCTGGCTGACGGCGTGCCGGGAAGGGCGGTGGAACTCCGCAGGAGATCCGCCACGTGGCCAAACAACGGAGAGAGATGACGGCGAGCAGCGGCAGTCCGGACCCAAGACTCCCCACACCGACCCCGAGTCCTCCTCCGCCTCCGCTTATATAGCCGCAGGTGCAGCTAGGCTCCGCCTCCAGCCACGCCCTCTCGTGGAACTTTCTAGCCGGTTCTCGGAGTTTCTCGGCCGGCCCTGCCCTTCTTCACCTTTGGCCTAGATACATCTCCCTTTGGGGATTGGATGTTTATAACGGTGCCTGTACCCGTGCTTCCATTTTCCAACCAGTAGATGTCACTATCTCATTACAGAATGACTACCAACATATCGACACAAAACAGGCCCGAGACGTGGGACACCCCTCTATAAGCAGAAAAGCTCGACCAACTTTACTAATCGTCAAGATGTTTACTGTACCAATGTACTTCGAGACCAAAGTTTATAATCAGTCGATATCATCTGCCGTGACACATCAAATTGAAAAATGGACGTTCTCAAAAACGGAACAAAATCTGAAAAGCGCATGGAGTATTACATGCTTGGGCAAGGTGCATAGCTAAAAGGAATGATGGCCAGCAGTTGAGACAATGGAATAGCAGCCAAACGATGGAACACACCCAAGAATACGTCCATCGCATAGATGGAGTGATGAGATCAGCCGGTGTGTGGGAGCTAAATGGCTTGTTGCAACGTGAGAAGTTAAGCAATGGTGGTAGCTTAAGAAGGCCTTCATCCTGCAGACATTGTTGACCGATCGTGAGCAGGTTGAGTGGGAGCACCGATACTGCCGTTAAATTCTTTTGTGCAGCTGCCTGCACACGATTGCTCAAACAGCAGCTGGGGAAATCACCGTTTCCTTCCCAAACGATCCTCATTCTCAAGCGTTTCACACGCGTGACGAACAACCGTGCGTCACGCGCCCCGACACCTTTCTCCTTGTGTTACTTCAGAGCTTAGGGACCATTTATAACTTGTGATAGGCCACACGTGGCGATTGAGCATGCCTGCGAGAGACGAGAGGAATTGAACTTGTAACTTTACGATGAGAATCTGATGTTTTAAATGTAATTTGTTGTCGACCATATTTGTTTTTTTTTATTATACCTCAATTTAATATTAAAACAGCTACACCTTGTATGACCGATATTAATGTATGCAAAACTGTGAAAACCTGTAAGCAAAAGACAATACTTCATTATCACATTGCATTTTCAATAAAGAAATAATTTCTACATTAATGGTTACCATAATACTGCAACAGATCTAATGCATCCGAGAGGATATCCAATGTTGAGATGGAGTAATTAAATCAGCTCATGTGTAGGTGCTAGGTGGAATATTACATCGTCGTCAGAGATAGCGGGAGCTTTGGGGAGGTTTTAATCCAGCAGTGGATTGACCATGGCTGCAAATAAATTATTCAACTACTTATCACAAAACAAAGGCGCGCACACACACAGGTGCAGAAAAATACATGCGGAGACACACACACACACTTATGTATATAAACACCAGCATAAATTAGCTCTACTGCTCACAATGTACAGTTGTCAATCACTGCTGCATGAAGGCCTCGACATGCCGTCTTGGATATGGGGGTTGTTTTTATCATAATTCACCACACCGATTAGTTCGGTTGGTGACAGGAGGGCCAAAGACCGGTTCAGATATCACTCGTCGCTGACGTTAGCTACGACCAGAAATCACGTGCGGTGTTAACCCCTGTGCCACCGCTGCTCCCCGCTCCACCTTAGGCTGCTCACGAGGTGTTGATGATTTCAAACGGAGCTTCTTTCTCACTACATATAACGCACACAGGTCATCACAGGGATTCTACTGGGAAATTCAGGGGGTGCCTGTGTGACCCCCCACCTCCGGCACAATCATCCTTCACCACACACCGCCAAATGAAGGCCAAATGAAGGCACGGACGGCACAGCAGTTCAAATCCGTTCTTGTGATCACATCAGCCGCTCTTTCATCTCAACGCTTCCCGGAGCAGCCCGTGTAATAAATCAACAGAGTGGAATGAGCCACATGATTTATTTAAAAGTTTGCCTTAAGCCACTTCCTGCTCCCACACTGATCCAGCCTAAGCGATATCAAATATCTCTCTTTTATATAAGAGGGTGAAATACTCTCTTTAGTCTATAAAAGCAGCCACATATGTATTGAATGTCATGGTTTAATAGGAATTGTACCAAGGTCATTAAGAGAAGCACAAATGCTTTCCATATATTTCAATAAATCCATAAAATTCTATGTTAATATCAACATTTACATCCAATGTGAGAGAGAATGTCTTCCAATACAAGCTGATATCTACATTTTATATTGTGATTGCATTTTGGACTTCTGATATGAAATATTATTCAACAATTCATGGCAAACAACTCTGTCCTTACACTTGCCTCAATGTTTGCAGGTAAATTTACTTTGAATTATGGTGGAACATTTAGTGTTGGTATCGGTTTGCATAAAACACAACAGCATCCATTTTATTTTCCGACAATAAAACCTTATAAATCACAATATCAGGGGGCCCCAATAGCATCCCACAAATGGTTTTAAAGAGTTGCTCGTCTGTCATGTACACACGGCCACATTCGCCACTAATGCGATTGGTGAAAACAGAGCTGTTGCTATTGATGTTCTTGACTCTATGGCAAAGTGGTTTATTGCCAAATTACGAAAAACTATGGCCTCAACCTACTTCTCTGACTTGGGCGAGGCATTTCATCCCAGGCCATGCCGTGCGTAACGTCATTCGTGCAATGGCACCCGCGCTGTGGCTCTGGGGTTGGTTTCTCAAGGGCTCTCTCTCTCTGGTTTTTATAGATTTGGTTAAAAGCCACAGAACCTCATTTTGTTTCTTTCCCTATTACTAAAACCTTCCATATGATGTATTTTTTTCATATTGTTACAAACCAAAACCTTTAACCTCAACACAATCTGTGAAAGTAGATATTTAATTTAAAAAAAAACATTCTTGGAATTCTGACAAATCAGTTGCATGTAATAAGAAAAAAAACAGAAGATCCCTGGTTTTGATTTTCCACGAAGCTTGTGGTACACCCTAAACCTCATCTGCACAAAACATGGTTGATGCGGATACCTGATACACATATAGAAAATTAAAACTCCAGTAGTGTGCGACTGTGGGTCATCCAGAACAGACCGTACATCATATAACGATGCAATGCTCAATCCACAAATATGAAGAAGACATCACAGCGATACACTCCGCTGTTCCTGACGCCGTTATTATCTGGCTTGACCACCTGAATGTGAGAATGTAGTTGCTGCTCTGCATCTACATCAGCCAAATGAAAGAAAATAAGCAAAAACCCAACATGCCAGCGAGGCTTAGTGAGCACAGAATCGATATTTGCCTATAATGGAAACCAGCATCTCTAGAAAACGCTGTTTAAATACAGTGTCTATTGCTGTGCTGCAAGGATCTTGAAATTAATAAATACTCCTTCCCACAACAAACATCCTAAGCTGCAATATTATTGCCAGGCGTTGACGATACTTAACTAAACTTGGTATATTTGTAAATCGTTTTTGCATGGTGTATTGTTAAAAGTTTTAGAAATCAATATAAATAAGTCAATCAGCAGGAAAGCTAATACAATTTTGCATCTAGACGGATTTTCCATATGATATACTTGTAAGTGCACTAGCGGAGCCAGTGGGGGTGGTGGAGTGGCACGTGCCCCCCCAATGATCCGATCGAAATCCCTAATTTGGATCGGATCATTGGGGTATATTAGTAACTAGCAGGAAGTACCCAGCGTTGCGCGGGTCAAATTTATATATTTCAAACGTACTCTGAAAAATCTAACAGCAGTGCATACTGACTGTGGTGGTACCTGCTATGATTACAGCAGTGCATACCGACTGTGGTGGTACCTGCTATAACTACAGTAGTACATGCTGACTCTATAGCAGTATTTATCGACTCTATAGCACAAAGTACTCACATGACAGAGTGGCGTGGTGAGGCCTAGTCCCGTGCAGAGCCTCCGGCCTCACCTAAATTGTCCAGCCGGCCGAGGTGGCGCCTTGGCAGGCTGGGGCTGGGCTGCTACCCCTGACCCCCCCCCCCCCAGCCACGATCTCCCCGGCCGCTCTGCAGTAATATCTCGGCCTATAGTGGTAGCATCTACTGACTGTATAGTAGTAATCTAGATTTGAAGAGTTTTAATCTAATAGTTAAATAGTAGTAGCTGCACGCATCGGGGTGGGGGGGGGACATCACACAGTGAAGAATTTACCTGAGCGTTTAGTGTATTTTTATAAGTATTTTTAACGCCAAAGAAAATGTCCCCTACACTCCCACTGAAGGCGTGCGACTTGGCAAGGGCCGTCCTCCCCACCAAAGGCGCGTGAGTTGGTATGGCCGCGCACGCGTCATAAATAAATAAATCAATTTGAAACGCCCAGAAATCGCACTAAATCGCTAATTCAACTAATTAAAAGTTGATGGATGTGAAAAAGAAATAGCGCTTGGTCACGGCGGGGCTTACGGCATGGTACCTGGCTATTTTTATTTTCCGTAAACTCCACTGTTGGAGAGCCAAATCATTCGCAAGCGCGTAAACACACACAAACCCACACACAAACCCACAGACAAATTTTTTTTTTATATAGAAAGAAGATAGAAGATATCTAAATAATGTCCTGCTCCAATGAGCAGTGGTGGATATTATATATTCACTAGCCTTTTGCCCGTCCAAGGACGGGTGTATTGCATTAAATCTGAAACTTGCAAGCGAAAAGCAGACTGCGACGTGATATTCATTGCATCCATTCGTGTGCAATTTGTAAGGCCATGGTGACACAAGACTTATTTCATTTAAAGGTTATAATCCCTTGTTCATCATGATGTCCTTTTTACGTCTATGTCTCAACAGCGTTACGGAGATAGCGTGACGTGAGGGTTCTGCCTTTGTAGTGAGGGTTATAAATTGACGCTGAGGAGGGGGGAGGAGGCGCCTCGCCACCCCATGTGAAGTGACGTCACCCGCTCATGATTATTGAGGGGGGGTTGGCCTCATGTGGAGTGACGTCACGCGCGACACACACAGACATTCTTGGCTCATTATAGTAGTAAATATGGTGGGGGGGGGGGGGGTCTAACCGTAGAGCAACCACTGCCGACTTCCCAAGAAGTGGTATTCTATTTTATTGAACCCCCACCCAGGATTTGAACTCGCAACCTTCCAATTGCGAACTGCTCACTCTACCACTGAGCCTCTTGGTTGGTTAATGACGGACACAGAGTACGCCAGTGTGTATCCTGGATTTTGAATCTAGACCCAAGTTTGTTTGGTTTTTCTCGTCATCCTAAATTTAGTTTTCTGCTTCACATCTCGGTGCAAACGGACAAGGTGGATTTGTAGACGCAGCCTATAAGCCACGTCTGGGCCTCATGAGCCAAGAATGAGATCAATAAAGTGGCGACTAAATGTGGAGACCAACAGTGGTGCAGACTGAACCCGGGGCAGAGACTCAGAGGAGGGGGGGTTGTGAGGGCAGGGAATGTGGGACAGGGATCAGGAGGCTTGCCTGCGTGGCCCCAAGTCGCTGCATCGATCTCCGCGGCAGCCAGGGCCTCCAGGCCGCGCCCCACCGTGCACATGAAGGAGCCGAGCCGACACGGGGAGGCCTCGCTGGTCATGGTTTTCTCCACACCGGACATGGGCGCCAGGTCCTGGAACGAATACATTATAAAATTGCACTCATTACATAACAAAGTGCTTGCCACAAATGAACCACAATACCTTGCTGATCTCATCAAGGAGCATAATGCATCGCGCAAACTCCGGTCATCCTTGCAGCAGCAGCAGCTTTTGGCTGGCTATCGAATCAAAGATGGTCACCATATTGGGCGCTTTCAGATGTGCTTCTGCGGCCGTCTGGAACGCTCTCCCTTCTGATATTAGGAAGCCACTTGAGCTGTGCACGTTTAAATAATCTAGATTAAAAACTCATTTACTTAGCCAACCGATTAGCACGGTTGGCTACGTACAATGTGAAAGAGGTTCAACACACATGCATACCTGTCAACCCATATGCTTTAGCCGTATTCTTGTACAGGGGAATTAAGTATTTTGATCCATTCGGCATACAGCCGTTTCAATATGGAATTTGTAGGATGAACGTTGAGATTTATAAGGGTACAAGGTGACCAATAAGGTCTGAATTGGTCTGTAATAAGGTAGGCAATGATAAGGGGTTGACAGGTATATGCGTACGTACAAGTCAGGTCTGAGATCAAAAGACAAACAATAGCGAAAGGATGGTGGCTCCATGGCCAGTGGACACGCGACTCCTGCACCAACTCAACGGATCCCCTAGCATGGCAATGCCCTGGTTCCAGTTGATGCAAGTGTAATGACCGAAAATAACAAACACTCACCCCAAGCCAATGTGCAAGCATAACGTCTTCTTGGTTCTTTCAGTAAAGTCACGTAGAAGGGAAATAATAAAATAATAAAAATAAAACATAATAAATAATTCTTACGACGTTTCGGCCACAACGTCGTGAGAATTATTTTATTATGTTTTCTTTTTATTATTTTAGTATTTCCCTTCTACGTGACTTTACCGAAAGAACAAGAAGATGAATCCCTGCAGTCACTAAAGCTTTAAATCGAAATGCAAGCATAACGGCTATTCAAAAATAGGCCAAAGTCTCCGATTGGCAGAAAGCGGCTTCCACAGCGATTGGTGAGGAGACAGTCTATTGAAGTGATTGGAAGAAAAAGTTTGGGGCCATCCATTTAGTACGTACACATGGAGGGGGAGGGAGGGGTTAACCCAAATGCGTACGCTTGCGTATGGGGGTCTACTGACAATGTACGTACACATAGGAAACGGGGGGGGGGGGGGTGTGAAGGCTCGATAATAATTTGTCTACATTGGCCTCCAAATGAGTTAGATAGTCCGGCGGTGGACTTACTGTTTGTTTAACACGTTAATATTATTCATCCTTGATCGTTTCTGCGTGGATTACATATCGGCCGGGGGGGGGGGGGGTGCGTCAAGCGTTTGTACGCAGGTGGGAGGGGTCAAGTTGACAGATTTTTGCGTACGTACTAAATGGATGCCCCCTTTGAACGTAAATAGTGAAAGCCAGAGGCGACGGTTGGAAGAGGACTGAGATTGGCTGGGGGAGAAAACATTGAGAGATATAAAAGGGCAGAGCACAATGGGAGGGGATGTCCGAGGGAAGACACGACCTTCAAGACCAAGCATGAAGCCCGGACCTCGTTTTGTTACGGTGTTCTAATAAGAGAGGCTCCTTGTAGTTCGTCGTTCGAGTCATTTCACAAGCGTGGAATACAAAATCTGCTTTGCAGGACCAAAACGACAGCGGCCAAGTAACCAACAGCACAATCAAAGTTGTGATACGCGAGTTCACATTTATTTAAAAGAGCAAGGTCATTATAAGAGCTTTGGGAGATACGATGGGAGGAAACACCATAATTGGTGCAGAACCGTATAAAGCCACATACACTCTATGCGGCTGGCATAGTGTCTGAATCTGGATTCCACGATTACTCTGGATGCGCAAGGGTAACGATGCATGCATGAAATCGCAAATGTACACTTTACATTTATGTAAATTCTAAACAGGTCTGCTAATTTTCCAAAGTTTCACCTCTTATGTCCAGTTAGCCATCTGATCAACGAGTGCTCTTTTTCATAGCGTGCTGTTCAAGTTAACGAGGCTGGAATTCAAGAGATCAGAAAAACTAATAAAATGAAGCCAATAGCACATGGTGAAGGGCTTTGGAAGCGCAGCAGTGGGTATGTAATGCGGTTGTAAACGGCCCTTCTGAGGTGCCGTCAGGGGGGGAGGAGTTAGGTCACGGGGGGGGAGAGGGGTTGAGTATAGAAGGAGGGGAACCGGAAGAGCAGGGGAAGTGACTGGGAGCCAGGAACAGAGGAAGGCCACGTAGGGCGAAGCGGGGTGTGGCGAGATCGCCACGAACACGGGGGAAGCGAGGATCGGCACCGTTGGCCAGCGGTGACCGACCCGAAGCAGCAAGGAGGCTGCAGTCAGCAGCGGGGCTGCACAGAGAGAGTGGGCAGCGGGTCTGCATACAGTGACAGCCAGAGGGTCTGCACATAGGGGTAGCAGCAAGTCTGCAGGGAGGAGGTTACAGTAGATGAAGCAGAGAGTCAGAGGGGTGAGGAAGCTATAATAGCAGTGAATAGCCGGGGGCTACAAATACAGGAGTTATAACAGAGTGCCGTGTGGGTAAAGACGTGAACCTGAATAAAGACACGAAGACAGAAAGAAGTGTTCGAGTCCTTTTATTACACTGGAGTCAGAAGTGAAACGGCATGGCGAAACAACTGAGGAAGAAGAATATCCCATCTCCGGCGTCGGCTTCATCATCGGACGACGACGATCTTCCTCCTGAGGTCGGCTTCACTTCGGCGGAGGGAGAGATCCGTGAGGGCCCGGGTGTGGAGGAGGTTGCCGCTGCGTCCGACCCATCTGCGTTGAAGGACGAAGATTTAAGATGGACCCGGATGGCGGAGCAACTGGCGACCCTAAAAACCGTCATCACGGAGTTGTGTGACCTTGTCACGCCAAGGGCGGCGTTGGTAGGTGATGGTGGTGATCGGCAGGAGCCCGGGTCGTCTTCGATGGCGCCGCCATCGACCACGCGGCGTGAAGACGCCATCTTGGGCGTGGCGCACCACGGAAGGCGGGAAGCCGCCATCTTGGGGCCGCCACGAAGATCGTCCGCCATCTTGGCGACACCGCGTTGCGACGCCTTGCTGAACTTGCCGCCGGAAGAGTCGGTGACGGACGGAAGCAGGCCAAGGAGCCGCAGTCGTCACCTTACAACTGTTAAGGAGTTCTCCATCGGGGGCGATTGGAGTGCGTTCGCTTGTCGATTTTTGGCGGCGGTACGAACGGCAAGGTGGACGGACGCCGAGGCGCTGGAGGTGCTTCCGACTCTCCTTGACGATGAGTCTGTTCGTTTTTTTCGCTCTATAAAAGCTGCGAAGAAGAAAACATTGCGTGGAGTGTTCGACGAAATGGCGGACGCGTACGAGCCACCGGATGACGCCCATCGCCGCTTCGTGCAGCGGCAACGCGCACCGGAGGAGTCGCCTGTAGCGTACAGGGGCGCCGTGCTGGAACTCGCGATGGCCGCTTACCCGGAGACGGAGCCTGACCTGCTGGAACCTCTCATCTTGGGGAAGATGTTGGAGTTATCCCGGGATCTGGGCATTCCTATGCCGGCTTGCGGTCACGAGAAACTCACGTCCCGGACCGCGGCTAAGTGTTTGGACGCCCAGTTCAATCTCCGCCGCTGGAAACAAGTCACGGCGTGGACGGGCGGTCCTGTCGTCGATGGGGGGGCCGTAGGGTGGGACCCTACAAAGGCCGTGTACGTGCCGGATGCGACCGGCCCAAAGGAGCTGTCGGCCGCCTCCACTCCGTGGCCGGCTCGAAGCGAGCCGGGGCCGCGGGCTCCGCCGCCGGCGCGGCCACGTCGGGACGGGGTGCCTGCTGCGCGCCGACCCGACGTCGACTGTTTCCGCTGCGGCCGTCGGGGCCACTATGCCAGGGACTGCTGGGCCCGGGTTCCGGGGCCGCCCCAGCAGGAGGCCTCGATCGCGGACGTCCCAAAGAAAGACCCTCCGGCACAGACAAGCCGGCCGTGACAGCGCAGGGAGGAGGACCTTCCGCTTGTGGGACGCCGACCGGAGCCGCAGAACCCACGGGACCTGCAGCTCTTCCTATCCCTCCGCGGACGCGAGTACGGGATGTTTCTGGACGCGAGCGGGACAGTGGCGGGCCTCCAATGGCGACGGAAGAACTTGCGCCCGTCGCCCCTAAAACCCTTCCACGTTCCCGCTCGGCGGGTGGGCCGCCGACCGTCCGGGACGGCCCGGCTACCCGTACTCGCTCGAAATCCCTCACGTTTCGTTAGATTGTGTTGTGTTGTGTTATTGTTATAATGTTCTTCAATGCTTCGTGTCTTTTTGCGTGTTGGCCCTTTACACCCGCATTGCTTTTCAGGTTGCAATTCAGCCGAGGTCGGCTGGATTTTCTTTAGGGGGGAGGGTGATGTAATGCGGTTGTAAACGGCCCTTCTGAGGTGCCGTCAGGGGGGGAGGAGTTAGGTCACGGGGGGGGGAGAGGGGTTGAGTATAGAAGGAGGGGAACCGGAAGAGCAGGGGAAGTGACTGGGAGCCAGGAACAGAGGAAGGCCACGTAGGGCGAAGCGGGGTGTGGCGAGATCGCCACGAACACGGGGGAAGCGAGGATCGGCACCGTTGGCCAGCGGTGACCGACCCGAAGCAGCAAGGAGGCTGCAGTCAGCAGCGGGGCTGCACAGAGAGAGTGGGCAGCGGGTCTGCATACAGTGACAGCCAGAGGGTCTGCACATAGGGGTAGCAGCAAGTCTGCAGGGAGGAGGTTACAGTAGATGAAGCAGAGAGTCAGAGGGGTGAGGAAGCTATAATAGCAGTGAATAGCCGGGGGCTACAAATACAGGAGTTATAACAGAGTGCCGTGTGGGTAAAGACGTGAACCTGAATAAAGACACGAAGACAGAAAGAAGTGTTCGAGTCCTTTTATTACAGGTATATCATGGACGGCGATGATTGATCGTTTTTTATGGATATTGCAAAGACCTAAGCATCCACAACCTCCACAAGTCGGAACGTGTACCGTTGTATTGGCAACCTTAACCACCACAGTACCGTGGTATTTGTTAACCTGGTTAAAAGTCCTTACGTTCAATTTCCTGTGTATACTCCAGAAATGTTCACCTGAAGATAGGTCCACTCTCCCCACCAGAAAAAAAGGGGAGCAAGAAGAATAAGGGAGCCAAACGATCCAAGAAAAAATATATAAAACAGGTTCATATTCGTAATGTTAAAACATAAACATGACTTTTCGATCGCAACACAAGCAATCGTCATCAGGAGAAAAAATTGCAGGAAAGCTGCTGAGGCAGGCTGTTTTAAAGGTTTAAAATGCATGATCGGATCCCACCTGTGAAGAATGTGATCCCTGACATGCAATACCCCGGCGTCTACAAACTAAGCTGTGTCTGCGGCAGTAGTTGCATTGGGGAAACTAAGCGACATTTATCGGACCATGTTCGTGAACATAAGGCAGATCTGAAACACGGTAGGACCAATACCTCGGCCGTGGCTGATCATTATATTAATGCAGTGGGCTCACGCGAAATTGATTTCTCTAAGACGAAGGTACTTTGCAATCCCACTGGCTATCAACAAAGATTCGTTCATGAAGCCATCCATATTTATAGACACAAACACAATTTCAACCGAGAAGATGGGTACAAACTGAGCAATCATTGGAAGGACGTTATTAACCAGTTTAAGTCATAACTGAATGTGATGTTTCCATCCTAGCTTCTGATGTTAGTAGTTATAATTGACTCTCTGGTTTCACATTAACAGGCTAAATGTCTCTCGATGTGGCGGTGGCTCTGCGATCTTACATTGACATGCTAATTTATCACTTTAACATCACTAGCCCCGCCCACTTCGCTTATGACCCTTGGGCTACACCCATTTCAAACCTTTAAAACAGCCTGCTTCAGCAGCTTTCACGCTGTTTTTTCTCCTGATGACGACTGCTTGTGTTGCGATCGAAACGTCGTAGTTTTTTTGGTTATTTTCTTTGATCCTCTCTACGTGACTTTACCGAAAGACCCAATAATATGAATTCCTGCAGTCACGAAAGCTTTAATACTCTTAGGTTTTATCGGTGAAGAACAGGGCTGTCAGAAAGACAGCGTCCGAATGAACACCACCAAGCTTGGCAGCGTATATTTAAGCTGGGTTAGAGGAGGAGAGCGCCTTGACAAATAAATGTACATATCAACAGAAGAATTTAGCATATTTATTGAAAATGCAGATATGGGATTAGTCACTACTTGTGGAATGTGTAGGTGGTGGGGAGGTCTCAAATTCATATTATGCTCGTGTATTATGTAGGATTAGCAGTCATAATGGGAGGAAGTAGGATTAATAGTAATAAAGGGAGGGGAATTTTAATAGTAAGGAGCTGCAGCAGCCAAACCACCACGTAAAAAACTAAAATATAAACTACATCCAATATCATCAATATACTCATACTCTCCAATAAGCTGAGCTACTAACAGTAAGTCATACATTACACTTCTATGTCGCAAAAAAATATAATATGCCTCCAGCACGTAGGTAAAAAAAGTAATAATGAAATAAAATATTTTATAAAAAGAGTATGAATCCTTGCAGTCACGAAAGCTGCAAATCTCGAACGAAAGCTTTAAGTCAAGAAACGTGACTTAGTTGGGCGAAACCATGTCACCCCCCCCCCCCCCCCACGTCGTTGTCACCCCCTCTGTAGGCGCCACATGGTTGAGCCCTCGCTCACCCTGGACGGGCGAGAGTGCCCGGTTCGCTGAGCGTGGTGCCTCGCAGCCTCTCTCAGAGTCTCTCAAACCCTCGCAGAGGCTTCCAGCGATTCGCAAGAGCGCTCGCAGACTCCGCTGAAGGGTTCAAGGGACGAGGTACAGAATGGGGCCCTCCAACTCTCACGCCGACCGCGCCAACACGCGCGGGTCCGCGTTTTATTGGCAGACGCGGATCGTCTTCCAGAAGCGAGTTATAACGGAGGGAAGTCTTCCGGAAGACTGCGAGCTCTTCCGGAAGATGATTGATTTGAGCTTCCTGTTGATGAGATCTTCTGGAAGATGACCACCTCTTCCGGAAGTTGTCTACCACATCTTCTAGTTTCCAATTATAATATTTTTTTGTTTCAAATAAGAATGGTTTATCCTTTCTGGCTAAATAAAACAGGTGTTAATATTTTCAAATACCAAATAAATAAATTTCGCAAGGAATCACACGTATTTGTGGTGAACATGCAAACCAAAAAACATGTTCTGATAATAGATGATGCATTGTGTTTTTTGAACTGATTGGCCAACCTACACCAGCTTTGAGGGCCCAGTCTCACCAGCGTCAGACCAGAGAACGCCAAAAGGCGAACAGCACAAGGACGATGCACTATCGGAGCATTTATAGCCCGGGGCGGGCAGCTACAAAATGGGATCTTTTTGCCGGTATCAAAGTATGAAAACACAAGAATAGGTTTTACCCTTTCTGGCATGTTCACCACAAATATTTATACAGCGTGGTCGTCGCCGTCCATGCAAATCTCAATCTCTCCAGGAACCGCAGCCACAGTATGGCAGGCAACAGCAGCAGTCTCGCAGCGAGACGGTGCTTCAAACGATGATAAACCGGTAACCGTTTTCACAATCGGAACGTTCACAGTGAACGCACGGCGGTCTCAGTCACGGCGTGGTCAGTTTTGCCCTCGTTTCCCCGTTAAAACTTGGAAAAGTGTCAACGTTAGTAGAGGCGCACGCCCTGCAATTTCCTCGGTCAAGCTACTGCTGTCGGTAGGGCATCCACTAGGGGGCGCTGTAGGGGGAGGGGGCCTTTGGTCTACTCTTCCACACGCGACCTGCTGGGTGGACAGAGGCAGTGGATGGAGTTTAGAAGCTTTACTGTTTTAGCTGCCATGGTGCCGTCCATAAATGACGTCACGCACCTGGGGGGGGGGGGTCAGACATTTGTGACGATGTGTGACGAGGGGGGGGGGGTGAGAAATGTGACGTCACATCAAAATGGGAAACTTTAAATCAATATAAACAACACGTTCTACTTAATTAAATATACTTTTCAATAAGTGTTTTCTCCTACAACATCAGAGTGCAGTGCCACATTAAATACGCATTACAATGACAATAGTTTAAAGCGATTTTAAGCATGTTTTATTTTTTGGGGGGGTGGGGGGGGGCAGAGCTTTGTGATGTCATATTTGAGGGGGGTCTGACTTTTTGTGACGTCGTGTGACATAGGGGGGGGGGGGTCAAAAATCGTCCAAAATCGCGTGGTCATTTATGGACGGGCCCTAAGGCTATACGGTGATTTTTGTATTTGTCGTATCTCGTGAGTGGTGTGGGTCAGGCGTGCCAAACATTGCTCCACTGCAGGAGCTCATTTAGTGTAGGTAAATAAAAGCAATTTTTAATGATAGATATTTATATATGCGTGGAAAATCGGTAACCGATTTCTCCCAGGTTTTATTTGTATCATTCGATTACCGGTTATGCTACCGGTAATACAAAATACTGTTTTACTAAACCAAAAATTATGATGAACAACAATGTAGCAAATAGCTACACTAGTACACACCGGCGAGGTGATATGCCAAACGCAGGTGGTGTATTCACGCCGTCTCTGCGCGATTGCCACATTCAGAGGAGCGTTGAACGCGAGGCAATCCGCCGTTGGTGCTGATTGAGTTGTGTTGACGGCCCCTGTATGACATTACCTGGGGCTGCCAATGATTGAGGCAGGGCTCCCACAGGACGCGCTTCGCATGAAACGCGTTCACACCACCACAGTGGAGCTTAACATTTAAGCATACGTGTCAACCAATACGGTTTACCCGTGTGCGTGTACACGGAAATTGAGTTTTCAGGTCCATACGGCATACAGCCGTTTCAATACGGGCAAAAATATATTTGTGTTTCTCCCTTGTGATGGGAATTTGTAGGATGAACATTGAGATTTGTCAGGGCAATTATAAGGAATTGATAGGTATGTAAAAGCCAAGTGACGTGTCGTGTGGTCTGTGTGTGTGTTCATAGTTTAGGCTCAACCTAGGCCCAAACCATGAACATTTATGCAGTCATAACACAATCCGCCAAGTAAAAATAGTTTCTGATTAATGAAATAAAATTATGATTACCTACCTTTTCCACATCCCAAACCCGGACGCATTTCTCAGTCAGTTTAGGTCTACCAAAACTATATTCTACTGCTGTAACATCAAACGTAGTGCCACCAGTTGAAATCAATTCCTGCTGCCACCCAACACAGATTTAAATTTCCGGACTGTCCGGGTCAAATCCGGGTAGGTGGCAATCCTACCCTGTGCTGTTGCAGAGCACCATAGCTGGCTTTCTACCCCATTGGGCTGCAAGGACCCAGGGATAGGTCGGCTGATTTCTGAACGTCCATATAAATGACAGGGGAAAGGGTCCTGCTCAGTGGGTGAATAGACCCTTGGCCATGACAACTGTTGACAGTTCAGATAATGTTGCCGCTAAACTTTGCTTGTATCTCTCCACTATGTCACACCTGTCTGGCGATGGTATGGTGAAGTGCAGATCTTCACATTCAGCCAATAACAGAGATCACGGTACAGGTAAGAGCTGAAATGACCTCCCTGAATGGTTTGTAGTTTCACCGGGGGTCCTGACAAAAAACATTTGTTTAGAGGAAGACCTCAGTGATTGCATCAGGAGTTTGACCTGGAATTGCCTATGTGACTACATATGTTTGACTAGGTTTACATTTCTGGAAATATGGATTCCATCCATTCGTGTCCGCAATATGCCATCTTTCTTTGACTAAATCCAACATTATTATTTGGCAAGCAATAATTTGAACACTTAGTTGCATCATTTAACTTTTCCTATTCTCACCATTGTCACCAGATCTAAGGCACCTCCATCCTTCGGATTGTTTCCTTTTTCAGTGTCCAAGTCTCGCATCGGTGCAGTCCCCTCAACCACACACAGCCGTTATAATCGGAGTTGAGTTCTCACGCTCAGCCCTTGGTTGGCCAGCAATTTTGCTGCTGTGCAGTTTCTGCTGGCTGACGTTGCCATTCTAACATCTTTATTGATCTGCTCTTGGCTCCCATGCTTAAGGATTATTGCCCCAGGTATGGGAAATCAAGTTTATTGGTGTAACCAGGTGAGAGGTAACCAGGATAGCCACATTTAGGATAGTCACATTTTTATTCCACCAATCTGTTGATTTGCCACCAATGCAGTATTATTCACCAAAACGTGTGGCATTGCATCCACTGCGGCCCGCGTAGGTTCTGGCCCGCGGAGCTGCATGAAGATCCGAGCAGAGCCGCCAGCGTCATCCTCGAACCCGAGCAGCAAGAGAGAGAGAGAAAGAGAGGATTTGTGTGTGCGAACAAAACACCGCATCACCAAGATAAAAAAGAATGTGTTACATTCCACAATCCGCACGCTGAAGGGGAACACAAGATGTGGCTGTGAGCCCCCCCCCCCTCCCCCCCACAGCGTGTGCGACAAGCCAATCCGGCGGTGGTGCCGCGCTGCTGGAGCGGGGGCCGGGGTCACATGCTGGGGAGCGGTGGCCTCGCGCTCCATCTCCACTCTGCGCTCACGTGCGTCCGCCGTCGAGGATCGCACTCTGCGAGGGTGGCCGAGTGAAATGCCGCTGCTGGCTCTGCTGCTGTGGGCGCTGGGCGGGGTGGAGCGCGCACGCGGTGACGGCGGTGACCCGTGCCACGCTGGACCGGCACGCTATGTCCTCACGTTCCACGCCGAGTGGAACGTGCGTGCCTTCCCCAAGCAATACCCGCTCACCCGGCCGCCTGCGCAGTGGTCTGCACTCATCGGTGAGCTTACCGCGCCACAGTAACTTCACTGCTCTTTCTCAACACATGATAACATTTATACGGGATCGCTACTTGTCCCCGGTTCGACCCGGACAATATAAGAATGGGCATCTTGTGTTTGGGGTGGCAGGAACCGATTTGTACTGAGAGCTGGTTAGGGTATTGTGTTGGACCGTATTACCACAGTCTGTTGCACAGTTTTGATAATAGACTGAGGCTGACTCAGAAATACGTCCCGGTTTCACCTACATTGAGTAAGGTGGCTAGGCTATATTTACACAGCTGCGTGAAATCCGTGTCCGCCGTTAGTAATCGGCACATATGGCAACGGTATGTGGTCTGTGCTCGGGAAGAGATGTGTGGGGAGTGTGGATGAGGCGAGGTGGTGATATGGGCTGAGGTGGTTCTTTGCTGGCTTAACACAGAGTCATGGAACGACAGTACAACTACAAGCAGCCAGGAGTGAGGGGTTTTGGGCTCGTTCTTTCTTTCCAATAATGGATGAGCCAATAATGGAAAACATCAGTTGTCACCAACACTGCCTTATATCAGACAAATATAGGTTCAGATGAGAATAAAGCACACGGCAACATAGTGCAGCTGACAGATCCAATAAAGGAGAACATGCGAGTACACACATCACATACACACGAGTCTCCGTGGATCAGCCATCATGTGACCTCAGGACTGACGGCAATATCCAAAACTCCGCGGGTATCAATTACACTCACATCTGTTGCACGATAATCGCTCTGAAAAATAAAGGGAGGGACCCCGCCGTGGCGCGCCAGCGTGCATTCAACAGGACGGCACAAACATCGCATCCACATTGGTTGCTATGGATCGGATGACAAGAGCGACCTCTCATATGTCGCAATACACAGTGGAGCTGCGAAAAATATGGAGAAAAACAAACCCAAACAGTCTACGCGCAATCAACGTGGAATCGCACATCATTGTGACGCCGTAGTAACAACTCATGACTACCGCGTCACAATGGTTTAGATATCCTACTTGGGCACCTTTCTGTGTAGAGTTCATGTGTTCAACCCCTGTTCTGCATGGGTTTCCTCCTGGTTCCCTGGTTTCCTCCCATAGCTCAAACAACAACGTAATTAGTTTTGGCTAAACAGCCCAATGTTTAACTACTCAGTGGAGATTGCATAAAGCAACATCACCCCCCACTGCAAAAACTTGGTAAGACACTCCTGAAAAAGAGTTGACTCCGAAAGGCTTTTCTGGGAAAACAAGCGAAATAGTGTAATAATCATAATCAAATGGCTGAAACAGCATAAACCACCTTATGTCATATTCTTAGGTTTTTTCGGTAAAGTCACGTAGGTAAAACCAATATTCATACACACAACATGTAACAATATCTATACGAGAGTGAGTTATATCAAATTATGGCGAGGTATGCGTTGAAATGTATGCCGCACGCATTCACAAGACACCCGTTATCGCTGGCCACATTCACCGTCTATGTCCGTGGCTGGCACGCAGGTGTAGTCCACAGCAGCACGTTCAGCCTGTGGTCCGAGGGCGCATTCTCGTCGCCAGCCTTCAAGACGTTTGTGGAGCAAGGAGACTACAGACTACTGCGCAGCCAAGTGGAGGCCTTGATGAGCAGGGCAGACTCTGGTTCTGCTGGCGCAGGATCCAGCCCTGTGCTCAGCTGGTTCTCCGTTCCTGCGCTGCGAGCTGGAGTGGGGAATTCCACCACGTCTTTCCATATCGATGCCCAACATCCCATGGTACGTGATAGGTTGAGGGTTGTCACTTGTTTGGGAATTGGCGTCTGTGTTCAGGTGGCATGAATTTATATATACCAAGACATGGTGGTATTCTTTGTACCGTGTATTTTATTGTGCCTTGTTGTATTCTTTATGCTGGTTGTCCACGTTGATGCATGACTTTGTCATTTGGAACTTGACCATGTACAGTTGATTTCTGATTGTTTTTGTTCATGTTTTTTTGCTGTAACCAGGTTTATATTGTGTAACCAGATCTCCAATCGAAAATGACATTGCCCAGTGGGTTTTACCCGTACCAAAATAAACCAACACCAAACCAAAAGGAGACATGGCAGCATTGTGTTGAGATTGAAAACAGGATACTGTGCAGTTTTGGAAACAGACCCAGGCTGACTGAGAAATATGTGCTGGTACTGGTAGGAACCTCCTGGTTACACCAGCCCACAGGGGATTATTGTGTCCGTTTGTCCATCGTGCATCCAAAAGTGGGAGGGGTGGGGCTGGGTGGAGAGGGGAGGGTAGGGAGGGGCTGGGTGGGGAGGGGAGGGTTGGGAGGGGCTGCGTGGGGAGGGGCTGGTCATCCCGTGGTGCCCTTATAAAACTCAACGTTTAACCTACTCATGCCGGCTTGTGCCCGCCCTCACAGTCGGCCATATTTGCGGAATACACCACGCCGCCGTTGACCCTGGCCATTGACCGAGCAACCCAACGTTCCTATCAGCTCCCTCCGCAGGAATGTGTTTTAGTCTGTGCTGGAAAGGGTGGCAGAATGTAGTGGTTAAAAAATCCAATCGTGAGTGAGCGACAAATCATGAACATGTTCTAGAGAGGTTCGAGAGCTCAAATTTGGTACATGTAGAGTAAAGTTGGGTCTATGCTGGTAACTAGAAAAGTTCAAACCCGACACTTTCTGACCTTGGGCCAATGGACATTGTTTTGTTTACATTTGTTCAAGTTGGCAGATGGAGGGTATGAAGGGCGCCGACTGCAAATTATAATAATAAACTAACCGGGGCCAATCCTGCAGGTGTCCATAGTTGTACGTCTCATCCCGAGTCCGGACTGGTTTGTGGGAGTCAGTTCTCTCGACCTGTGCTCCGATGCCGGAGACGGAGGCTGGACACCGTTGGTGAGCCACGATCTCCAGCCGTGGGACGGTGGCACGGACAGTGGCTTCGCGTTCTCGTCGCCCAACTACGCGAGCGAGCCGCAGGAGCCCATCTCGCTCATCACGGCGCAGAGGCCGTCGCATCCCGCCAACTCCTTCCATTACCCGCGCCTCCAAGCGCTGCCCAGAATCGGCTTCCTCGAGTTCCACCTTCAACCTGCAGACCACGGTTCACATTGATCATTTCTGGATTTTTTATACTTTTTTGTGTTCGTGTGAAAACTGCATGCATAACTGTGAACTCTTTTGTACTTTTGTACTGCTTGTGCAGCGTTTTATTTAACACTCCTAACATTTTGAGGGGGGAAATCTTATTACCCACAGTTGCCCATGAACACGAGATTCATCTTGAGGAAGATGGAAAACGCTTTGCCACTTGCGAGCCTCCGATAGCAATGAGCAGCGTAACCACAGGGAGTGAGCAGCATCCCCCTGCACTCGAGTGGACCGCTTCCAAACCAGCCGCTATTATGAAATAAATGCCGGCTTGAAAATAACATATTTACTATTTTGGAAAAAAAGTCACATTTATTTTACTTATTTATCCACGAGTGCTACACTGAGTCATAGGACTATTTTTCAGGAGGATCCTAAAAAAAGAGTCCTATGTCACTAGCCCCTCCTCATTCACTCTCACACCCTTTCTCAACTGAACAAGGTGCCGCACACATGTCCCAGCGTTCACAGTCGCGCTCACGCGCCAGCCAACATTTGTCTCGCAGGAGCAGGCGAGCACTCAAGAGCATCGGGCCAATGCAAACTTCACTGTGGGCGTTAATGTTGTTATGCCCATGTGTTTTTGACGGTTATACAATGTTACAGATTCAAAGGACTCGACGTCAGACTTGCAGAAACAGGAACAGAATGAAAACGGGACGATGGACGAGATGACTCCAAATGAAAACTCAATACAACAAAACTCCAGCAAGCATCCACACGGCATCGCCAGCCAACTCTTCAACGCTATCAAGACCGTCATCCAAAGTGATCATTTTATCTGTACACACTACAAAAGCATAAAACTTAATTTTTGTTAAGGTAACAATCGTAATTATCTTAAATTATTTAATGCAGATTTTCAAAGTTAAGGTGATATCTTATACCCTGGGCCAGTGGTGGAAATTCCATTTTGCTAACGTGGGATAATCTCTCCATTCAACAACCACTGTTGACTTCCTCACAAGTGGAACTCATTTTATCGACCCAAGAGGGAAGATTGACTGAATCAACCCCCCAGCCAGGATTTGAAATCTCAGCCTTCCGCTTGCAAGTGGCTCAGTCTACTGCCAAGCCACCTGGCCGGATGACCTCATTTGTAAACACTGACAAATAGTGAGGCCGGGTATGGTTGCACACAAATTCGGATTTATATGAATCGTGGTGCGGTTTCTCCACTGCGTCTCATGTCAGATTCGGGCCAGAGAGAGGAGGCTGCTGGAACGCCCCTGGACTGCGAAGTGTCGGACTGGGCGGCGTGGGGGCTCTGCAGCCGGACGTGCAGTATAGGGGTCAAGCGCAGCACGCGTTTCGTCATTCAGACGCCTGCCAACGGTGGCCGACCCTGCCCCGAGTTGCACATGGAGGAGGCGTGCGTGGAGCAAGCCTGTGCTTCGGTCACCTACAACCCTGTGACCTGTGCAGGGGGGCGTACGTGCGTTGAGACCGCGACGGTGGCAGATACAGGCAACTCATCGGTTGCCTCTGCTGCAATTGAAACGGCGGAGCCCGAGAGTGCGAATACACCAAACAGTATGGCCCCAGTGCTTGGAAACAGAGAAATGGCCACTTCTGATATGAAGCCAACGTCGTCATCTGCGATGGCTGCGGGAAAAAAAACTGCCGTTGTGCCCAGACCTGAGAAGACCACGCATTCAGCAGGCACTAATTTGAGGAGTCCTGTTTTACAAACTCAAAGGCCACATGTAGTAGATTTTGACCACGGCTTCGCAATCGGTGAGTGGTATTTGTGATTCTCCAATGCCGTGTACTTATAGCAATTTTAATTAAAGTACTGATTTGCCCAGGAAAGCCACATTGATCCAAATACTCTCTATCAGGATGGCCCCGCTACGTTGGGGTGTTTAGCCAATTCATATACATTGCAATTTTTTAGCTATGGGAGGAAATTGAAGAACCCAGAGGAAACCCATGCAGAATAGGGGGAGAACATAATTAACTCTGCACAGAAAGGCAACCAATCCAGGCCCTTGTTGCTGTGTGGCACAAGTGTTGCCACTGTCGCCCTGCCGCCCAAGTTTAACCAGTAAATACGAATATGGGGAGTGAGTGACTATTTTATCTGTTGCAATGGCTGTCGGCGTATTGCCACAACAGTACGAGCCATCTCGTCAGTAACGTGATCTCAAGTATGGCCATGTTCCCATCGTGGTCTTGTCACTTTCCAATTATTCTCCATGAACTCACTTGTGGTACAACAAATTACAAGAAACCTCTTCTCTCATTAAGCAGTTTCACCTGGGAAATTGGATTTACATTGTGATGAAGATGTCCGCGGTAGTAGTGGGTTGCGAAAGCTTGAGAGAATTAACGCTCAACACGCGGCCCAGGCGAGTAAACGCACTGTCATTACCTGTGGCTGCAATCACGTATAGTACGTGTTGAACTTGAGGTGTGCTTGAAAACATCGTATTATTGTAACTAACCGTGCTTTGTGTTACATATTTTTTTTTATCAGATCTTGAACCAACACAGGTGGAGCCCACAAGGTCATCAATAGTTTGGTCCACACCCACTTCGGAAACGAAGATTTCCGACCCGGACGATGACCCAGAGCTGCAGCAGTCGCTTCGGCTGAGCCCTTCAGCGTTCACAGCGATGCCCGCGCTGAATGTCAAACCCCCGCCAAGGAGACCGGCAGAAGCGAGCACCCAAGGGGCCGCCGCCGTTGCAAAGCACGCCAAGGCGGCGGACGGGGATAGAGACGCGGACGGGGTCCCAGCGGGGAGCAAGGGGGACTGTGCGGTATCTCCGCTGTCTCCCGCGGGGCCCTGCAGCCGCTCCTGTGGCTTCGGTCTCCAGCGGATGTCCCGCACGGTCCTGCGGCCATCGAGAGGGGGCGGCCGGCCCTGCCCCGAGCTCTTTGCGTACGACGTGTGTCTCGTTAGAGTCTGCTAAGGCCCTCTGAATTGGCAGTGCCGGCTGCGAGCCACGACATCCCTGCCAGGAGTGTTTGGTACCAATACTAAGAAAGTCGCTAGCTCGTGCACAACCCGGAATGTTTTAAAAAATATGACCAAAGCTGACGTGGGAGGCTCAGCAGTAGAGCGAGTGGTCCGCAGCAGTCGGGAAGGTTGCGAGTTCAACTCCTGGTTATGGGTTAATTCGGCCCATCTTTCCCTCCGAGGTCGATAAAGTGAGTACCACTTTAAGGGGGAAGTTGCCCTATGGATAGACTCGACTCTGCCATAGGATTGTAGAATGTCCACTGCTGGCTTATTTGAGCAGGAACTCACTTTGATGTAACTTTTCTGTGAAATAAGCTTTTCAGGATAATTACAGCAAGATCCAGTACATTTATATTTTAACCGAAAGGCTTGAAACAGCTGTTGTTAAGTTTAAAGTTACTTTTTTCAAGGCTGTTTCCACTTCTTTGCGGAGCACAAGCACTACACGTAACCACTTCAGTGTTTTTGTGCATCCATGCGAATAAGTGCATCCATGTATTGTGTCTCAGAGCGTGTGTGTCTAATTCTGATGACTCGTTAACCTGCAGCGAGTAAAGAGCAACGTTCAATGTGCACTTTAATTTTTCTATTGTAATACCTGTATTGTCAAATCCGGTTCATTTATGGACTCTCAAATTTACATGTATCCAATATGATCACTATGGGGACCTCATTTGCCAGTAAAAAATATGATAATTGGTTCTTTACCCTTCTATCTGGCAACAAAACTGACACCTTTTTGCAAGGAGTCATGTTTGCATAGACCGCAATACCTGCAGTTATGTTCTTTTGTTTGTATTATGACTGCAGGTATTGCGGTCTATGCAAACATGACTCCTTGCAAAAAGGTGTCAGTTTTGTTGCCAGATAGAAGGGTAAAGAACCAATTATCATCCAATATGATTTTCAAATAATCAACAATTATACTTGAAGTTGTGCTTCATGTTGTCATGTCTCCTCGTATTCATGGGTACATAAAAAAATAGACACCTAAAACCAATCTTCCGTGATCTGCACTGGCTACCAGTCAGCTATCACATACGATTTAAGTTAGCTGTAATCACTTACAAAGCTTTAAACGGCCTTGGTCCTCAGTAACCTGCAGTCCTGTCTGACCCCCCCAGACGACTGGTAAATGTACCTTTTGCCCATGAGGCCATCTCGAGTGTGGCGCCTACGATCTGGAACTCTTCCACTGACCCTCAGATTGTCTCCAAGCAACAGTTCAGGAAACTGCAAGACTCATTTTTAAATCCTTTATATTAAGTTCACTTGCTTGCTTGCGCGCTTACGACCGTGAAAATCTTTCGGTCGTTTTTTAACCCACTTCCCGTGATCCAATCGAGCTGACATTTTGCACACAGACTCGTTGTGCGTGACAATTTATTTTCGTGAAAATGTTTTCCCCACTTTTTAGGATTTTTTTTTTCATATTTAATTTTAAATACCAATGTGATAAAAATGAAACTCTTACTCAAGAAAAACAGAAATGAATAATAAAATAAAACCGATGCCACGCATATAAAGGATTTATAGTGAAAAACTTTGTTTTTACGGGTTAATTTTTTATTTGATCTTTTTCCTTGAGTATGTCCCCTCATTTAGAAATGTTTTATTTGTCTTGATTTTATAGGTAGGGGCTAATTTATAGTGTAAAGTATTTCGATGCCCTCTTTCGTGGGTGTGCGTTTTTCCTAAAAAATAATACATTGAATTGAATGGATTTACATAATGGAACAGCCACTCGAAGCCGCCTCTTTTTCTGCCGGTCTGGGGACGTGACGATCCTCACCCGGTTACACAAAATAAACTGATATCCTCCGAGCATCTTGCACGCGAGCTGATTCATTGCTCCATCTCCACGCTGAGCCCCCTCTCATTCCCGCTCTTGGCTAGCACTATGGTGCATGTGTTCCTCTTTTTAAAAAAATGTAATTCCAACAATTCAAATCACCATTTTTCATGGCCAACTCTTTAGCAGAATGAATCCGTATCAGCGAGTTTATCCGGTCATTCACTTCGTACCACACCTGAGCTCTCCATCGCACCTGCAATTGCATCGACAAGGATGTCGAAAATCCCATCGCGTGCAGTCTTAATTGCCACACGGCTCGACGACTGCAACTCCCTTGCTGCACGGAGTCAACGATGGCCTCGGCAAACGTCTCCACCGTCTCCAAAACGCTCGTCTCGCCAGGGTCGTTTACCTGGCTCAACCTCTCGCTTCGCTCCTTGTGAAGGCGTTCTGCGCTGGTCACCCGTGCAGAAGGGAATCTAATCTAAGCGATGACATTCACCCATATTTACCATCACGAAATCTATGGTCATCTGGCACGGACCTGCTTGCTGCTGTTAAATCCACTCGGCTTAAGATGGCAGAACCGAGTTTCTCATCAGCAGTCCTGGTGGCCTGGAATCGTCTCTGCCAACTGCAGTCTCGTCAGCCGTGAAAGTCGGTGATTTATTAAAGACCGGAGTAAAAACATTCTTTTCTCTTCTGCTCCAAATTTGGTTTCATTTCCTAAAGTGCCATCCATGCTTCCGTCTCAGATTTGTGCTGAATATGATGCATTATAAATGTTGGATTGAAACGCTGTTAAGTGGGCTTGGGCAGGACAGGGATGATACGATGGCCATTGTCACGGTGGGGGGAACACGCACAAAACATCCACCACGGAGATGGAGCGATGAAATCAGCTCGTGCAATAGTTCAATTGTTGCACCGCGACAGCTTTGAGGTGGTAATGACGTGGGTAGGCCTTCATCCAGCAGTGGATACATCATGGCTGATGATCTACAACAAATTTGGAAGTCAGATTTGTCAATTAAAACGGACACTTGCTGCATAGTGCAAAAATTATGTCCTGATTAATTTATCTTGCAGAATTGGTTCGTGGTAACTCTGCTACCACTGGTCTACACGGATCACAACGGCGAAACATCCTGAATAGGATGTGTGACCTCAATTCTAATATTTTACGGAGATTGGAACTCATTACAATACTACAATTCAATGAGTTTTCTGGAATCCGTTACAGCAAGAAGCTGGAGCCCATTCGTTTCAACAGCACATTTGGGCTTGGGAGAGTTCACATGGCCGAGTGTTCTAAAGTCCATTTCAGATCACTCGGCCGGCACGGCTTCCACGGGTACCGCATTTATTCATCACATACTTTGGCATTTTCTATCTATGGATGAATAAGGTTTCGGTTTGTCATTCAATGCTCATGAAACCACAGCAAGCATCGTTACCCGACTCGATATGACGCTCTGCTGAATACGTTTCTTGACGGAGGAATGTCTGTTTCTTGACATAAATATAATAGCACAATTGGAATATCATTCGGAATAAAAAAAACACACACATTTTTCCAAGCAGGTGGATGAGCAGGTGTCATGCCCATTGTTTAATAGCATTGGTACAAACAATTTAAATAATTTGAAGCAATTCGACCATTTCAACACGACCTCCTGTCCTGCTTTCAGTGGTTCTATTAAGAAACATGGATTTGTTGGCTGTTGGTAAATTGAGTGATAATGGATACAATAATACTGTGAAATATTAAACAATTGAAAACAATATTCAACACATGTGCAATACAATTCACCCCCGAGTAATTTTAATCAATATTCAGACAAAGCAAACACTATCTCACACATCTGGCCATTTCCGTGCAAGTGAACATGTGCTGCAGGATGCACGGGTTTCATATCAGCACTTCTGCATGTATATTTCAATCACTGAATTCACTGCGCCACCCTGTCACGTTTTTCCCAGTTATTTGCCTCTCAAATTCGAAGCAATTACATTGCGATAAACAAAAAAACTACGTAAAATCGTATTTATTGTTGTGCGAGCAAGGAGACGTGTACATCACTACAGCATGTCAAAACCAGACATTTCCTCTTGCATTGCTACACAAAAAAGGTCACGTGGACAATATGTTCCAGGTGGTGCGTGCGAACACAGAGCCACACGCACTGCTGAGGCAAGTATTTTAGCGAACATATATTAAATCTGGTGTGGCACGCGAGGGGGTGGAGTTGCCATCATTATACTCGGCTGCCTACATCTCCCCAATACTTATCATGAAAATCCACAGATCCTTATTTAAGAATGAGCTAGGGGAGGCCCAAGACGAGAGATCAAACTTAGGTGACCAGGTCTGTGGCATAGTATACAAAACGCTGCCCGACGGTGTCCATGTACACAGTCTGTGCAAGTTAAGCTCTTCCAGTCATAGTTTACAAGGAAACAGCCATGTCACCTATGACTGGATTTCCAAGCGTCAGGTTCCATCCCGAATCTGACGCCTGTATATTAAGAGTTTGTATGTTCTCCCCGTGATCGCGTGGATTTTTCACATTTAGAAACATGCGTTTCGAGTATTTGGCTGCAATAAATTTTCATATGGGTAAGCCACTTCGTTGAGCTATAATTTGTGGCCAGGGCACTTCTTAAAAATAACTATATAGCTCAGTGGACCCTACCTGGTAAAATAAAGAATTTTTTAAAAGTAAAATATGAGATGAATAAAGTATAATCAATCAGCAACAAACACCAAAGCTGGATCGCAGATTTAAAAAGGAAGAATAAAAAGCACCATTTTTCTACTTTATTATATACCCGTAATTGCAATATTATTGGGGTCATTGCCAGCACAAACCGCATTGGAGGTCCCCTGTATTTAATGCCTTGATTTAAATCATTGGCAATTCCTTTAACGTATATTTTGTGCCTCCAAAAACCCAGGTCAACGGTGGGAAAACCGGGTGAGTGAACGTCTGGTTTACGTATTTCTATAATAATTTTGCATGTTCCACTTTGTTCCAGTAAAATATCACGGATAATTTAAGCCACACTAAGGAAGGCATTAAAGTTGTTATGCTGAGACAATCATGAATATATTTAATACATATCCTCGTCTGTTTACATACGAGGGCAAAAATCACCTGAAATCTATATTTATGTTTCTGCAACTTAATTTTACTGAAACGTTTTATACCGTTACTGTGAATGGTTTTTTATAAAAGTAATTTGTCAAAGCCAACTTTTGTTACTGGAAATATATATTTTTTCTTTTACACATCATAATGTGAGTGTTCTGTTTTTCGATTCCTTTTGCAACATGATTATTTTTGCTCTGATCTGTATTTGCTTCATTGCTTTGCTTAGATCTATATTTATTTTTTATTTTCGTGACCCAGATCACTCTTGCAATTAACACTCTCCTGCTCTCTTGAGCTCTCAATAGGTTACACGTAATACTTTTGCATATAAGAACACACAGTTTCTCATTAATCAGACTAATTATGAAGACTTGGTTGCTAATTATGTGATGTGGGCCTGATTTCAATATTAGAATAATCTATTTAGCCAAATCAGTAGAAACAGCAGCAAATGGCGATAATGCTGATATCAGTGGTGCTGCATTCATGATGAGCGTGATGATGGCTGTGGGTAGGGATGGTAATGACATTTTCAGGTTGACGAGGATGTTGTGAGCAATGGTAGTACTCTGCAGTAATGTGTTTGGTTGTTGTGGTGGTAGTGATGATGGTGTTGATGAGACTGATGATGTTGATGGTGGTGTTAATGACAGCAGCGATTGTAATATGGGTGACGATAGTGGCGGGGTGCGAGGAGTGATTATGATGGTGGCAATGGGCGAAGTAAACAGTGCTAATCACTAAGGTGACAATGGCGATGCCTTTTAAGGTGATTAAGCTGGCAAACCACAAGTTACATTTATGCAATTTAACAGCTATACTCGTGGAGTTAAAAATTATGTTTTTTTCATGAAAACTTTAAGGTACCAATTGTGTAATTATTCACATGTAATTCACAGTGAGTAATTTTATTTCGGTATCTATTTGCGACTAAAATCTAATTTTAAAACAGTATGAGTAATGGTGAGATCCTCCACGGATAAAATGTCCCATATTGTTAAGTCAAACCACCCAGGCTGCTCATGCTATTAGGCTCTAGAAACCTATTCCTTGAAAATATATGTATAAAAGGCTAATTTAACATGCACAGCCGGCTACTAGCAATTGTCGAATTAATATCGTACTCAACTCACCCCTTGCATTTCACTGGGTTGGTTTCTCATGTGTACTTATACTTCTTCATTAGCTTAAGCATGTCGGGGAAGAGGCGCTTCGGGGCATCCATGCCCCAGATGAAGTCCAGGTGCTCCCAGTCCTTCAGGACCTTGTGCTGCACCAAGTTGGGGATCTCGGCGAGGAGAGCGGCGGTGTCGGTGGGATCGGCCAGCCAGTCTTGTCCGCCCGACCACAGGGCCGTAGGCACCGTCATGGCGCTAATGTTGTACGCAGGAGGTGTTGCCTGGCAAACATCAACACGGGGTGGGGGAGGTTAGTAGGGGGCTCAGTCACCACTGACAACTACTTTAGGGTAAGTAACCTTCACCTTGTCACCTTGTGCCGTCATGTCGAGTAGGACCTCTAGTGACATCCATGACCAGACTCTGCCATCCACACCTGTCTCTCGCGGCCTCTCGTAGCTGGGTTAGTGTAAGGCCAGTGGTGTTCTTGATGTCGTCCATCCACCTCCACGGAGGTCGACCTACTACCTTCTCCATTCTCAAGCAAGACCAATTATTCTAGTCCAGAGGTCCTCATAACGTGTCCAAAGAATGAACATTTCTGCTTCATGAATAAGGCCTTGAGTGGAAGAGTGGGATCGATTTCTCTCAGGACGGACATGTTTGATATTATGGCTGTCCATGGTATACATTGCATTCTTCTCCAGCACCACATCTCAAATGCGCTGATCCTCTTTCACTCATTCAATCTAAGCATCCATGACTCGCATCCATATAAGGCAACAGGGAATACCAGAGCTTTGACAATCCTCTTCTTGGTGTTTATGGTAATGCAATTGTTTCTCCATATACTATTGAGCTGTGACGTGGCTGTTCTACTGAGAACTATCTGCATTCTGATCTCGTGGCTACACTCATCGTATTCAGCAATCAAGGAGCCCAGGAATACAAAGTCCTTCACAACTTCGATTGGTTCATTTTCCAGACTAAATGAGTTTAGTTGTTCTGTCGCCATCACCTTTGTCTTTTGGAGATTGAGGCAGAGTCCAGCCTTCTCACTAGCTTATTTAACATTCACCAACAGGATCATCATTTCAGCTTGGCGATTTGCTAGTCGTGTGGTATAATCAGCATATCTTAAGTTGTTTATTCTTCTGCCTCCAATCTTAGGGTAAGCATTACTGTCAATTACTGCATCAGCCACACAGCCTTTTGAGAGCGCATAATTTCAGCAGCACGGGTTCAAAACAACCAAACCTCTCAACTGGTTTCGACAGTGTCCCCGACACATAATAATTTCAACTTGTAACACGCCGAGTATCACTCGCTCTCAAAGAGAATGAATGACACAGAGGCACAAAGAACCACAGACAAGAGGGAAGACAGCCACGAGGTGAGCTGGCACCAACAATTGCCAAAGTTCTGCGGTCCACTATACATTAAGGTGCTATCAGCCAAATGATGAGTGTTAACATGTGGGAAGAAACCGGAGGACTCGCAGAAAACCCACACGTGGGAAAGGGAGACACTCTATACCATAAAGATGGGACAAGTGGAGTCCACCATTTTGCTGTATTGCATTCTTCTTGTGAGCCAGGCTACAGCCCCTACTCTACATCTACAGGGAGTCTCACAACATTTGTGTGATTTACCAATACTCTCTACCTCCACAGTGCTGAATTACAGGCATGTGCCACCACCACCCAGAATGTCTCACAGAGAAGGTCCTTGCCTATGGGCATCTGGCAATTTGGTGGAATTGGTTGAAGCAAGCCTGACTACTGATAAAACACTGAATGTTGAAACTGGTCCAGTGGTTTGCTTGTATCGAACCATTGTTGCTGAAACTATGCACTCCCAGGCCGTGTGACTGATGGAAATGTTAAAAAAATACATCTTATTTTTGGTGTGCAAACAAATTTTGGAAGGAGGCATATTGTATCTTTATGTATTTTGTTACTTATAATCTCCATTATGATGTAAATTATTTTGCATCAAAACCTTGGATCACCATAAATAAATGGGGTCAGATTGATTGAATGCACTTGCAAATCGTCAGTATTCAGTGGGAGTTCTAAGTGGCCTTTCGCCAATCCTTCCATTATTGCAGAGGCCAAGCACCCATATGGGATTCAAGAGCCAGGAGACTCAGTCGAGATTGGTTCTGTCCAAGTGTACAAACACTGGGAATGAAGTCACTTGGGTGGAGGCGATGCTGGTAGCATCACCCGCTGTCACTCTCCACTCCCACATAGAACACGTGGGTGGGATGTGTATCGTCGGCCTTGACTGCAAATGTCGAATCATCGAAGTGAAAATGTGAACTCCCATGAGGGGGACGGAATATTTCCCCCTCTCAAATCCAAGGTCTTAATAAACAAGACCTTAATTACAACAAAAGAAATCATAAAAGCCAAGCGCAAGAACGGAATAGCTTCAGTGAGTTTTGTACGAAAAAAAGACAAGGCTCTATGGCTATTCACAGTGACATTATAAAATGTTTTCTTAAAATACATGAAAGATATGAAGACAAACATAGAGAGAGAGATATCACATCAGTAGTGGCATAGTAACTATAACACCCAATGGAAACGAACTACGAGATATGATCGAAGAACTTAACAAGGAAGATTGGAAAGGCTTCACTGTGCAGCACCTGATTGTAATGCTTCATGTTCAGCCACAAGCTCCCATAGTCGTAGGCCTGAAAGCGGCCCGACCTTGCAGCCTGGAGAAATGCAAAACATTTCAGACAAAGTTTTCACTAAAATCCACAGCATGGGTCAAGTGCACACACAATGTCTCTTTGTGAACACAGGTGCACTACCTGCCCATCCTCACCCATAATACCCCCAAAGCAATATTCAAATAAAAATGTAAGAAAAAAAAAACAGCAATGAAGGAAAAACTTTTTGTATAAAAAACGTAACTGCAAATAACGTATTCTGGAACTTAATATTGCAGAGCTTTAACGAAGTAAATAAGCAGACAACGTCCATCTCCACCTCCGATTAGCACGATTAGTTACATACGTATTCTTTGGGTCTTTGTAAAAAAAAATTTGTTCTGCGTGACTTTACCGAAAGACCCAAAGAATATGAATTCCTGGAGTCACGAAAGCTTTAAGTCAAGATTTAGTTACATACGGTTGAAAAAGAATTTCAACATACATACAGTATCTATTCAACACATTTTTTTATTTTGGAATTATTTCAGCAATTATGCTGTAAAGTGCTTATAATGAGGCAAAATGAAATGCTGCCAGATGTTACCAGGTGGTATTTTATGAGGAAGCCGTAATTATATACACACAGAAACACTGCATTCCTGCCCATGAAAGTGAAGCCTACTCAGGTAACACACGTCACTATGTCTAATGGTGGAGATAGGCTGGTATACGACTGTACGCCATACCAGCGCTTCCCACAACACAAAACCTGTGTCTACCAGCAATTTTCAAAACAGTTCTTATACCTATACTCCGATGTTTCCTCAGAGGAAATGGAAGTGTGAGAATGAGAGAGAGTGTGTGATGGTTGTGTCAGAAAACATGGACTGTAGTTCTAAGAAGTTTCCACCACTGAGTGCAGAGCTACATTGAAAACAGAAATCAGTTCTACTACACAGATCAGTTTTCAGTTTTCAGTTTTTCATTTACTTGGTATAGCCCTGTGAGCCGTTCGGCTCTTGATTTGGGTGGAACCGCAACAAACAGAAAACAAAAATCCAAATACCAACCTGTCGCCAGTGAAGCATGTTCTGAATCGAGGTTCCAGCGGGGCAGTGAGAGGTATAGACTGGCACTCGACTCTGTGAAAAATATCCACAAACAGCAGCATTATTATAAAAATATTGGATACAATTTGTATACTCTTTCAATGAAATGTGTTACTTTATGTGAAAATCAAAAAACCATCTTAGAAATCCTCAGTTTCCAACGACGATCTAATCTCTCCTCACATATGTAGGCTACACAGGCTTTTGGGCAAGTACTGATAGCGAGCGCCTAACAACGCCGGAATGGCACATGAGGGGGTGGTTGGCCAGCTCAACGCCTAGCTGCCTTTGTCTCCCCAGTGCTGATGCTTACACACCGAACTAGGTACTAACATTAAGCCGAGTCGACATAGAGGAGATTCAGGACCGTTTCAGATATTCATTACCAATGTGAGCTGTGAACGGGAATCGAACTCGAGTCGCTGGGTTCGGGGCAAAGTGCATCCTCTCATCCCCACACACAGGAAATCAACCTCATCTTCAGCTCCCAAACTTCATGTCTCAGGTGATATTTCTTTCTCTGAACAGATTCTTCTCCAAGCTTGGCTTTGGATTCCCTTCCATTCTCTCATTAGCCAAGTTCTCATGACTTTCCTCAATTCAATGTGTTCACTCTTATCTATCAAAACTTTGTGTTATTTGTTGCTGGCCGTTTGACATGTTGGCCTATTGGGATGTGCTCCGCAACTGTGCTTATATGTAGTCTAACAAATTTGTAACATTGTAAAAAGCTCGACATAGGGAAGGACTAATTCACAAATTCTCTTTTTTATCTGGCTTATTTTGGCTCCCTCTGTCTGTGTGTGTCTCTGTAGCTTTTGCTTTGTCTCTGACTCTCCGTAATTGGTTCTGTGTATGTTTGTGTCTCAGTCTATACGAGTCTGTCTCCCTGTCATGTCCGTCTTATTTCTCTCTGTCTTATCTCTCCGTCATTGCCGTCTTGTCTCTCTGTCTCGTCTTTCTGTATCTGTCTCTTAGTGGCGGTTGTTGTTGTCACAGCCAGTCTCACGAAATGTACTTCTCCTTTCCAAGCATAGGCTGTGGTCATGTGCCTATGGTGGCCCACAGAGCTCAAGTCTAAAACCACAATCTGTATTTGCACATTTTCCTTTTTTTATTCTACTGAATATGCATTTTTTAACAGCCATTGACCAATTTCAGAGTGATTATTTGGGGCACCCCAATTCCGCTCATACACATGACGCAGCATATTAATGTTCTCAGATCGCCGCGCAATGACCTACACAAAGTTACAGCCATCTCGCTACTTCAATTAGTTGTTGAAAGTGTTTAAGAGTTTAAACATTTTAGAGTTAGCAAAGTTTTACGCTTTGGTTTCGCCTCATGTTTAAGACTTTGTAAAAAAAAAATGTGCACCCTCCAGCGCCACCTAGAGCAATTGGCTTGTAGGGCACACGCACGCAGTGTAGTCCTTCTCTCTATAGCCCAGAGGTCGCAAACGGGTTTTGATTCCTTACCCATACCCGGCCGCACCAGGGTCGCAAATGGGTACCCTACCCGAAATGAATGACAAACGGCTACTCACCAGTGACTCACGGCCTACCCGTACCCGTACCCGGCCGTACCAGGGTCGCAAACGGCTACCCGTACCCGGCCGGGTACGGGTAGCCGGGTATCAGGTAGGGTACGGGTATCGGGTACCCGGTTGCGACCTCTGCTATAGCCCTTCCTTTTTCTCTCCATTTTGCCTCTCCTTTACTCCGTTTGTCTCTTGTCGTCAGTTTCTCTTTTCACGTTGGTTTTTTTATGCTCAGGGAGCATCAACGCAGCTCAACGATGAGTACAACACTACACATGTACAGTACCGATTTGTTGCTTCGTAATTATTGATTTAACAATGTTTAAACATTTTTGTAAAGCTTAACGTTTCACAAATTAAACGGCACCCAGCACCCACAATTACTCCACTCACCACGTTCATGTTCTTCTCGTTGAAGCCACAAATGACAAAGAAAACATTTTCACACAAGTCTTCGATGATTGCCTTGTCACAAATTTCTGCCGAAAGCCATTTCAGAATGTCACTTTGAGGCAGGAAGTCCTTTTTTCCAAAAATCACCTAAAACAAAAAAAATACTTGAATTGAAATATTACACATTCACGAGAACTACTATTATTATTACTACTACTACGCTTGATTACCCAGGAAAGCCTGAGTGTAATGACTTTTTCAGGAGTATCCTGTCAAGCGTTCCCAGGAGAGAGGCTCTATGATTGCTATGTAGATTCCAATTGAATAATTTGCAGGTAAATGCTGTGAAATATGGAAAATGTGGATGACACAGGCACATAATGGCCTACCCTTGTGAAGAACGTCAGGGGATCTTTACTGGCCACTGTGAAGCAGGCGGCGCATCGTGTTGTTTTGGTTGTTACACCAGGGCAGCTTCCATGCTCTAACTGCAAACCATCTACCACTGGATCATGTCACCTCCCCAAGGGATTAAACTCTAAACATTGCACATTTACCTCGATGAGCCAATCTGGAACGTCAGCCAGTTTAGCCATGGGGCTTGTGGAGTGGTGCACGCTAACCACAGCCGCAAGCCCTATGAAGAGCTTGATCTTCTTCGCCAGTTTAGGGTTGGAAGAGAAAGCAGCCAGGGCTGCAAAGGCACACAAGCTGAATGTGAATCTCTCACTCTTGAACAAGTACACAGATAAGTACGACCAAAGCACCCAGAGTGTGCTTAATCGCGCCACATCTTAGAGCCCGGTTAGTATTTGGATGGGCGGCCACCAGTGCTTGCCAGGCATTGCAGGTGCGGACCTGCAAGATGACCAGCAGATGGCAACGCACCACTATACACCACTGCACCACACCATACCACTACACCACTACACGACACAACTTCTGCCTATTTCTGATGTAATGAGAGCCTATGTCTGGCTCACGTGGTGATTGGCTCTGCCGGTCCTGCTCTACAGCCAATGGGGGGAGAGCCTGGGAGCATGGCCCTGGCGTGATCGAGGGATGTCAGCTAGGATGATTGGTTCTGCTGCTCTTGGCCTCTGCCAATGGGAAGACAAGTCAGGGGCGTGGTCCCGGGAGTTGATGGAGGAATCTGGAACATTCAGCACAGGCTATTAAGGATTGGCTGGAGCGAACCACGTGACCCAGGCATTAAATAAGGGAAGAGCCGAGGGACCCGTGGTCAGACAAAGAACGAAGAGAGAGAGAGGGGCCACGCGCGAGCGGGGCTCCGAGTGCCACGTGGCGGTGCGTCTCTTGCGATCTGTCTGCCCACTTCCCGTTGCCTGCCAGCAACAGGGAGTGCTTGTGAACTGAGAAAAGTAAATAAAAGGACCGATTCCACAAGCCGTCTCCGGAGTGTTATTACACTATTATTACAGGATGCTTTCATGAATGAGAGACACCACGTACCCCCACTTCCTCACCAGCAAGAGAAGACCGACTACAGCTCATAAAGTTACAACATCCAACAACTGGTCAAGTTTCAAATTGTTTTTGTTTTATCCGCCAGGTGTGAGAATCCAAGGGATCAGGATGAGTCTCATTTGCAAGAGTGACCTGGGTCACCCAAAATAGGGACTCACCAATGGTGGTTCCCTGGGAGTGCCCCACGTAGATCAACCGCTCTTGTTTGGTCTCGTTGAGGATGAAGTCCACCACGGCAGGGAGATCCAAAGAGGCCATTTCATCGTAGCTGGTTGGACAGAATGGACGAAGCAAATATACAGCGATGGCTCGAGCAACACAAATTGCTTAAACTCTTGCACACAACCACTCAAGTTGTGTGTCACACAGCATCAAAAGAACATGAACAGCATTAACTGGGTTGGTGGATCATAGAAATTTGAGTAGAAATGCATAATTGTAGCTGCATTGGTTCAACACAAGGAAACGGTGGGGCAGTTTCAACATTCAGTGTTACTTCGACGTAGAACTATACAATACGTAACACAAAATTATAATTGTGGCGTATATACGAAACCGAATAAAGAAGCAAACAATTTCCCATACTTCACATAGCTGTCCCTCTAAATAAAAAAATTAAGTATTTTTGAGACATCCCATCAGCTACATTCCACCAGTCTTAATTAACACGATCATGGTTCAGGACACTGCCTCTACGTGACAATGTGCTAATTTCCACACACAGACACACACACCCCCACATTTTCAATTACCTCCATGCCCAGAACTCCTCCTGATCAGGCGTCAGGGTACGGTGGTGGTGCGACCAGGTGTTTCCGCGGCTGTTTCCGATCCACACGTCGTAGCCGGCATCGGCCAGGATGAAGCCCAGACTGTCGTGGGGGAAGTTGGACACCCAGTTGCTTCCGCCAGCCAGCAGCCCGTGCTGCAGCAGCACGGCGGGACGCACTGCTGTACCCACACAGCGGCAAGACGCCATTCTCACTCGGTCCACAAACACGCATCCTCATCTTCCGTTTACACACGGATTGCAATAATCACCCCAATACATACTCTTTGTTACGTTCCTCTAAATTATCTTCTTGGTTCTTTCGGTAAAGTCACGTAGAAGGGAAGTAATAAAATAATAAAAATAAAACATAATAAAATAATTCTCACGACGTTTCGGCCACAACGCAAGCAGCCGTCCTCAGGTGAAGAACAGGTCTGTCATGTTTTATTTTTATTATTTTATTACTTCCCTTCTACGTGACTTTACCGAAAGAACCAAGAAGATGAATACCTGCAGTCACGAAAGCTTTAAATCGAAATTCCTCTAAATTAGTTTTACTGTCCGAGCCAAGTTTGGTTACTGGACTTGAAATGTTCTTAAAAATGTATGTTATGTTCGCGCACTGCTTTTTATTTCTTCTGTAACAGGCTTGTTTATGCTCCGATTTCTATTTGATTCGTTGTTGTACATGTTTTTATGTTCTTGCTTTCTCATATTTGTGACCCAGGTAACTTTTGCAAATGAAACTCTAATCCTGGTCTCTTTGAGTTTTAAACCTGGCTATGCAAAATAAACTTTGAAAATGTAAAAAAAAGATAAACACAAATCTTCCCCATATTGCCTTTTGTGCCCTGCTCAGGAGCACCTATGAAGGCCAGCACGGTGCACGAGCGGGTGGTGTGACAAGGACCACTGGATTACACAGTTATTTTGGGTCATCTCTTTATCATACATACCTGCCGTGTTGTCCTTCAGTCCACGTGGGATTCTGTTCACACTCAGGATAAACCCATCTGCAGTTTCCACCTCGTACTCCACATTCGGATATCCCTTACTAGAAATAAGTTCGCTCTGAAGGGACACAGAAACACACACACGTTCATCAGAATATTACTTTTTCCCCCATACAAACAGTAACCTTCATTAAAGCATGCTAAACGAATGTACTGCATGTTTTGAAAGGTAATACCTTATGCAATCACCATGCACATGTGACATGGTTCCACAATAGTAGCATCCAAGTGCCCTTTGCACTCCCACAAGCTAGGTACCCCCGATTAGCACGGTTGGCTATGTACAGTGCAAAAGAAGTTCAACGTACATATACAATTCACCATCATTCGTTTAAGCAAACCTGATTGCTGATGAGACAATCAATGTCAAAACCAGTCAAGAGGTTGCTTGTTTTGAACCATTGCTGCTGATATTCTTTGGTTCTTTCGGTAAAGTCACGTAGATAGAACAATAATAATCAAAAATCAAGTTAATAAAAATGATAAAATAAAAAAACACTAATGTAGACTGTAGCCTGGTTCTTAAGTTTGGTGAGTGTACTGGCAGTCTATGATGTAGACTGTATCAATGGTTATTAAGCTGGGTCAGTGTACTGTCAGTCTATGATGTAGACTGTAGCAATGGTTATTAAGCTGGGTGAGTGTACTGGCAGTCTATGATGTAGACTGTAGCAATGTTTATTAAACTGAGTGAGTGTACTGGCAGGCTTTGTGACTTATGGGATGTGTAAAAATATATTTGTTATGTGGATGGAAAAGAGGCGTATTGTCTGCTTATTTAGTCAATAGTTGCAATGTCTATTATTCGACAGGCTATACATGCATCGGAAAACATACAGGCAAACATATCTGCATAACCAAAAGCATTTTAACACAACACTACAATCTAGATCTATCTTTTTTTGCAGATGACAAACCAGGTTTTCCTAGAGTATCAAGTTGTTTATCCCAGTCCAGTCACCCATGACTTCCTATTCATTTTATATTTGCAACAAGCTCATGCTTCTTTGGCAAGACCACAATAAACCACTTCCCGATTTCACAGCTCAATGAGGGAATCATTGCAAGATGTGAAAACACACACAACTACGAAGGCAGTCACAATGTGTAGTTTGTTTCATAAAAAAAGATCTGCGTAAAATATTTGTTTTCAAAACTATGTTTAAAACACAGGGGCGTACGTGCAAGGTTAGCTATCGGATGTTGTGTTATTGTGACCTCCAATTGAGGATACGGGGCAGCAGAGCAAATAGGGGAGGGTCTTGAGGAATCTGAAATTAAGGGGATGGGAATGGTGCAAATGAGGAGGATGCAGTAGACCACATTGGGAATGTGGATTCAATTGGGAGAGACAGGCATTTGAGAGTGGAATGTGGGAGCAGGGTGGGAGATAGGACAGAGGAGGGAGGCAGAAAGATTGCACGGGAAGACACAGTATAATTGAGAGTGTTAGGGAGAGGTTGAGAGAGAAGGATGTGGGGGAGTGTGGAAGAGTAACAACAGGGTGTGAGGCAGACAGAATTAGGTTTACGTTTTTTTAAAATTGTGGTTCTGTAGGACCAGTTGTAGATAACGTTGTCGTGCACACATATGCTAGGATGTGGATATTGTGTTGTTTTCACAAGATAATTTTGTTAACACGAATTGTATCCTGTCCGGTTATAATTAAAGTGTCAGTCCATCTGTATTGAGTGCAGAGTGAAACTCTGTCACCTCAGAGGTGGGCCACAACACATGCACTTGATATAGCCGTTCATTATTCTGACATTTGTTATTTATGCATGTAAAGTGTTACTGACCAGCACATTTTGCTTCACCTACCCTGCATTCAGCAATGACTGCATTTAAAATTAAACTCGTGCACCAATTCCTAGTCTGCCGTAAAACATAAATGCAATAATTGTTTCTACACAATAGTCAAGATCGTCGACAACAGAAGCGCAATTGGCATGAGCACCTTAGGTTATAAACAAACGTGACGCACAACGATGTCCTGCACTTACAATGTTCATGTAAATTTCTGGGTCGCTGCGTAGGCCGTTGTACTGATCAGGCAGCATACGACCAGACACAAAGCCCACGCCAAACAGCAAACGTGACACGGCAGTGCCACAATCAGCGCCATGTTCCTGATCAAGACAAAGCATAATTAAATCCACAACATGCACAACACTGTGGGAAAATCCGAAACAGACAATGAAAACGATGTCAAGTGGTAGCGCTGAATCTTGGACTCATCGCATGCATTTGATGAGGTTTTTTCGGTAAAGTCACGTAGGTAACTTTACCGAAAAAACCTAAGAATATGAATCCTTGCAGTCACGAAAGCTTCAAATCTAGAATTTGATGAGGTTGTGAGCAAATTTGACAAAGCAATGCAAACGTTTGTCAATACAATCATGCACATTTTCCAACTTCCTGGATTTTGCCCTGCACGGAGTGAGCCATAGCCTCCTCTTAAACGACGTAATTTATTTGCAATCCGCCTCCTTCACAAATGTGTATTTCCACGTAAAAAAAACAAGCGTTTTGCTTAATTTCAAGTAATGCTGCTGAAATGATGCACTCCCAGATCGTAGGTTCGATAACAACCCTGACACCTGTATATTTGGAGTTTGTATGTTCTCCCTGTGGTCATGAGGATTTTTCTCCGGGTTCTCTGGTTTTTCCCTCCACGTTAAGAAGCATGCGTTTAGAGTAGTATTTGACTGCTATAAATTATCACATAAGCCACTTCCTTGAGCTATCATATTTGTGGCCAGGCCTCAAGTGGTAAAATAAAATAATTTTAGTTTAATAGCTACTATTTGCATGAAAAAGGATGACAGAAAAGGAGATTGATTATTTATTTTTCAGCAAGCTCTTTCACAACAGTGTAAAATGAATTATGCAAGGTCAAGGCGGGTTGCCCGATCTGGCAAGGCGATGGTGATGACGTACCCGTTATGAAACACCAGTTACATGGCTCTCGACCGACCTACTCTGTAGGAGCTGGATAGAGCGGAGTGTTCAGGTGAACCTCTATAGGATCACAAAATCTCATGCCTACCCTCATGCCACTCCTCACCCCCCTAACTCACCCCTCACACCCACAATTTACCTCCCCACGCACACCTCACCCCCGTAAATCACTCCTCACCCCCATACCTCACTCCCATAACAACCGCAGTTCACTACTAAGTGGCAGTGATGTCACCACGGCACTTGTGCCATGCTAGGTGCACTTTGAGGCCACGTAAAGTGTGGTAGGCCCGATGGCAGGAGGTCATGGAACAGACCTAGGTGCCATGGGTTAGCTCAAATAAGTGGCTTATCATGTGGGTAATTCATAGAAACCAAATACTCTACACGCATGTTTCTAAATGTGGAGGGAAAAACCGGACCCGGAGAAAAATCCACACAATCCACGGGGAGAAAGAACACGCAAACTCCAAATATAGAGGCGTCAGGGTCTGAATCAAACACACGACCTCCTGCATACCGAGTGAGGAAGTTAACATCTCGCAACCACGGCGCTCCTATGCACTGCTTACACAATCCAGTCTGGTTAAACCCAGGATGGATCGTACGCAGGCTAGCCTAAATGTTTCAAGCCGGCGCAAATGTTCCTTTAGAAGGCTCCACGTTTCGCAAGCATAGAGAATGGAGGGCATAACTTTGGCCGAGAAGACACGTAAATTACTCCTCACCCTTGAGCCCCATAACTCACCCTCATGACTCTTCACCCCCATAACTCACCCCTAACCCCCACCATAAATCCTGGCACAAATATAAAACTGCACAAAACCCTGCCATTGAGATCAATCAACTTATTTTCTCACATTATTTAGTGATGCGCTGCTGCGTTACAACCACAAACAATATACATTTAACACATTCGTCAAAACACTGCGGACTTTATAAACAGAAAAAATATAAAACAGGCGACGTTTCGGGCAATTGCCCTTCAGATGACATAAACGGAGAGGCCAGAGACAAAGTTAATAACACGAGCCGGAGACTGCACTCTACACCATGGGGCCTGATGAGAATTACATTTCACATCATCACTCATCATCACACACCTCTTACTTTGTCTACCCGATCCGTCAAACATCTCGTCGCCCCATCCCTCACATTACACCTCTCACCGTCACTAACCCCTCTCACCTCGTCACTAACCCCTCTCACCTCGTCACTAACCCCTCTAACCTCGTCACTAACCCCTCTCACCTCGTCACTAACCCCTCTCACCTCGTCACTAACCCCTCTCACCTCGTCACTAACCCCTCTCACCTCGTCACTAACCCCTCTCACCTCGTCACTAACCCCTCTCACCTCGTCACTAACCCCTCTAACCTCGTCACTAACCCCTCTAACCTCGTCACTAACCCCTCTCACCTCGTCACTAACCCCTCTCACCTCCACTACCATCGTCACTAACCCCTCTCACCTCGTCACTAACCCCTCTCACCTCGTCACTAACCCCTCTCACCTCGTCACTAACCCCTCTCACCTCGTCACTAACCCCTCTCACCCTCGTCACTAACCCCTCTCACCTCGTCACTACCCCTCTCCCCTCGTCACTAACCCCTCTCACCTCGTCACTAACCCCTCTCACCTCGTCACTAACCCCTCTCACCTCGTCACTAACCCCTCTCACCTCGTCACTAACCCCTCTCACCTCGTCACTAACCCCTCTCACCTCGTCACTAACCCCTCTCACCTCGTCACTAACCCCTCTCACCGTCACTAACCCCTCTCACCTCGTCACTAACCCCTCTCACCTCGTCACTAACCCCTCTCACCTCGTCACTACCCCTCTCACCTCGTCACTAACCCCTCTCACCTCGTCACTAACCCCTCTCACCTCGTCACTAACCCCTCTCACCATGTCTTTAACCCCTCTCACCTCGTCACTACCCCTCTCACCTCGTCACTAACGCCTCTCACCTCGTCACTAACCCCTCTCACCTCGTCACTAACCCCTCTCACCTCGTCACTACCCCTCTCACCTCGTCACTAACGCCTCTCACCTCGTCACTAACCCCTCTCACCTCGTCACTAATCCCTCTCACCTCGTCACTAACCCCTCTCACCTCGTCACTAACCCCTCTCACCTCGTCACTAACCCCTCTCACATGTCCTTAACCCCTCTCACCTCGTCACTACCCCTCTCACCTCGTCATAACCCCTCTCACCTCGTCACTAACCCCTCTCACCTCGTCACTAACCCCTCTCACCTCGTCACTAACCCCTCTCACCTCGTCACTAACCCCTCTCACCTCGTCACTAACCCTCTCACCTCGTCACTAACCCCTCTCACCTCGTCACTACCCCTCTCACCTCGTCACTAACCCCTCTCACCTCGTCACTAACCCCTCACCTCGTCACTAACCCTCTCACCTCGTCACTAACCCCTCTCACCTCGTCACTAACCCCTCTCACCTCGTCACTAACCCCTCTCACCTCGTCACTAACCCCTCTCACCTCGTCACTAACCCCTCTAACCTCGTCACTAACCCCTCTCACCTCGTCACTAACCCCTCTCACCTCGTCACTAACCCCTCTCACCTCGTCACTAACCCCTCTCACCTCGTCACTACCCCTCTCACCTCGTCACTAACCCCTCTCACCTCGTCACTAACCCCTCTCACCATGTCTTTAACCCCTCTCACCTCGTCACTACCCCTCTCACCTCGTCACTAACCCCTCTCACCTCGTCACTACCCCTCTCACCTCGTCACTAACCCCTCTCACCTCGTCACTAACCCCTCTCACCTCGTCACTAACCCCTCTCACCTCGTCGGTAATCTCTCTCACCTCGTCCCTCTCAGGATCTCACCTCGTCGCCTTCCGTCTCCGCGTGCTCCCGCAGTCCGTGCCGCTTCCGCTTTCCCACGTGACCCTCGCGGGGGGGAGGGGTCGTAGAGGGGGGGGGGGGTGACACCGCGGGCCCTCCCCCGCCCCGACCATGTTGCGTGGGGAAGACGCCCGTGGGGAGTGAACGAAGGCGCGGAGCCGGCCATGTTGGGTGAGGAAAGCCTGCGGCGCGCTGACGGAGCGGTCCATCGCGGCCTTCACACGCTGCTCGTGAAGGGCTTTTAGGGGCGTGGCCGCTCGTGGCTCCGCTCGCTCTTGCTACCCCGGGCTGAGCGGGGAGGTGGTGGTGCTTGGTGGCGATGGCGGCGCGGGTTCTCGTGGTAGGCGCGGGGCCTGTGGGAGCGATTATCGCGGCGCTGCTCGCGAGGCGAGGGAGCGGCTGCGCGGTGCGCCTGTGGGACAAGGCCCGGGGCCCAGGTGTGTGTGCGTGGGGTCACTCTCCCGTCTCCATGGAGACCGCAGCCCCCACCCTTCCCGTCTCCATGGAGACCACATTTGCCCTCCCGTCTCCATGGGGACCACTTAACCCCTTCCGTCTCCATGGAGACCGCAGCCCTCAACCCCACCCGTCTCCATGGAGACCACATTTGCCCTCCCGTCTCCATGGGGACCACTTAACCCCTTCCGTCTCCATGGAGACCACATTTGCCCTCCCGTCTCCATGGGGACCACATTCCCCCTCCCGTTTCTATGGAGACCACATGCCGCCCAACACGATGGATGGCGTTCACAATAAAAGTATTGTCCCTTTGAGAGAGAAAAATATACATATCGTGATTATCGTTGCTTATGTTTAAGCACCTGTATTTAATTTACTGACTATCGTGAAGTAACGAAAACAAAAATAAAATATTTTCAGGTCCGTACGGCGTACAGCCGTTTCAATACGGGCATTTTTGTTTTATTTGTTCGTGTTTCTCCCTTGTGATGGAACTTTGTAGGATGAACGTTTAGATTTATAAGGGCACGGGGCGACCAATAAGGTCTGAATTGGTCTCTAATAAGGTAGGCATTGATACAGGGTTGACAGGTATGATATTGTATTTGTTTTACAAAACACTTTAGGAAGGATTGACTGCATCGTGGTTATGGACGTTATCACGTCTGTACTTTATTGCATTATTTAGTTGCGTCTCGTGTACCAGCTCGAGCGATATAAACCATAAAGTGACAGTGATTAGAAGTCTAATGGATGATTTTGAGTGAACTACAGTTAAACTTCGAATAAGTATTTTTTTATTTATACTGAAAGTACAAACAAGCTTAAACGCCATACTCTGTACTTGAACGTTTTGGTTTGCAGGTGGAAGAATGAGCACAAGTAGAAGCCCCAACAATGAATCCTGTTCAGCTGACCTTGGAGCACAATACATTTCTGCCACACCAGCGTATTGGCTGGAACATGAGAAGTATGCCATTCCTTCACACCACATCACACCGACTATCACACTGCCTCTTGCCATTCATCCGGCCAGGTGACTCAGTGGTATCGTGAGCGGCTTCCTGGTCAGTCCATAACCCCTCCGGGGTCAATGATATGAGTACCACGTTGTGGGTAAGTCACCAGTGGTTGTCCGATGGATAGCATTTGCCCCTGTTTCCGGAATGTGGAATTTCCACCACTGGCTCAGGGCTGTAAAAAAAAGGTGAGCACCACCACATTGCTCACCACCACATTGCTCACTTGAGCAGGAAATCACTCTGACGATTATGCGATGGAGTATTTATTTATTTTATGGGTTTACGTGCAATGATTGTCTGCAGTATTAAACAATTGGTAATTAAATATTTAATTTGTTTTCCCTAAACAGTGTAAAATTTTGGAAAAAAAATTTCACGAACATTAATTGTCTCGCACAACGAGTCTGTGTGCAAAATGTCAGCTCGATTGGATCACGGGAAGTGGGTTTAAAAACGACCGAAAGGTTTGCACGGTCGTAAGCAAGCAAGCAAGCACACAAGCAAGCAAGCAAGCATGCGAACTTAATATAAAGGATTTAAAAACTGAGAAAATCGTAACCATTTACATCTACAATTTGTTTTATGTATTGGTACGATTCGGTTCACAAACCAATTGTTTTGCCCTTGTGGAGCTTACGGGTAGAATTTAGTCTCTAGTGATACAAGACATGGGCAAGGCCATGGGTAAGGGTCATTCCACTGTGTCCAGATGCATTACAAACTTTAGACAAATTCTAGAATACTTTTATAACTCTAGAATGAGCTATTGCAGCTGTTTTTATCCCACGTGTCTATGTAATTTTAGATTATATTTCAAGCCTATGCGTTATATATTTCAATAGTTCCCTTATTTAGTCTCCAAACATGATTAATCTTCATTATTCTACAGGTTTAATATCTAACGTATTTTTTCATACACTTTCAAAACACTGGGAGTGATAGCATCGTGGATATATACAGAAAGTTCTCTACTCTGCACTGCACATTGGTTAGACGATTACACATAAGATTATATTTTTCCATTCATGTTATATGCGGAATATATTTATAAATGCTGCGTTGATAACATTAAACCTCATAAATAAGAGCATACCATTGATGCGAGGTGTATGATGTTAGTTTTGCATGTGGATGCTAATATGTGCATTGATAAAGTTTTGTTTGTAAAATGTAGGCAGTGACATTGCCAAGCGGTAGAGCGTTCGCCACTTCTTGCAAATGTTCACAGTTCGAATCTGGTTGCCTACCATTGTTAATCCTGCGGGTGTATTAATCATTAGATATTATGCATAATGTGCGTCACAGTGGACGTTAAAGATCCTCTGATGTCATTATAGCAGAGTAGGCCATTGCGTGCCATCGTCACAGTCCAAAATATCCGAAAAAATGTGTTACTCAATTGGGATTACACATAGAAACGTTGCCCTAATGGAAGACTAATGTTCACTTGCAAGCCAGGTGCCGAGTTCACTTTGTGTCACACAGGCACAGTTACCCTTTGTGATGAGACATTTAAGTGAGCGTCCTGTACATGCAAATATTGCGATGTATTATTAAAATGTACACTTTAAATATCTGGCTCAAATGTATAATCAAAGCATGTGTTTTTCTTTGGAGGTTTTACGAGGAGCTCCTAGATAGGGGAATACTTTATCCCCTTCAATCACAAGTCGACGGGATGAAGGAGTATGAAGAGAACATCCGGCACTTCATTGTTCCAGAAGGGACTTCTTCTTTGGTGAAATACTATCTTCAGGAGTCAGGTAACCGCTGTACAATGCTGTATTTGAAAGTCGCATTATCAGGCACTTAGCGCAGGGTGGGAGACAGAGGGAATTTCTGATGTACACCATGTTACAAAGGATGAGGGGCTTTACATATATATAAAATTATACATTTATAACACGCAGAGTTTTCACTAGATTTAAAGAATCAGAAGTGCGGAAAAGCACAGACAAGCGGGAAGGCAGTCAAAACCTGCCTCAGCAATTGCCCAAGCTCTGTGGTTCTATATTGGGGAGTTTTTCCAACTCCATTCATGAGCATTTTTACATGTGGGAGGAAACCGGAGTCCCTGGAGAAAATCCATGTGCGTGAGGGGGGCAACACTTTTCACCTGTACAGATGGAATACAGATGGGAATTAATATGTAATCAACTATATTGCAATACCCTGGAAAATCAGGAGATGGCGACCTCAATTCCCCACAACATCCTACTTTTTTCTGGATGTTGGGGGTCACCCATGAAACGCACCATCTCGATTAAAACTCTGCTTAGCTTCCGAGATACAACACTATCGGGTGGTTTCCGCGTGATTTTTACCTAGGCGATGTTAATCCATATCTCTCCGATGCATTTTCAGGTTGTACTGCGACTTGTTTAGCATTATTGTTAAAATTTCGCTCCACGTGCTGAGAATTAAAATATATATAGATTGCCTAACTACGTGCGGTGTAACCTGAAGACACAGTGCAGACCTATACAGTACAGCCAAAAAAACAGCAATTATGCTGGGATCCATAAAACAGCATCACATGCTAAGTCCACGAAGAATATTGTTACATTGACGAGAAAACGTGTACATAATCACAAACATCAAGTATTTTTATAGACTGATAAATGAACCTTATGGCGGGACCCCGAGGTCCCATAAGCCCCTGGCTCTCGCACAAACGACGTCATTTTATGTCTGTTGAAGGCAAACGATACGGCAATCCATTCCTCTCGGCGAGCTCTACACGATGCGCTAATCAAAGTTTGAAAGTTTTGTTTATGACTACGGCAATTTTGGCAACGACGGGTGCTTGGAGAAGAACGAGAGGATTGATTTCTGGTGGGTCGCGGCGTTTATGTGCGCGGTGGGACGGAGTCGCCAATAAATTAATTACGATTTTGATTTACGTTTATTCGGGACCCCGGGGTCCCGCCACAAGGTTCAAATATGCACTGCTAACTGTTGATGGGGATTACCTTGGGGTTATTTGATGCCTTGGCATGTGATAATTGCCTTGCCATCTCACTGCGTGTTGACAGGAGCAGAGGTGCTGTATAACCACCACGTGCAGCGAGTCCATCTCGGTGATGGGGTGGTGACGGTCGAGAATCGGGACGGCTCATCGGCCTGTGTCGATACTCTCATCCTCACCATGCCTATCCCACAAATCCTGCAGCTGCAGGGCAACCTGCAGGCCAGTACGTATCTCGGTTATACTCCATTTGATTAGATTATTTTACACAGGTAAGACAAATTCAGCCGTGAGCTGTTTTACAAGAATGACCCGCAGAGAACCTTGGTGGGGAAAAAAAATTACAGCAAATAAATCATAACAGCGCAGAGACTGAGTAGCAACTGCATTCAAGGAAAGCAACGTCCAACTCATGCACCATTCAAATAAACACTGGCAGATGATGCACATCAACTCTGAAGCACCAGGTCACACCAAGTCCATTAAGCACACATGCAGGAATGTTGTGCATATCAGAAATAGAGGACCAGATCGCACGGGTTTCGCTAATCACGTGCAAGGAGCGGGATGTCTTACATCAAGGAAATATTTTTCAAAGGTCAGGGAAGGGAGGCATGCAATCTATTACACTGCAATGTATTCATAATGTATGATTAGCGTACTTCTCTTAAGGTGGCTTCAAGTGGTTTAAAAAATGTTTAATACAAAAGTGTACATCCGTTATTAGATTACCTGTCTTCTGGCAGGAACTCGTATATTATACACAAAAGTTACGTAAAAGCTAGGGAAACACCGAATGCAATTTTTTTCTCATATCGAATACAACATAGTTTGAGTATGTGTCTAAATGGTAAGGTGGTTTTTACATCGAGCAAGCCATAACCCACATCATTGACCACATACCATGCACTCCACACCAGGGATGTGTTCCTGATTTTTGTTATCTGAAAAATAATAAAATCGTACCTAGATATAAAATTTTGGATAATACCAAGAAAATTAACTTTCATATTGATCCAAAAGTAAGACGTCACATGATTTGACAGCACTTGTATTTTGTCACTTTCATGCTTTTCCTGTAAAATGTGGTGGCATTGGGTGATGTCACTTGTTAGCACAGAGCCACATTCAGTTATTATACGATGTAAATGATCTGAAAAATCCGTAAAAAATGCTAACTTTTCCTTTAAATGTGAATTCCACTTTTTTTAAATCCAAAACTTATCCCTAATATGCAGTTATTTGTGTGGAATAGTTGCGAAGTGGTTAGAACACTGCGCTAAGAACCCATCAAGTTGAGTTCGATTCCTGGCCATAGCTAACATAAGTGGTGATTATCTGAACTGGTCTTGCCCCCCCGGGTTGATTCGGCCTTAATTGAGATGGAGCAGTGAAATAATTTACGTGCAAGTGCTGGGTGGATTACTACATCGCAAGATCGCGACAGGTGGCGGTGGTTTGGAGAGGCCTCCATCCAGCAGTAGAATTACCATGGATGATAATGTTTATGATGTAGTGCAGATGATCAACTTTGAATGCACACTTGTGTTCAGAATAACAGAATCAGAATATTTATTTATACTGGAGGAATCCAATGAGCTATAAAGCTCTTTTGTAGAGATGTTCAGTAGGGGCGGGTAAGAACGTTACAACAACAAACCAAACAAAACATGATAGTAGTGCAAAGTACAAGAAAGGTAAACAAATCACCCAAACACAAACAAATAAAACGAAACCATCCACCATCCTATCAGACAAAGCCCACTGAGGTATTCACTTATTTTTCAGAAGTGGCCTGGCCACAAATGATAGCTCAACAAAGTGGCTTATCATTCGGACATTTATAGCAGCAGATTTATGTAAATAATCTCAATGCATGTGTTCGCTGTAGTGTGCTGACTAATGGTGCTTTGTAAAACGGTGTTGTCAGTGCTGAATGCAGATCAACGCAGAGCCCTGGAGATGGCCACTTATTCCTCGCGGTTTGCACTGGGCCTTTTCTATAATTCTGATGCTGACTTTGAATTCCCCTGGACTGCCAAATATGTCTCGGATAACTCCGTCATACGTTACATCGCTGTCAACAAAAAGAAACGAAGTCAAGGTCAGGAATGTTGCTTTGAGTAAAAAAAAAATGCAATATAATCACAAGGCATCACATAGCGTGTGTAAATTAGCGCAACAATCAACCATGGCATCACTGCAACCTATGAAACATTCACTTCATAACGTGTCCGCTGAAGAATTTCTCTGCTAGACAGTCTTCTCTTCAGGTAAACATCTATAGGTTTACATTTGCACGTATTGAAATTAGAGCAACTTATGCCGATGTCACTCTGAGTATGCGGCTCTCCTTGCTTCTCTGCACACTTTTTAGTTTTTTTTCTTCCAGTTTTTTTCATGACCTTGTTTTCTATGCATATGTCACAGTGGTTAGTACACACTGATCCAAACCCGTTCTCTCGCAGCGCATTGCCGTGCCGCTTTCATTATCACGATCCACTTTCCCCAAATCGCAACCACATCGCTGACGTCCACCTCTACTTCATCAGAAATATCCCGGTTTGCCTTAAGTAATTGTGCCCAATTTCAGAGTTTCTAATCAGTTTTAATCATTATAATTTACATCTCAAATAAATGTATGATATATATCCTCATTTTCAATTTAATAATAATGTGCTTCATAACGTGCACAATATTTCATGGAAATAAATTGCCGTGAAAATGAGGCGCCGAGTCGTGCTCAGTGTCGCTTGCAAGCCAGGCAAGCGGCCGTAGTGGTCCTTTGTGTCGAGAGGAGGATGTTGTGAGTGGCGCTTCTGTGGAGAGCTCTACCTTGAACTCTAGTGCAGGGCAACGGGGGGTGTGTGGATGAGGGAAATGAATAACACTCAGAGGCTATTTTAATGTCCCACATGTTTTATTGGCAATTAAATGTACTATCATGTTTGCCAATTAAGCACAACCTGATCATAAAACAAATGAGTTGAAAGTGTGATGGTAGGTTCTGCTGTGTACACGGTGGCTCTGTGCTCACATGTATTTCAAATCTCATGTCTGATCTGATTTTTCCATTGAATGAGGAATGTTCAGAGTTTGAGTATTATGTCAATGGTGTATACCATGAAAAATACCATCTATACATTTCACTGTTTTCAGCACTGCCCTGTTGCAATGGTCGTGAAGTGAACGTCACTATTGGCTGTGTGCCCTGTGCTCCCTGCATGTGCAATGCTTTTCACAGAATGTGGTTCAGTGGGCCCTTCCCTGGTGGTCCACACGAATGTGGCATTTGGACAAAAGTACGTGGATGAAGATGTGAATGTGGTGCAGCCCTTCATTCTGGCAGAACTGAACAGGCTCCTGCCCGGGCTGCCTCAGCATGCCTACGGAAAGTGCCACAAGTGGCGCTATTCCCAGGTAGGCCAGTGTCACACTTTTCAGAGGAGGACGCAATGGCTGCTGTTGATTTTTTTAATTCGCTTGGCATCTGTATTAAAAAAAACATTTTAAGTTGACGGTCAAACAAAAACTAATGTGAACAATAACTGGAATTTTAAATAAAATCTACAATAATACCATAAATACGGTTTATAATGGATGGGGAAAAGGAAGGAGGTACATGGATACATGCTATCATTACATACATAGGATGGTATTGATATATAAAGTTGTGGTGGGTTGGATAGGATGTGGCATGACACTAACACAAAACAGATCCTTTGTGTAAATAACACTGTTCGTCTGAAAACAATTATAAAATGTAATTTATAGCAGGCCCCCGTGATGTATAGTGCAGTTTCCAACTACTATTCACACCATCTCTTTGGCCGCTCTCAATGTGCAATGAAGGGCCATTGCCTGAAGCATTGGCAATTGTGTGCATGTCTTTCCCTTTTAAGGCCGCAGTGTTGTTGATGAATCTGTTTGGTGTTAATCGTGCTCATGCACCATGGCCAATGCAGAATCAACATCGCCAAACGATTTATTTAGTTACGACAGTCGCACTCGGTTCTGCCAGACCGAACGGGTGGACCTCATGTGGTTTTCTCAGTTGGTGGCAGCCAATGGCGACGCGGCAGCAGGTCTCGGGAGGTTTTGCGGGAGAATGGCGATGCCAACATGAGCTCCCCATCCCAGGGAGTTTGGACGAATCAGGCGCCGGACTGATGCGCTTGCGCGCACAGATGGTGCAACCGTTGCGCACTCTACGGAGTTGTTCCCACAACATTTCTCACGTCTTATCAAATTGAAATTTGCAATATTGGGAAAAGTGGTTGCATTAAGTTTAACGTTGTATCTTTTTGGTAGTACAAGATTAAGAGAATGAATAAGCACCCTTAACAACTCTCACTGCTGTTAATTTTAAGAGCACCTTATAACATTGTGGTAGCGTTAGTTGTCTGCATTTGTCTGTTTTAAGTTATTAACGTAATTCGCGAGGGTATTATAGTACACATTGCAGCACACAGTCAATAATAAAATATGCATTTTTTTTGCTTTAAAGCGATATTAGTCTCAACCTTTATCACGGTAAAAAAAAACACTTCTAAATTCTAACATCTGCCTGATGATGCTGGTTGTAACAGGAAACGTACCAAATTGTTAAATGTGTGTGGATCGCTCTCCAACATGATTGGTGGTGTTCCATGGCGTACAAGTTTGTTCCCGTGACAATTTCATTAATTGACTGTGTCGGGTGGGGGAGGGTTTACGACACACATTTTACTCACGCGATCCCATGCAAGAATCAATTTTTAATCACCTTCACATTGTAACGTAGTCCCAGCTTGGTTTGTTTGGACGTGTGAAGCCGTATGTCCCTATGCATTCCGTTAGTGCCAGAGGACACATGCTTTGCTGACACAACATAATCGCTAGCGTGATTGAGGAGAATACGCTTCACAATCGAATTAGCATTGCATTGTTGATGTGTTTCAGGTGACCAGGCCCGTTGGTGGGAGCGCAGGACATATGGTTCTGAGTGCGGAGCCTCTCATTCTGTGTGCAGGAGACGGTTTCACTCATTCCAACTTTGATGGCTGTGTCAAGTCAGCCCTCTCGGCCGTTGAGGCTTTTAAATCTATATTTTTAGATGGAAAGTCTGGACATTAAATACCCACATGCTGATGTTTTCCATTAAGAGATGTCAGATGCAATTTATTCTCTGGCATAATGTCATGGAAACCATTGCTGTAACATCTTCTGCTTTTTTGATATCCGCAGTACAAGATAAGCTAAAATTGTGAATTTAATGCAATAATATATATTTTAACATTTTTAGGCATCCAGCAAAGAAAATTCATTTTATGAAACAATAACGTGGTTCAGCCTGATTTTTTTATGAACGAAAATGGTACGTTTGTGCATTCTTGCACATTTCACAAATGCCTTGCATGTATTACTTTTCCCAAATCTAAACGTCCATCGTCATCATGGTAGACATGCAATGTGATGAGCAGGATCTCCCGAAGGTAGTGGCCAATGTCGCATGGCTATACAACCGTGGGGAGCCCTTGTCTAGATCTACGGAAATCAGGGTAGCCTCAGAAACCAGTGGTATCCACAGCAGAGCAGCGGCACTGGAAACTCATAATCTCACCATAGGGTGATGAGAATCTATGAGGTCAACAGCATCGGAATCTTACCCACCGCCTGCCATTGCGCCTTGGCTTGAGCCTTAGTGAATTCCTGTGTGGTTTCCAATGTCACCAATATTGGTAAGGTTTCCATTGCCAACCCGGGTTCCTCGGTAGCTTTAAAACGTGAGTAAGCAGACCCTCGTCATAGCTGGGTTATGTATGTATATGTATGTTGAACTTCTTTCACACTGTACGTAGCCAACCGCGATAATCAGAGGTGATGATGATAATATCACGTAAAGGAAAAAATTACATTAATTGAAATTTGAAGATAATCAGATGACCAGTAAGGTTTGAACAAGGTCGGCACACTTGAAGTAAAGATTCTGATTGTGTGAGTGCTGTACCAAGTGGTCTTTCTGAATTTCTCGTGCCAGTTTTTGCTGTGATTTCTATTTGCTTTGATTGCTGTCCTTTTATTTTATTTTGGTGACCCGGGTCACTCTTGCAAATGAGACCATTGTTGTGTATTCATCTCTTACCTGGTTACACAAAATAAACTTGAACCTGATGTTTTTTTTTTAAACAAGGTTGCTAAGCACAGAGCCAAAGGGCCAAGCCATCAAGCGGTTAGCAACAAAGAGCACCATTAAAGCCGTGATAGATACAGAGTTAATACGTTTCGTGAATTTAACAAGGTTATAATAAAGTAAGGCATGCTTGCTTGTTAAGCGGCACGTGGTTATGATTGGTATGGGTTAGTGAAACGTGATGTACTCGTGTAAGCTGGACTCTGTTTCCTACACGTTGGGTTTGGTACCAAAGTGGACATCGTTGCCACTCACAGAGGCCCGAGGGAGAAGTGGTTCAGACACTCCACATTATATAACTATGGGAGGCAGACACACATACACAAAACAACAACTAGTGCAGTCCCCAGTTAATACTCGATCGCCACACTCTACACTATATATAGAGGAGCACAAGCGCTAGTCTGCCTGTGGTGTACTGCCTGTCCGGTCCTTGGATGCTATGGCCCAGATGTCCAGACCTTCAGGGGTGGCGTGGCTCTCCTGGAAGAGTCGACAAATAATAAATAAATAAAGAGCGGTGACGGGCCAATGCCTCCATAAGTCGATTACTGTGTTCTGCCACCAGTCTTCTGGTGGCAGATGACATCTTCTTTAAGAGACCATGAGATGTCCTCCATATTATATGAATATATAATGACTAAAGAATAACTAACACATTTATTGTAAAATGTGCTTTTATTATCCAAGAAAGCCACACTAAAGTCATGGACTCTTTTTTCGGAAGGCCTGCAATGAGTGTTTACTTTAAGATGTTTTCAGACAATGGTGAGTGTTTATACGTGTGGGAGGAAACCAGCGCACCTGGAGACAACCCATGCTCACAAGGGGGCAGGTCACGGTAACACTCAGACACTCAGCCACTCACCACACTGCAGGTCACAGTAACACTCAGACACTCACCCACTCACCACACTGCAGGTCACAGTGACACTCAGACACCCCACTCACCACACTGCAGGTCACGATAACACTCAGCCACTCACCCACTCACCACACTGCAGGGCACAATAACACTCAGCCACTCACCCACTCACCACACTGCAGGTCATGGTAACACTCAGACACTCACCCACTCACCACACGCAGGGCACAGTAACACTCAGACACTCACCACACTGCAGGTCACAGTAACACTCAGACACTCACTCACCACACTGCAGGTCACAATAACACTCAGACACTCACCCACTCACCACACTGCAGGTCACAGTAACACTCAGACACTAACCCACTCACCACACTGCAGGTCACAGTAACACTCAGACACTCACCCTCTCACCACACTGCAGGTCACAGTAACACTCACCCACTCACCCACTCACCACACTGCAGGTCACGGTAACACTCAGACACTCACCCACTCACCACACGCAGGGCACAGTAACACTCAGACACTCACCACACTGCAGGTCACAGTAACACTCAGACACTCACTCACCACACTGCAGGTCACAGTAACACTCAGACACTCACCCACTCACCACACTGCAGGTCACGGTAACACTCAGACACTCACCCACTCACCACACTGCAGGTCACAGTAACACTCAGACACTCACCCTCTCACCACACTGCAGGGCACAGTAACACTCAGCCACTCACCCACTCACCACACTGCAGGTCACAGTAACACTCACCCACTCACCACACTGCAGGGCACAGTAACACTCACCCACTCACCACACTGCAGGTCACAGTAACACTCACCCACTAACCACACTGCAGGTCACGGTAACACTCACCCACTAACCACACTGCAGGTCACGGTAACACTCACCCACTAACCACACTGCAGGTCGCAGTAACACCCACTCACCACACTGCAGGGCACAGTAACACTCAGCCACTCACCCACTCACCACACTGCAGGTCACAGTAACACTCACCCACTCACCACACTGCAGGTCACGGTAACACTCACCCACTAACCACACTGCAGGTCGCAGTAACACTCACCCACTCACCACACTGCAGGTCACAGTAACACTCACCCACTCACCACACTGCAGGTCACGGTAACACTCACCCACTAACCACACTGCAGGTCGCAGTAACACTCACCCACTCACCACACTGCAGGTCACGGTAACACTCGCCCACTCACCACACTGCAGGTCACAGTAACACTCACCCACTCACCACACTGCAGGTCACAGTAACACCCACTCACCACACTGCAGGTCACAGTAACACTCAGACACTCACCACACTGCAGGTCACGGTAACACTCGCCCACTCACCACACTGCAGGTCACAGTAACACTCACCCACTCACCACACTGCAGGTCACAGTAACACCCACTCACCACACTGCAGGTCACAGTAACACTCAGACACTCACCACACTGCAGGTCACGGTAACACTCAGACACTCACCACACTGCAGGTCACATTAACACTCACCCACTCACCACACTGCAGGTCACGGTAACACTCGCCCACTCACCACACTGCAGGTCACAGTAACACTCACCCACTCACCACACTGCAGGTCACAGTAACACCCACTCACCACACTGCAGGTCACAGTAACACTCAGACACTCACCACACTGCAGGTCACGGTAACACTCAGACACTCACCACACTGCAGGTCACAGTAACACTCACCCACTCACCACACTGCAGGTCACAGTAACACCCACTCACCACACTGCAGGTCACAGTAACACCCACTCACCACACTGCAGGGCACAGTAACACCCCCTCACCACACTGCAGGTCACAGTAACACTCAGACACTCACCACACTGCAGGTCACGGTAACACTCAAACACTCACCACACTGCAGGTCACAGTAACACTCACCCACTCACCACACTGCAGGTCACGGTAACACTCAGACACTCACCACACTGCTCTTTCTGCTTATTTCCCTCGCCACCTTGGAATTCCCTCCCATCGTTTCCTCCCCACCCCCAGCTCTAGGAATAACCTTTCTCAATTCAAGAAACACGTTGACTCACCTATTGTACTTTGACGGTGCATTTGCCGTTTTATGTTTTGGTCCTCTGGGCCTTGGCTCGGCGACAGTATAGAGAAAAAAAATCTCTCACTTCCCACGGATGGGGCTGCACAAAATAGCACAGCCTGGTTAACTCTTGTCAGCCACTGTCCACGATTGACTCATTATTTGTGTGCGAACAATTCATATCAATGCTTCCCAACAACGCCCCCTCAATGTCCCACAACGCGCATGAGACGCATTCGTCAAGCCTGCCGGTGAGCGATAGTTTGGGTGAATTCAAATCTCTGAATAACGTGGAAAAATGAATGCTGGCTGGAAACATCCTGTAATGTACCCATACGTCTTCGTGAAGATGAAAACGGCCTACAGCTGTGTCTTTGCTTCCCTCCTGCCTTTTGTTGGGATGGCTACACTTTCTCAACTATTTGTGTCGACGTTCTGAGCGATAGCATGCCCGTGTATATGCATCATGTATGTATGTTTAATTTCATTCGCGCCGTACGTAGCCAACCGTGCTAATAGGAGGTGCGGGGAAGGAAAACAAACTAAACACAAAAATCTATTCGAAAGATTAAAGATTTGGCTCGGGGAATCGAGGCCAATTTGTTTATATACAGCCCCAGTATTAACCAGGGCGGCCTGCCGGATCCAAGCCGCAAACCTCTGCAATGAGTGGCGAACGTGCCACCGCTGAGCCACTGCGTCACACGCCCTGAACATGCCCACACAATTTGTGTTTTGACGACTTTGATAAAGTAATTGATCGTGTGAAGCTGAAGAAGTCATTTGAGGACCTCAAGAATGCAGTAGTAGAATGCAGAGACTGGCATCTGTTTAGGATCGTGGGGACTCGCCCGTGCTTTGGGCAGCTGCTTATTTTCTGTGGGAAATGTAAAGGTTTCATATGACACCCATCGTGTCTGTCTGTCATCACTGAGTGTGTGTGTGCTGCATGGTGAGTGGTGCGTGTCTGGTGAGTGGAGTCGTGTCTACAGTCTAAGGGGCCGTCCATAAATGACGTCACGCACCTGGGGGGGGGGGGCTCAGACATTTGTGACGATGTGTGACGAGGGGTTGGGGGGGGTGAGAAATGTGACGTCACATCAAAATGCACAACTTTAAATAAATATAGACAACACGTTCTACTTAAATAGACTTTATAATAAATGTTTTAACCTAGAACATCAGAGTGCAGCGGCACATTAAATACGCACTACAATGACAATAGTTTAAAGCGATTTGAAGCGTTTTTTATTTTTTGGGGGGGGGGGGGGGCAGAGTCATATTTGAGGGGGGGGGGTCTGACTTTTTGTGACGCCGTGTGACGAAGGGGGGGGGGTCAAAAATCGTCAAAAATCGCGTGACGTCATTTATGGACGGCCCCTAAGGCTATACGGGGATTTTTGTATTTGTAGTATCTGGTGAGTTTCTGGTGTGGGGGTCTGCTGAGTGTAAGTGATGATTATCTGGTGAATGTGAGAGGTGAGTGTCTGGTGGGTGTGAGAGGCCAGTGGTGAGTGAGATGTGTTTGGTGGTGGTGGTGAGTGAGATGTGTTGGTGGTGGTGGTGAGTGAGATGTGTTTGGTGGTGGTGGTGAGTGAGATGTGTTTGGTGGTGGTGGTGAGTGGTGAATGTGAGAGGTGAGTATCTGGTGGGTGTGAGAGGCCAGTGGTGAGTGAGATGTGTTTTGTGGTGGTGGTGAGTGAGATGTGTTTGGTGGTGGTGGTGAGTGAGATGTGTTGGTGGTGGTGGTGAGTGAGATGTGTTGGTGGTGGTGGTGAGTGAGATGTGTTTGGTGGTGGTGGTGAGTGAGATGTGTTTGGTGGTGGTGGTGAGTGAGATGTGTTTGGTGGTGGTGGTGAGTGAGATGTGTTTGGTGGTGGTGGTGGTGAGTGAGATGTGTTTGGTGGTGGTGGTGAGTGAGATGTGTTGGTGGTGGTGGTGAGTGAGATGTGTTTGGTGGTGGTGGTGAGTGAGATGTGTTTGGTGGTGGTAGTGAGTGGTGAATGTGAG